CGCAGGATCTCTGCCCCAGGCAAAGATTCGGACGGCACCGAAGAGTGTAATTTGCTTCTTGAAGTGATAAAGGACCGCAATTCTAAGACGAGTTTGCTGAGTCAGTCAATATCTGATCACATCCTGTCCTTGCTTTGTGCAAGCTTCAAGAGCCCTCCCAACTACCATCAGGACCTTGTCGAAAGAGGGCAGGACGCTACTGCAAATACTGTTGCTTTATATCAAACTCTCCAAGACTTCAGCCCTACAAAAGAGTACCGGCTGTGGGCTGCCCGGGTAATTGGCCGCAATTTCGCCGCTACTGGTACGATCAGTGATGATCTGTTGAAAGAACAACAATCGACCCTATTTGAACCTCGAATAGCTAAGTTAAACCTGGACATGTTCTGCCAGTCAAAAGCCAGGATATTACAGGTACTTTGCAGTATGTTGCAGAATAGCAGTCCTCTGGAAGTTGGGCTTGTTGAACGGACCTTGCAGCTCATTGTCAGCAACCTTGCCGGCTCCCCGGGATTTGAAAATTATGGAGAGATCATACCTTCTTCCCTACTGAAGGCACTGGTTTGGAGTCCATATCAGTGTCCGTCAATACCCTTGCCGGCTTCTCAGGCTAAGAAACACGATAACATTGTTGGATGGAACCCTGGTATCTCCTCTGCTCACTGGGCTCGCAGCATTGGGCTTTTCTTGACAAAAGCGGCTCCCAAAGATCCCGTTATTGGGCCACTGGAAAGCATTCTTCGCGTCATACCTTCATTGGCAGTCCAAGTTCTGCCATACATTCTGCATGACGTTTTGCTCACGGAGCTTGACGGCGAGGCCAATGTTAGGCAAACCATTTCTGACGTCTTCAGGCAAGGTCTACACAAAGCTGATGATCTTTCCATCCCTCATGTCCGTCTCATCATCAACTGCCTTCTGTATCTTCGGAATCAACCGCGTCCACAAGAAGCGACGATAGTAGAACGTGATGAGTGGCTTGAAATCGATTTTGCCGCGGCATCCAAGGCTGCAAACACATGCCGCTTACCCAAGACAGCTCTGCTGTTTCTCGAGATACAGGCCTCGCGGGTCGTGTCAGGGTCTCGCCGCTCCTCTCTTGTGAAATATGAACCACCTCCTGATCTCCTTCATGACATCTTCAGAAACGTAGATGATCCGGATCTTTTTTACGGCGTCCAGCAAAGCTCGTCACTAGAGTCCGTCATGGAGACCTTGGAACATGAGAGCTCCGGGTTCAAGAATCTCCTTTTCCAGAGTGCCCAGTATGATAGCGAGATCCAGATATCCGGAGACGCCGAGGCACATGGTCTATTAAAAGCACTCAACTCAACTAACCTGCAGGGAATTGCAAACTCATTGACCTCGACTCTTAAAGGCTCAAAAGGCTCGCTCTCGTTTGATAGCATGATGCAGGCTGCGATAGATCTGCGACAATGGGATCTACCAGTTTCACCATTGAATACCTCTCCGTCCGCTGCACTCTTTAGAACTTTTCAAAGCCTGAACACTTCGAGATCTCTGGTTGATGTTTTGAACTCCGTCAATGAAAGCATTCTGGCCATATTGGGCTCGCTAGGAAGCACGAGTCGCTCAGCTATGTCCTTCCGGGCAGCGATGAGAGACTTGGGAATTGTGACCGAGATAAGCGACGTCTTGTACGCGAAGACTCTCGAAGACATAAGTGACGAATGGCGGAAGATCGCGGAAAGAAACTCTTGGTTGAAAACAACAGGGTAAATGCGAGGCCATCTGAATTCCGCTGAAAAAATGCTAATTCTTGTAGTGTCCATCAGGTTGGGGAGATTCTAAAATGCCACGAGGCTTTGTTCTCCTCTATAAAGACAAGGGACCATCTCAAATCCGCCGTAGGACTAAGTGACCTAGATGCACAGCTACTGGAAGTCAAGGTCATTCGCCAGTCACTTGCCATCACGAGAAGTCATGGTATACCACAGGCCTCGTTGAAGTCTGCAGTGCGCTTGTCTAAGCTTGCAAACGTGTGTGTGGTGCAGGGAATCAATGTCGAAGGAGCAACAAAATTTGATCTGGCCAACGTCCTATGGGACCAAGGGGAGATGGCAGCGTCGATTCGAATGCTGCAACAGCTTGATAATCAAGGTGATCTACACAAGCAGGCAATCCCAATCAGCCGCCCGGAGCTTCTTGTGACCCTCGTGAGTAGAAATGCCTTTGCTTATTCCGTTGTCGTTTCTAATCATTTCCAGGGCCATCATGTGGCAGAAGCACGCTTGGAGAAGCCAGAAGCTATCATTCAGGGGTACCTTGGCCCTGCAGTTAAGGAACTTAAGAACCGTTCGGAAGCCGAAGAGGCCGGTAGAGTATATCACGGCTTCGCCATCTTCTGTGATCAGCAACTACAGAATCCCGACGGGCTGGAGGACTTTAGACGGGTCGAGCAACTACGTAACCGCAAGGAAAAGGAAGTACTGGGTCTTGAAGAGATGATGAAGAACGCAGAGGGCAAAGAAAGGGAGGCTCTGAGGCACTACCGAACCAAGACAAAGCAGTGGTTTGACCTGGACGATCGAGAATATCAACGTCTGCGACGAAGTCGAGAGGCTTTCTTGCAACAATGCCTCGAAAACTATTTACTTTGTCTCAAGGAAAGTGACATTTATAACAACGACGCACTCCGTTTCTGTGCCTTGTGGCTTGATAAATCCGACAGTGAGATTGCAAACAAAGCTGTCTCCAAATATCTCAACCAGGTCCCGAGTCGGAAATTCGCGCCACTGATGAATCAACTTACTTCTCGCCTCCAAGACACCTCTGACGAGTTTCAGAATATGCTCTTTGCATTGATTTTCCGCATTTGCGTCGAGCATCCCTTCCATGGCATGTACCAAATATTCGCCAGCAGCAAGTCCAAGGGTGGAAAGGACCCGTCAGCTTTGTCTCGTAATCGAGCGGCAAGCAGGCTGGTAGATTACCTGAAAAATGACAAACGGATTGGACCGACATGGGTTGCAGTGCACAACGCGAATATCAGCTACGTGCGTTTCGCGGTCGATCGACTGGACGAGAAGGTCAAGAGTGGTGCGAAGGTGCCATTGAAGAAACTCCTGACGGGCCAACGACTAGAACAAGACGCTTCGACACAAAAGCTGCCGCCACCTACGATGAAAATTGCCATTCGTGTTGATTGCGACTACAGTGATGTTCCTAAGCTTGTTCGATATCATCCTGAATTCACGGTTGCATCTGGGGTGAGCGCACCGAAAATTGTCACCGCCGTAGCAACAGATGGTCACAAGTATAAGCAACTAGTAAGGCTTGCATTCCGTCGTCTTACATTGAATCGCGAAGCTGACGGTCATTATCACAGTTCAAAGGAGGTAACGATGACCTACGGCAGGACGCTATCATGGAACAAGTATTCGAGCAAGTGAGCAGTCTTCTCAAGGACCATCAGGCGACGCAGCAGCGGAAGCTGGGGATCCGTACATACAAGGTCCTACCGCTGACGTCGAATGCGGGAATCATTGAGTTTGTGCCGCATACCATCCCCCTGCATGACTACTTGATGCCGGCGCATCAGCGATACTACCCCAAGGACATGAAGCCAAATGTGTGCCGAAAGCATATCAGCGACGTACAGACGCGCTCTTTTGAGCAACGAGTCAAGACATTCCGCCAGATTACGGAACATTTCCATCCGGTCATGCGGTACTTCTTCATGGAGAAGTTCAACAGTCCGGACGATTGGTTCAGCAAGAGGCTCTCATATACTCGGAGCACTGCGGCGATTTCCATTCTGGGGCATGTGCTTGGGCTTGGCGATCGGCATGGGCATAATATCTTGCTAGATGAGAGAACGGGAGAGGTCGTTCATATCGATTTGGGAGTGGCTTTCGAGCAAGGCCGAGTCCTGCCAGTCCCTGAGGTGGTTCCTTTCCGACTGACGCGCGACCTGGTTGACGGTATGGGCATCACGAAGACAGAGGGTGTCTTCCGGCGATGCTGCGAGTTCACTCTCGAAGCACTTCGGCAGGAATCGTACAGCATCATGACGATCCTGGATGTGCTTCGGTATGATCCTCTGTACAGCTGGACTCTCTCTCCGCTGCGGATGAAGAGGATGCAAGATGCTCAAGAAGCCGGTGATGGTCCCCCCATGATATCAGGTGCTGCGGAAGATCAACGATCAGCGAATGAACCTAGCGAAGCGGATCGCGCTCTGACAGTTGTGGCAAAGAAACTGAGCAAGACTCTCAGTGTCACAGCGACTGTCAATGAACTGATTCAGCAGGCAACTGATGAAAGGAACCTTGCTGTTCTCTATTGCGGTATGTCATTGGAATTTCTCTCAACGATGATGTCGAAGGCTAACGTTATTTCCAGGCTGGGCCGCATATGCATAGACACACAAAAATGTGCAGCAAAGCGAATTCTTAAGTCCAAATTCTTTCTGCTTCGTCGTCGACACCCCTCCCTCTTCTTGTTTGAAGCCTCTTTGTATGAAATCCGTTCCATAGCCGTGCTTGATGGATTTGCAGTAAATAAGTACAACGCTTTCCAGGGTGCAAGACTGTGTACATAGTCAAAATAAGAACATCACCCCAGATCGCAAGCTTAGAACTTTTGCCGATGTCTATAGTTCTGGACCCTGAATGTAACTGGCCATGTGATGCCGCATTGAGCCACACTTTTGCGAGACCAAAGTGGCCACTTCTTCCCACTTCCGCCAGTCAGAAACTTTTAATAATTGGTGATCAGTCTTCCTTGAAGACAGCGTGTTCATCCGTATTTTATGCCTTCGAAGGTATATCCCTGTTAGACTGCATTAAAAACTGTCAAAAAGGCTTGGCTTCAATTTTTCCCAAAGCGGTAAAACCACACGCACCTGCTGCCTCTTTTACCCAATACGGCAAGTGGCATCGCGATTTTGTCCGAGATTAAAAATAGCACGACTCCTAAACTATACATTCGCGACAGATTCATCACTGTGGTGTCGTGGCCTCAACTTGTTGAGAACTCATTTAACTCTAGTATTTCTCAGGACTGTGTTTGTCAGCGGTGCTTTTCGACATATGCTCAAGCCAGCATGTCGACCGTATCTCCCAACAGGGGTATCGTGGTCTTCTCGGGAGGAAGCGCTGCCAACAATCTCGTCGATGTCTTTAGCAGGATACGCGAGAGTAAGGATTGCTTGTTAAGCTACATCATCCCCATTAGCGACAATGGAGGCTCCTCCTCTGAGCTGATCCGAATATTCGGCGGTCCTGGCATCGGCGATGTGAGAAGTAAGAAGCATATCTCCTCAAGAAAGATAGCTATCTTTAAAGCGATCTCCAGTCCGGTACTAACGGTGCTTACAGGTAGACTGGTCCGTCTGATCCCTGACTCGCCTCCGAATTCAGAACGGGCAGCGATCAAGACCCTGTTCAACCACCGGCTCCCTTCGGACGCTGTCACGGCCCACAGAGCATGGCAGTCAATCGTAGACGGTACTTCCGAGCTCTGGAAAACCATCACGCCCGCCAAGAAAGAGCTGATACGCTCGTTCTTCAACTTGCTGAACCTGGAGATCCTCAAGCGGGCACGACCGCCCTCGTCGACCTTTGACTTCACCTCGGCCAGCGTCGGCAATCTCTTCCTCACCGGCGCACGCCTGTTCAGCGGCAGCTTCGAGAGCGCTATCTACCTCCTAGGAAGCATCTGCGGCGTCCAATCCGACCTGGTCCGCGTCATCCCAGCCATCAACTCCAACTTCTCCCACCACATCTCCGCCTCCCTGGCCGACGGCACCGTCATCGTCGGCCAGAACAGCATCTCCCACCCAAGTGAGGCCACCGCCCTCCAGCCCGGCCAGGCTCCAGACGGCCCAGCCTCCTCCTCGCCGACGGCGCCTCCGACCTCGAGGACACAGAACCCTCCGACGCCTCGGACGCCGCCACCTACGAAGACGACCACCTTCCCGGCTCGCTCCCCACCCTCCGCAACAAAAACATCCAGTTCAGCAAATCAGCCAACGAGGACCTGCCCGCCCGCATCACCCGCATCTGGTACATAAACCCCTACGGCCAGGAGATCCGGCCCCCGCTAACCCGCGCGTCCTCGAATCCCTTCGCAACGCCCAGGCCATCATCTACAGCATCGGTTCCCTCTACACTTCCCTCGTCCCCTCCCTCATCCTCCGCGGCGTCGGCCAGGCAATCGCCACCAGCCCAGCCCGCCACAAAATTCTTATTCTCAATGGCTCCCTAGACAGGGAAACCGGCCCGCCCTCGCAGCTCTTCACGGCGGTCGATTTCGTCGAGGCAATCGCCCGTGCAGGAGAGGAAAGCCGTGGCCGGCCAGCCCACTTGCCTTCGCCGCCGTATTCCTCCTACGTTACGCATCTTCTGCATCTCGATGGGCCGGGAACGCCCCAGGTTGACCGCGAGCGCCTGGCGGAAATGGGCGTCGAGACGCTCCGTTTATACGGGCGGAAGATTACGGCGCCGGGGCCGGACGGTGAGGAGGTTGCCTTGGGGATGAAGTATGATCCTACGGCTCTTGTGCAGGCGTTGGAGGTAGTACTGGGTCGTAAAGGGGATGCGATGCTTCGTGGGGATGGGCTGAGCAGAAGAAATACATTAGATCCTGGGAGGAGAAGGGCAGAAGAAAAATAATAGATTTAGAAAATCAATACAATATAATGATCTGGTTCAACTTTGCTGTTTCGATATCATTCAGATTAGTAGCATCAAAGAGGAGTATTTACAGATCAATATATATCACAGAAATAACCACCCAGTTCCCCTCGGTAGAATACAGCAAGCCCAAACGTACCATCTCGACCAGCCGCTGCAACGCCATACCAATGCTTTTACAGAACGTTCGTCAGACGATAACATAAAAGAGAAGTTACATGATTAGTGCATGGAAAGGAATACACAGTCATGGGGAATGAAAGGGAAGAATAGGACGGATTCTCAGACTAAGGCCGGGCGGCCGGTCTGGGTTTCCATGTCTGCCGGTTCATATTGAAGTGGGGATGCCTGCTCCCCTGTGGTAGATACCGGAAATCGCGGTACAGTCCAGAATCAATGTCCATTAGGACCGCTTTTTGAGGCTCCGCTGAAGGGAAGTTGGTCGATTTGGAACCGTTTCGAACAGAGCGTGCCGTTGAAGAGGTGGCAGCCTTCGTCTTCGTCACCTCCTTGATGATTTCTCGAAGCTCTTTGTCATCTTTGGTAATCTGAGCTTTGATGAAAGCAGGATTATTGGTGGCTTGAAGCGACGCCATCACAGATTCTCGTGGCGTGTAAGTGTATTTCTGGGGCGAAGGAGGCGAAGCCGGGACTACTGAAGGATCCAAATATGCTTCTTGGTCCTTGTCTAATAGCCGACTAATGTCCAAGCTTTCTCCGTGTGGGATCTTGTGTGGATGAGAAGGAGTTACGCAGTCCATGTCCACCTCTTTACGCAGTACGTGGTCGATATCGACTGCCGAAAAGTAGGCACAAGACTGAGGAAGATCGTCGATCCCAACTTGTTGCGAAAACATGGCGCGGGTCCAAACGTTGGCCACCTGTAGGGCCATGGCAGCTCGATACTTGTCCTCTTCCTTGACAAGGTACCGGATTTCGTCATGGACGGTGATTGCGAGTCGAGCATCTATGTTAAATCGTCGGATAAGATAATCCATGGATATTATCAAAAGGTGGAGATAATCGACCCCAGATGACTGGATTGCCCAGTTAATTCGAGAAGTCATGAAACTGCCCTTGTTGATGAAGCGCCGCATGAGTGCCTCAGTGATCCCAGCGCCGAGCGCAGGCGTACGCGGTCTTTCTTGGTCGGCGAATTCCTCCAATTTGTTGAAGACAAAGGACTCAGTACCTCCGCGCCAGAAAGGGTTCTCATTCAGGATACGACGAGTTGTGCGGGTGCCCTTTGTCTCTCTGTAGAGATTGGTTGCAACTTCTTGGGTCTCCTTCTCGGACATGGATGGATTGAACTGCCGAAGCAGTGTGGCAGCGAACTTGACACCAGCACCATAAATGCGTCCATAATTGAAAACCTTCGCGTCATTACGCGAAATACCCAGGATCTTGGCAGTGCGCGAATGCATATCAGTCCCAGCAGCCTTGGAACCTTCTAACGTCATGAATCCAATGGCATTGCCCCGTGTAATTGAAATTGAGCGTCCCCGACAAGACTGGCAATCCACAATTCCTGGGAGTCAACATCTGCACCAACAAAGACATATCCTGGCGGAGCTTTAATCATGGCCTTGAGTTCAGAACCCACGCGGTTTGCCTTGGCGTTGCTAGCTGTTAGCCACGTATTCTCCACTGCTCGCCGGGTGATCGTGCCCATAGGTATGATTTGAGGGAGAATAAATCCTAGTCGGTTTGACTTTTCACCTGTAGACCCGGACTGCTTGACTTGATCTTCGTAGACTACCATCTGACTCATGATTCTGTCACGGGCGCTGATCCAGTATGAGCAGGAGGCATTCATTTCCAGAGCTTCTTTGGCGAGTGCGTATTGCGATGAAAGCGTTCCCCGCTCAAAGAATTGCAGATAGCCCTTGGCTAATGGGTTGACGCAACGTGCTTGTGGGCCATCCTTATGAGGGAGTTTGAAGTACACATGTTTCCTATCGTCGCGCAACTCTAGATTCTTCTCTTCACTCATATCACAGAGAACCACAGGCTGGTTTTCGAATTTTTTGACCTGGTCTTTCGGGACTTTGAATGTCCATCCAAATTTATCGGACCATGTCAGAGGGTAACCGTCCCATGACAGCTTCAATAGTATAGGGGCAATCCGGGTGCGCACAGTCAGGTTGATGTCCGCTGTAGTCGAAGGAAAAAGATCTTTGTACCATTGCGGCATGCCTGGTTTCTTCTGTCTGGCCGCGGGTCGGGGAGGATCACCCTTCTTCTTGCCCTTGACCATTTTGATTTCTTGGCCAGACCAGTCCAGCTGTCGCAGCCAAGGGTCATTCATGTAAATATCGGGCTTTTCTTTGACCTCGAGAGCTTTGTCGCACAGTTCAACTAGCCTCCGTTGCACATCGTCGACTCGTTGATGATATGTTGCTTCCGCGTTCGTAATATACTCTTTCCACGTTTCGTTGACAGGCAATATAACAGAGGAAAGATGGCGGAGAGCTCCAAAGCTGACAGGATGAGGACAGACTTCAAGGAAGTTGGGAAACACCTTCTTGTACACGCGATGGGTGATGGCGACGTCCGCGGCACAGTAATCCAGCAATTCTTCCAGCTTTCCCAAGATCTGCTCCCTGTTAAGTTCGCCAAAATAGTCTCTTTGCGATTTGTCAATCGTAACGTCGCAGTGAAACTTGGCTACATCGCGCAAGGAATTCACTGAGCTCCTTCCTACCCACAATTCCTCCTCTTCTTCGCTCAGCATTTTGCTTTCGAGCAACGCAGCCAGCTCGACGGAGTTGCTCTCGTTTGCAATCTTGTCTCTCAGATCCTTATTCTTCTTATGACGCATCCATGTGGGTCTCTGCTGCGAGCACATCCCGTTGACAGCGACGTGGAGTGACATGGTATCAAGGAAGAAGTTGCGAGTCTGTTCCATTCCGTACTCCTCGAGGACGCGCGCTCGGTCATACCCGATGTTGTGTCCAACCACGATCCGCGGTTGCTTTGTATCCCCCAAAGGTATGAGTTGAACTTCGTTCTCTGACTCACCGAGAAGCCAGGGCGAAAGCCATGCATACCAGGCTGTAGGGCTCACAGCGCAAGCCATAACAGCAAAGGAGTGTTCTTTGTACATGACCTCGGTATCAAAGGTGAGCATCGACTCATTTGGTGCGTCCGCAGGCTCCCAAGAACCGTCAGGATTATATTTGGTCCATCCGCTGCGCTTGACCCATTCGCGCGGCTTCTGAGGCGAGTTGACAGTTGTATAGCTTTTCGCATAGGTTAAGTAGGGCTCGGATGCATCCATTCCCAGCTTGAAGAAGTGCTCGTCCATGGTTTGTCCCTGGAGGGCGGGCATGTCGAATGCAATAGGTTCCGCGGCATCCTGAGATTTTCCTAGCAGATCGTGCCTTGAAAGGTGTTCCTTGGACAGTGCAACCAGGACCGGATCTGGCGATCTTGCCTGATTCGGAAATATTTGAGAATAGACATGGTCGCTCAGCTGTTGAACTCCAATCTCGTTGAACCTAGGCAATGCAGGGACTGCAAGATTAGTATATGTATTTGTTCCTTTTTCCTTGACTTGCGCCGGCCAGGATGAGGATAGAAGTACCTGAAAGCGATCGACGGCGCCGTGTTTCAACACCATCTCCTGACGAAGGTTCCGAAATGAACGATCTAACCAGCCGTAGCAGAGGTCGTTGTCGGGTGAAGCGTGGCGAGCGCAACCTCTGGGAGCAAGGACGTAGAACATCCCTGCAACGGGGGGCGATCGCACTATTTAAAAGCATTCTAGATCATAAACCTCAGTCAAGGTTATCCCCATGACATGGTATATAGGGTCGCGCAGCCAATGCTGCGTAGAAATAGCCTGTCTAGTGAGACGTCGTTTCGAGGTGAGTCGGCGCAAGGTACACAATTCTACAGCGATTCTAGACTTTCCTATCGCGGAAAGCCCGTCGTCATGCCTGTCGGAGATCGGAATTACAGATGATCCTTCAAACATTCACCGCCTGCCTTTATGGCTTCGTCGTTATCGTCATGTGAGATTGTGCGATAAGCCTGTTGGCAGTTTATCGCCCCTCCAAAGTACCGCTCTAGCCTTCCTTATGAACTGGCAAGAAATTATATGCGTTCATTAGCGATTCCCACTCCTCTATGGCTTCACTTGTGAGGAGTATCTCTCATGCTCGACGGAGTCCTTCCACCCGTTCTGTTTCCATCGAGCCTTCAGATCGAGACCAGCATGCGCGAAAGCGCCGCCGTGTGAATGATGTCGAGACAACAGGCATTGGGGAATCAGCAGATTATTCGGACACTTCAACTGCTTCCACCATTTCCACATCTAATCCGGGAGCTCACGACAGAGACGTTGAACCAATCGAACAGATTGATTTGACAGAAGTGGAGGGCTCGGCTGCGCTTGCAAAAGCGTTGGCAAAGCAGCGAGAAGATGCTGTTAGGGCACAAGAATCTTTGCATCAAGGGAGTGGTCGTTCTGTTCTGACATCATATAAATGCCCTGTGTGTATGGATACCCCAGTCGATGCCACAAGCACTGTATGCGGTACGTATCTCCTGTGTGTAGCACACGGAACCACATATTGACGGAGTCAGGGCATCTCTTCTGTCACAAATGCATAATGGATACACTGAAATTTAGCGAAGAGCAGCGGTCAGATGCATCAGGAAAGGGCCCTCGCGGCACTTGTCCTGTCTGTCGAAAGCCTTTAGCAAGAACAGATGCACCAGTACCCAGAAGGAATTTAGTTCCCCTGCAACTGAAACTCGTTACAAAACGGAGAAATCAGGCGACTACGGAAGGCACATAACAGTCACCGAAGCTGGGGTTATTCATGACCATTTCAGGGCCGGCGTAGGACTAGACTAGTGGTTATTGAGCGGACCGGATTGCATCGGGATGAGCGATTACAGCGTTTAGCAGGCGTTATGGCATATTTTGAATCATTTACTAGGACATCCTAATCGATGGGCTTACTGATAACGGACCTAATTGAACTCCAAGAGTCCGAGTGCTCTATTGACCGAGCAGAGTATGATGGCCGCGAGGTTGATTCTGTGGGCTGACTAGCTGCCAATTCGATAACTATTTCAAGTTTGTCCTTGAACTTGTTGGTCCATAGGGTGTATCCTCGTAAATGATAGAAATCATCAATTATCAAGGTCAGGAAAGGATCGACATTCCGCTGTTCAGGATGACGTATTAAGAGAGACTACTGTAGCCATCCTGTTCTGGATGAACATGAAATAAACCAGTTAAGCATCATGGTTATAAACTAGGCCAAGCTTATGATTTCTCCTATTACTGTTATGGTGAGAATCAGCTCCAGCTGATGCAGCTCCAATCATTTGCCAGTTGCCAAGAGGTGTGCCCAGTCTGTCACCCTAAACACGCCGCATCCGTGGATGAGACGAGACTGCCAATTGCCCAACTCCGCAATCATCGAAACCCCAGGAATACCAGGCGTCGAAGCTCGCCATCCACGACTTCCTATATATTTCGTCTTACTTGTGCAACTGCTGTTAGTTCCGTCCAGAGCTTCTCCGTTTGTCGTCCACAGAAGCAGATCCAAGCGCATTCAACAAAGTCAAAATACCCGCGATGAACTCTTCCTTTGGGCCCTCCTGCATCTTGATGAGGTGCTCACAGTTTCTCCTTGCTCTGACCTGGGACGAAAAGCTACTTCCATAATATTTTCAAACTCTTTTTCTCAGATTGTTCGCTTCCCTTTGGTACCCTGGCGCGATTACTCGCCAAATCAACTTTGTTCGATCAGGGCTTGTTCCGCTTCATGCGACAAGGATGTTCTGAGTTTGAATGCCTCTAGCTCGTGCACAAGCTATCATAGTCGTTCGTCACCATGAGCATTCACTCACTCGACCATGCGCGGACCATTGAGCTGCCGCCTGTCGCTCTCGATGAAAGAGACATCGAGGCAAATCCGCGGGCATCTATCGCACCGCCATCACCCTTTTCCACGCCCGCCAAGGGAATGGCTCCTCGTTCGCCTGAAACATTTACTACTGCGGCTCGGATCACATCGCAGGATACGGTCAAGCATCGCGTGCGTCGCTCCAACACAGCCCGCTCTTATCATCCCGACAGCGTTGCTCATGATCCCAACTGGCAACCGGGAACAGAACCAGGCATTGACCCGAACAAACCTCCTCCCGCCTACGGTGCTGATTGGGCACCTCATATACCCACTGAATTACACAGAAGATGTGAGATAATCGTGGTGGACTTTTCGCAACATGAAATGCGGCAGTACGAGCTGGACAATGACACGCTGGAAGCCTTCCTCGAGCGACAAAGGGAGCCCTGGGTCCAGTGCAGGTGGATCAATGTCAATGGACTGAGTTGGGATGTGATCAGGATTTTGGGAAAACATAAGGGCCTCCACAGACTTGCAATTGAGGACATGATCAACACGACAAACCGTACAAAGGCGGACTGGTATTCGGATCACGCCTATATCGTGCTTACCTTGCAGAAACTGGTAAAGCTGAGGGAGGAGTCTAGCAGTGACTCTGAAGAGGAAGAAGAAGACGGACGAAGCTCATTTGCCCGCGACCGCAGAAGTTCGACATCAAGTGGGAAGACCCATTCACTGAAGCGACCAACGAAAAGATCGCTCGTTGTGGCCGCATTGAAGGATCTCTTCACATTTCGGTCATCGAAGGAGACAGACGACAGATATGCTGGCGGGACAAGCGCTCGCCCTTCGTCGGGGAGAGCCTCGTCGAAAACCCAGTCTGGTCTGGGTGACACTGCCAGTGCTGGGTACACGGCGCGCAGCATTCAACGCTTCCGCGGAGGCCCGAACGAGGACAGGATCGCGTTCATGGAACGCCACGCTGTTCTAGCATCGAAAGGTCTGAGTGTCACACTCGAACAGGTTTCGCTATTCTTGCATGCAGATAATACGGTCACATCCTTCTTCGAGACCAGTGCCGACGACATTGAGGCGCCTATTGTTCGTCGCCTCAGCTCACCGGAGACGATTTTGCGCCAATCCTGCGATGCCAGCATGCTCTTGCAGGCGATATTGGACGCCATAATTGACCTGGCTATACCAGTGACGAGTGCGTATCAAGACGCAATCGGTGACCTGGAACTTGAAGTTCTCACAGATCCCGACGTGGATCAATCCAAAAGCTTGTATATACTAACGTCCGAGATTGCTGTTTTGAGAAGCTCCATGCAGCCGATTGTGACGGTCATCAATGCCCTCCGGGACCATCGCTCAGAGCCCGTCAGTACCCCTGGCTTCGGTCTCAAGCAACTCGGTACCGCAACGCCACTCTCAATGTCTTTCAACTCCTCAGACGGTCAACCCCAGGTGGGGGTAGCCACGCCAAATCTCAAGAGTTTGGGTGGGTCAAGTGTTTCGATCAGCCACATGTGTCATACGTACCTAGGGGATGCGCTGGACCACTGTATAACCATTGTGGAGACATACGATCAAATGAGACGTGCTGCTGATAATATGATTGATCTGATATTCAACACAATCGGTAATATCCTCCCGAGGACGAGTTGAGCTTCGTGTGCTGACTGCCTGCAGGAGCCTATCAAAACGAAAGCATGAAGCAACTGACACTTGTGACATGCTTCTATCTACCATTGACATTCTTGACTGTTCGTCAATCTTTGCACCTGTTTGAGTATTTCACCGTGTACTAACCTCAAGCTAGGGTTACTTTGGAATGAACTTTGAGCACTTCTCTGGAATCCAGCATAGTGATTCGTACGTTTCTTCCTGTTCCGTCTATCTCAAGATCATACTAACTTCTCTGAAAGCTACTTCTGGATGATTGCGGTTCCTTTCGTCTTCGCAACGACTATTTTCCTGATGTAAGTGACCTTCGTCCTCGAGACAGAAATAATGCTAATGCTTTGACAACAGGCGGGACAAGATTCAACGCTACGCAGTGCTGCTCGCTCAGAGACGGTTGATCACCAGCTCGAGGAAGCAGAGACGGGAACGAAGGGCCGTGAAACGAGCTTGAGTTTATACCAGCAATGGTATATTTGGAAATATCTGGTCCTTGATGGACGGATACAATCTATAGTACATACAAGACTATATACACGGTAAAATAATATTTTTGTCTATATTCGTACACAATTGTGCAAACAAGTCCTCGCCATGAGAAGCACCCATATTAGAGAGACTTCCTGTTAAACGCCAAGTAAGCCTTCCAGGGCAGCCTCCAGTCAGACCGAAGCAGCTCCGGCCGGAAGATATCGAAATCGACCTTCTGCAACCTATCCAGCCAAAGGCGCGTGCTCACCGCAGGCAGGAACACACCAAAAGCCCGATTCACCTCGTCCAAAGGCGACTCGTCGCGTTGGCCCCTGCCCGCGAGGTACTCATGCCCCTCCTCACCCGCATGCTCAAAATCATGCCCCACATCCTGACCAGCGCGGAGGTTGCTGAGCATTTGCTGCACGGTAATCAGATGATCGCTGGCCCGCGTCGCAACCGTGAAGACGGCGTCACGTAGTCCCGGTGCCTCGCCGCCCATCCGGAAGACATCTTCCTCCTTCACGCCCGCCTGCGCCATGACGTCCAGCGGCAGCATCACCGCACCTTGCTTAGTGCCTCCGAAGTTGCCCGAGGCAGGCTGCGTGGGCGACTGGGCCTGAGGAGGTGGGAACGCAACCAGCGGCAGGCCGCGGAGGACCGCGGCGATACCAGCTGCTTTGCCGATGTGCGATGCGACGTGGTCGGCTGAGATGGAGGTCATGGGCAGCGAGGACAGCGTCAGGTAGAGCAGGGTCGAGTAGGTGTTTTCTGCGTAGGTTTCCAGCGCGGCGACAGTTGGGTACGGGTCGTTGGTGAGGGTTTGCTCGCGCGCGTTGATCATCTTGTTCAGCCAGGCTTTGCTGATCCGGGCTTGGCCTTGTGTGCGCTCGTTGAGGTCTGCTATTGCGGACGCCAAGAGGATGGCGATGGGTTCTTTGGGGGTGAACCGGCGAGGATCTTGGCGACGGCGTCGCGCCAGAATTGCAGTCGCATTAGCCCAATTGTGTAAGAGGAGGTGGTCTCGGGGATCATGGAGAGGGTGACATTCAGGGCTCGGAGGGCGAGGTAGGATGTTTGCGATTTCTGCGGGATGAACGTGCTGAGCGTGTAGGAGGGCCGGTCATATTTCCTATACGTTCCATGTGAGTTGGTTCGCCTATATAAAAAGGAAAGGATGTCTCGTACAAAAGGAGATCCGAGCAGTATTTCCGCGCAGCTTGGACTTCTGCTTCAGCTGCGCCGGAGACGGGACTGGCGGCTGGCGCTGATCGAGAGAGATGCCTTCGTTGCTGTGGTTGTACTCTAACCTGAGAAATGGGACATGATCGTGCCCTGGCACGACATGCACGGGCAATTTCCTCTAGCAATGACATTTTATAGGAGGTTTTTTGAGCCAAGGTGTTTCTGCTTCAGATGAATGCTGGCATGCACATAGCTGCGTCTTCTAGATATCTTGTCAACAGACCAAAATCTCAATGATGGAGTAGACCCCTAAGCTCGAAACATACCGGGAAAAAGGAAAATAGTCTATACGGATGAATTGCTGGTCGTATCGACGACAATGTGACAATTGAAGCCGCCCATAAATTTATTAAAGAATGACGTCGGCCCGAAATGCAGCGGTCCATCGCGTCTTTCTCGGTCTCGGCGCGTCTCCCGTCCATTAATGATCAGGCACATCAATTTTGATGGCTTTTCTGCTCAACTCCAACATCCCCTCGTCATAAAGTCGGCCATCTAATTCGAGATCAGATTTATAAAATGGTTTTTGGGGATCTGGATGAACGGCCTTTAAAGAAGAGACGATTTTTTGTTGACGAAGAGGATACACACCGGACCCCTTCTAACGAAGCTGCACCCATTGCCACGAATCTCGACGCGTCTACGACTTCCTCTGCTGGTCCAGAGGGGAGTGACATTCAACGGCAGCAGCTGAACGATGACCACTCGTTTCCAATACTCAAGGAGTCTCGCGGAGAGAGCCCAGAATTAAGCTCCGAAGATCAGAAGCATAACTTGCCCAAGGAAGACGACAAACAGGAGAACGGAAAGGTTGATCATGAAATCTGCGACCACTCTACTTCAATAAGTGCCCGGCCAGATCAACGGATTGACCAGGGTCTGACGGACGGATACAGACAACAAGCAAGTGCGGAAAGGACAGTTACCGAAACACAAGGATCTCAGAGTTCAGGTGGATTCGATATTGCAGCCTTTGCTAGCATCATTGGAGAACATCTTTCCCCGGAATCAGTAGAGAAAATTCGCAAAGCCTCTGGCGATGATCTGGAGCGAGCAGTCAACATCTACTTCGACGGGTCATGGAAGTCGTCGAACAACAGTCTGCCAAGTCAGGCTCCTGTGGCCTCTCGCCAACAAACACTCTCCACTCCTCGCACCCCAGTCAACGAACCGATTCCCCAGACAGTTGATACAACGATTAATCGAAAACCGAACCAAACCACATCGCGCCGCAGCCTTCCGCAATCTTCGAGATACATTGGCGCTTTCGGCGTCGGAGCTTGGGCTACAAGAAGCGGCGTTGGTCTACTCAAACACGGGGAGCATGTGAATGTTGAACGCGCGAGGTCTCAGCCGGTATCCAAGCGTGGCCGAGGAGGCAAGCTCATTACCAACCAGAAGGGGGATGTCCTAACTCGATTCACGAACAAATCCGGACAAGAAATTGGAAGGTTGCCGCGAGAGACAGCCGAATGGGTTTCAACTTTGATCGATCAAAAGATCTGTAAATTCGGAGGTATCTGCGTTTTTGCGCCTGACAGGGTCCGGGTCAACGATACGATATATCTGCAATTATGGTGCTATCTGCGTAAAGAGGCGTTTCTGCCTCGCAATCTTTGGAATATGGGCGACGACAACCGGTCAACTGCATTATTCGAAGAGCAAGAAAGCGCCGAAGAGAAACAGCTGCGACTTCGTCAGGTGGCGCTTGTGAAGCTCTTTGACGAAATTGGTCTACAACCGACCACTGTCAACGACATGACCAAAAAGCACAAAAAAGAAGGGCTGTTGCGTGCCGCGGAGATTGCGGAACAATACGACAAGACGAAGAAAGAAGGAAAATCCAACGAATCATCCGAAGATGAGGAATCTCCAGAGTTAGAAGAAGATCAGCTCGATACGCTATACAAGAAGGCGCAGTCTTTCGATTTCAACATGCCAGAGGCTCAACCTCCATCAAGCTTTGTGCTGAACCTGCGAAAGTACCAGAGGCAAGCACTGCACTGGATGCTGGCGAAAGAGAAAGATAAGAAGTCTGGCAGAGAATTGTCAATGCACCCTCTGTGGGAGGAATACACGTGGCCAACCAAGGACGTCGATGACAGAGATTTGCCAGCAGTCGAGGGACAGGCACATTTCTACGTTAATCCGTACTCAGGAGAGCTCAGTCTTGACTTTCCCGCACAGGAACAGCATTGTCTGGGTGGCATTCTGGCCGACGAAATGGGCTTGGGCAAAACCATTGAAATGCTGAGTCTCATACACTCGCATAGAAATGTGTCGCCGAGCCGGGAGGGTCCAAATTCTTCCACCCGGCTGGTAAGGATGCCTAGCTCCACGAATGCCGTGCTGCCTGCACCAAACACGACCCTTGTCGTGGCTCCAACCTCTCTCCTGTCGCAGTGGGAAAGCGAGGCAATGAAGGCCTCGGAACCGGGAACAATGAAGGTGCTGATGTATTATGGTGCCGACAAAACCGCCAATCTGCAAGAGCTCTGTTCCGCTGGCAATCCCGCTGCGCCTAACATTATAATCACCAGTTATGGTGTTGTACTGTCAGAATCGCGTCAGCTCGCCATGTTCAATTCCAATACTCAAGGTGGCTTGTTTTCTGTGGACTTCTTCCGCGTCATCCTCGATGAAGCCCACGTCATTAAGAATCGACGGTCAAAGACCGCAAGAGCTTGTTATGAGCTGAGAGCGACACATCGATGGGTGCTCACTGGAACGCCTATAGTGAACCGCCTTGAGGACCTTTTCAGCTTGGTGCGATTTCTACAAGTTGAACCCTGGAACAACTTTTCGTTCTGGAAGACGTTCATCACCGTACCCTTCGAATCCAAGGACTACGTTCGAGCTCTCAATGTCGTGCAGACCGTCCTGGAGCCTTTGGTTCTCCGTCGAACCAAGACAATGAAAACACCCGAGGGAGAGCCTTTGGTGCCACTGCCCCGACGGACCATTGATATTGTAGAAGTAGAGCTTTCCGAGCAAGAACGCGAAATCTACGACTATATTTTCACCCGAGCCAAACGCACTTTCAACGACAACATCGAAGCCGGTACGCTCCTGAAGTCATTCTCGACAATCTTCGCTCAAATCCTCCGTCTCCGACAGACTTGCTGCCATCCTGTCCTCACGCGTAACAAGACCGTTGTAGCAGATGAGGAAGATGCAGCGGCAACAGCTGATGCAGCTAACGAGCTGAAAGACGACATGGATCTGCAAGAGCTTATAGACCGCTTCTCAGCCAGCTTGGAAAATGCGGATTCGGCCGAGGCACAGGACCCGGGCGCCAAATTCACCACCCATGCCCTGAGGCAGATTCAAACCGAATCCAGCGGAGAATGCCCCATTTGCTCGGAAGAACCCATGATCGATCCCGCTGTTACAGCCTGTTGGCACAGCGCATGTAAGAAATGCTTGGAGGACTATATACGCCACCAAACAGACAAGGGCGTGACGCCTCGATGCTTTTCGTGTCGAGCACCAGTTACCTCACGAGACATCTTCCAAGTGATCCGTCACCAATCGCCTGGTTCGACCCCTACAGAGATTGATATCTACAGCAGCACTCCTGCTTCCAGTCCGCACCCAGCACCCCGGATCTCCCTCCGACGCATCAACCCTCTCTCACCGTCAGCTCACACCTCCGCGAAGATCCACGCCCTAATCAACCGCCTCAGCCGCGTCCCCGCAAACACAAAATCCGTCGTCTTCTCCCAATTTACCAGCTTCCTCGACCTGATCGGCCCGCAACTCACCAGAGCCGGCATCTCATACGTCCGCCTAGACGGGACAATGCCGCAAAAGGCCCGAGCCGAGGTCCTCGCGGAGTTCAGCAGAACCGAGACCTTCGATCAGGAGGAAATCGACGAGGACGAGGGCCCCGACACGCCCCGCGTGAAACCCTCCTCCGAGAACGCCCAATCATCAACCAAAAGCCCCACCGTGCTACTGATCAGCTTGCGCGCCGGCGGCGTCGGCCTCAATCTCACGGCTGCCAGTAACGTCTTCATGATGGATCCGTGGTGGAGCTTTGCGATTGAGGCTCAAGCGATTGATCGTGTGCATCGGATGGGCCAGCTGCGTGACGTCTCTGTGACGCGGTTTATCGTCAAGGACTCGATCGAGGGGCGGATGTTACGGGTGCAGGAGCGGAAGATGAATATTGCCGGGTCGTTGGGCTTGCGGGTTGGTGGTGATGGATCGGAGGATGAGAAGAGGAAGGAGAGGATTGAGGAGTTGAAGCTGTTGTTTGAGTAGTCGTTGATACCGTTGTTTGATACCATGGCAAAAGTACGGAGTACATGCTGCTATTATATACCCCTTGATGTTGCACCTCGAGATTTGTTACGAAAGGTTACGGTTTACCGCGAGGAATAGTTGCACATAAATGACATTCAGAATAGTAGATGACGATCTCCAGCGCGATACATTAAGCCGAAGCTTTACTCATAAATCAAATGAATGAAATCCAACCGAACCTCCAATCATTCAGTATCCCGATCTCAATGATTACCATGCTTGAACACCTTCCCCAGCCGCTCCTTCACGTGTCCCATCCTATGATGGTGATTCCCCGAATCACCCTTCTCATTCGTATCTTGGTCTATGAACGGTTAGCACACCTCACATGCACAACCACGTAAAGGGCAAATACTAACCAGTCCTCCTCTTCGACGGCTGCCCGTCAATCTCCTTCTCGAACTCATACGCATCCCGAGGCGCAGGACCCTGCGGCCCCTTCAGCGCCTCGACGCTCACCTGCTGCGTCGTGGTAGGCGGGGCGCGCTCAACACCGCCAGGTACGCCGCCGTCCTCCTTCTGCTGCGAGCTGCTGTCGCCGTCGGGCATGGTCTGGGATCGTTGTTCGGGGCAGGTTTCTCGGGCTCGGAGTGGGTGGGTGTGTTGTTGTTGTTGTTGTTGCTGCTGCTGCTTGAGCTGTTGCTGTTGCTAGTGCTGGTGGTAGTGTCTGCCGAGCTCGCGGTGGGATTCGACTGCTCTTGTGCGGGCGAGGGTTGGTCCACGGCTGGGTTGCTGGGTCCGGATCCGGGGTCTGGGTTGGTGTTGGGGGTTGTAGATTGCGACTGCGACTTTTCCTGTGTAGGTGTGGACGATGGCTGCGGAGCTACAGGGAGAGCGGTAGGGAGCCCTGCTCCTGCTCCGGCTCCGGCTCCCTGGTCCGAGGTGCTGTTGGCGGAACTGACGTCCGTGGGCTTGGTTTCAATGGGTGTAATTGATTCGAGTGGCTCGGGGATAACGGCGGTGTTGTCTTGAGTTTGAGGGGCGCCTGGTTGTTCTGTGTGCAGTGTTAGCCACTGTGTTTGGATAATAGCATACAATGCCACTCGACGCGACAGCCCGACGAAAGCATGTCGTCATCAAAGTACTCAGAACTCACCATCTCGGTTTCCAGCGTCGTATGGATCAGTGGGCGTTCCTCGACCCTGCACGCCGGAGACGGGTTCCTCGCCATGTTGAGTAGCAGCTTCTGTGACTTGCTGTGGGCCGAAAGCGAGGTTACGCAAGCCGTCTGCAGCATCACGTACGGCCTTCTGTACAGACTCCATTATCAGGCGTTGGGATGATAGGACGATGTATAGCAGGCAGTGAGGCGGTCTGTATATCAATGACGAGGTCGGTAGCGTTCAACGTGGGTAGTTTATCTCTCAAAAAATGCCAAGATTGAGTGTAAGAGTGGTAGATGCTTAATATAAAGCTGATCCAGAATCAGTTGACGATGGTTGTCTTTAATAGATCATAACCGTGTTAACAGTTTTGAGAGGCAAGTGTAAGACGGTCTACGTCAGTGGAGCTGGTGGCTGTTGTAAGGTACAGGGATCACCAAAGTGGCAGGTGCTGTAATTCCCGTCTTGCTGCTATTGGTTTTATCGATGATCTCAATAAAACTGAGCTGTCAATTGATCCTTTGCGGCTGACTGCCAGAGATACGTACGTCGTCGATCAGCTGGGGGAATGGCATCATAGCTACTGTGGTAGCTGGGATGCTTGACGTCATAGCCACGTGATATCATCACTACAGCAGCAGCAGTCAAACAGGACAACGAGAGCAGCCAAGAGCGGAGGGCTAATAACAGTTTTGAACATGATACGCTTGGAGATGAATGTCTCTGAATCTCCTTGATGGGGTCTAATCCTACTTGTATTAATGCCTGCACTCAGCGTCATTTTGTAGGATAAGCATACTGGGATCAATACAGAGGTTCCGTATTGAACAGTAAAATGTATGACGACTATCGATAACTTAACCCAGCAGAAAGGATACGCAGCAGCCTATCCTGCATGGGCACATTTATTCATGTATGGTCCATGAGGGAAACAACATGCAGCTAAAGTAGGCCCAAACAAAGAGCACGGCTGATTGCAGGGACACGAGAATGAAACCAAAATACCATAAACTGATCCATAACAATAGCATTAAAGACACAACCAAGTTCCCGCATATCTCAAACCAATGGTCACTTAGTTTTAGCTTCAGGGTTAAGAGGATGATCCGGGTCGTATCCGACGCTCTTGACGATTCCCAAGCCCTTGGTTTTACCCTCCCGGAACAAGACTCGATCGCCAGGGGCCAAGAATTCCGGACGTTGGATGAATCGGAAGGCAACAAGAGCTCGATCGCCCGTTCGAATGAAGGGACGGTCAATATCGATGACCGAGCAAGTCTGACTCACTGCGCCGACGTGTAGCATTGCTTGATACCTCGGTTTGATTGTTGTAGCGTGGGAAAGAATGAGAACTGTTCCAAGTCAGCGAGAAATCTTATATGGACACCAGATAATAGAACGTACCCTCAGCGACAAATTCACGGTAGACCTTGGGAGGCTGTTCCAATTTCTTGAGAACCACCATTCCCTTACGCACTTCTTTTCTACGCACACGCTTGAGAGCAAATGAGCCAGACTGTCCCGCAAAGCAAGCATTCACTTGGATCCGCTTGCGTTCAATCGACTTGATTGTAGTCGTGGTGAACTGGCCGAGAGAATCAGGGCCCACGAGCACCGAATCGCCAGCATGGATCACCCCGGACTTGGCCACTCCAGACACCACGGTTCCGACATGAGGAACAGAGAAGGTATCATTAATCAGGAATTCAAAGGGCGCTTCTGTGTTGTATTGGCCCCGGTGCGGAAGAATGTTCAGGAATGTCCGTACCAGTTCCAGATTCTCACCGGTGACATTGGACACTTGGAAGATGGGGCAAATGCGCTGACTGACGAATTGAGTTGCGGTGTTGATGGTCTCCTCCATATCCTTCACGAATATGGGAATCTTCCGAGCGCCCGGGGACTTGAGAATCTTGGTCAGCTGAGAGATGGTCTCCTGCAGGATCTGCGGAGGGCAGATATCAATCTTGGTGATAATCACCATGACTGGCACATTCAGAGCCAAGGCAATACCCAGATGCTCTTTGCTCATACCAATCAGACCGTTGTTGGCTGCGACCATCAGTAGACAGTAGTTGGGACTGCTGCTCAACATGCCAAAGACAGTAGTTCTCAAGTAGCGCTCATGGCCGGCCAGATCGGAGAAAGAGATCACCTTCGCAGATCGCTTTCCTATCTCTTCCCAAGAAAGTTTGCGACCCTGCGAGCTGCCGACAATCTCGCCGTGGCTATCAAAGCCCATGATCTCCAGTCCGACGGAGCTGGTCCGACCGCTCTCGACTTCATGCTTATGGCGGAAGAGATTGATCCGCGCCCTGCCTCGTCCGTCATCGAGATTCCCCTTGACGAGTACTCCAAGCATGGTACTCTTGCCGGCGTCGACATTCCCAACAACCGCTATTCTAATCTCAGCCATCTCCTCCACAGTATCCGCAGGTTGGCGGATCAGGATCTTGCCCCAAGCACCCTTGATCCGGTCATTCTTGGTTTTCGACTCCTCCGGGCCTCCCACATTGCAGGTAAGTAGGATTCGACAATGTGCCGGGAGGGTCTCTGCCGCCTCCCGCAGACGCTGCAGGGCCGTATTCCACTGCTCCAGGTCGAAGCCCATGGAGTCGCCACCATCCTCGAGTCCCAAGTCGAAGATGGTTTCCCCATGGCCCTCGTCAATCCGGGCCTGCAGGATACTGCCCAGCAGCTGCAGACTGTCTTCTGCTTCGTCACCCGTACCGAGCAGCAGGTCTTTCAACTTGGCCGCCTTCGGGGTATCGGATAGCGTGAGTTGGTCAAGAATATCGAGTTCCGCGTGGTCCTCGGTGGCTTGGGCTACGCTCGCGGTCGAGTAGCCGCTATCGCTTGGGGCCACCGGGGCCGAGCGATGCGACTGCTGCTTCTCTGCATATTCTGCAAATTCACTCAGGGCCTTGACGGCGAATAATTAGCAGGAATTCAACGAGTCTTGTTACTAGATGAGGAAGGTTGGGAATCATACTATCTCGCCTCTCCGCCGCTCCTCGAGTGAGAGTTTGGGACCCTGTGGCATGGCCGGATTCAACAAAAGAAAAGATCAAAACACAAAGCACAAAGCACAGGACAGATAGAAAAATGGAAAATGGAAATCTAATGGAGAATTCTGAAGGCTGTACTTGTTCAATCGGAGAAAAGATGAAGTCGCCTGGGGCGCATTCAGACACGTATTCGTATTATCATAATTCCACTATGAGTGATCGAGGCAGGCAGCGTGTGAGGACTTCACCAGGACGTAGCAAAGATCAGATGCAAGCAATCAATCATATATAGGATCAAGTGAGGTGTACGAAACCGGACAGCAGGGTGGGTTGAGTCAGGCAAGTGGGAAAGAAGCGCTCAGTTGCGGGAACTGGGGAAGCTTTATCGATAGCGAGTCATCGCCGCGTCGGGGACCACGAGGAGTCCTTCGACTGAGTCACGGCGCTGCACCACATGAAGGCTGTGTCATAAGGCATATTTTCTATTGAATTCATCTAGCCATATTATTGGTGGGTCGAATTCTATTTCCAGACATTCAAGCGATATAGTGACCGCTACTTTCATGAGGCTCTTCATTAAGGTTATGACCTAAGTCACTGTACATCCTGTGCCATAATGTTTCCAACTTTTCACTCTGCGATGAATGGTGCAATTGCTCTGTACGTTTGCAGAGAATATTGAAGAGACACCTAATGGCCATCGTCTGGTTCGGTGTCCGTAGTCGCACCCCAGGATATAGCAGCAGGGATCTACATTGCCCTATACCGCTGTATATTCCATCAGGTGAACTGCATGTCGTCCCTAAGCCTCCTATCTGATGTATCGCAATATCACGCCTGTGGAGAGATCAATACAACCGAGTCACCTGCGTAGAAAAGTTCTGGATCAGTATGGCGGTCGAATATCGAGGCTATGGTTTCATTTCGAGCTCACCTCGTACAAAGAGCATCTCCTCTTGCTTCTTTATTGTCTGTATTCGCCGACCGAAATGTTAGCTCATGTCCTCATCAATTGAACGCGATCACAAGCCTATCGGCCACCTGATGGGTAGTCGTACTCGGATGGTCTCCTCTTCATTCTCATCCTCCTCCACCACGTAGATGGTCTCCTCGACATCACCCAGCACAAGATTGCAGTGGCTATCGTAGGCCTGCAAGAATCCCATGTCAGATCCAGCATTGCGCAAAAATGCGACCGGCACTCAGGTGAACTCACGTGTAGACGACCCTTGAGCTCGCGATCGCCGCGGAGCTTCACGAAGACGATCTCATCGAGCGAGAGGCGGACCAGATCCAAAGGTTCGGAGACGGATCCAGCGCCAGTATCCTCGGTGTCGGCCATGTCTAGACAGCTAGGTAAGGCCGATAATAAAGCTACCACCGCAAAGAGGCTAGCTTGCAATGGGTGATGGTTGTGGGACGACAGTAGATAGGTATGCCGCAGTCTGAGAGTAGGTAAAATCCGCGGGCACAGACAATTGCAGGGATTCCACGCCAAGAGTGCAGCGGCCAACCAGAAGAAGGGATGGAGTGCCTTGAGGCCTTACCCCATGCATTTCCCCTCACATTGGACAAAACGCCCTGCATTGTCGCGACTTAGAGAGTGTCCTTTCCTGACATTCTTTCGTTTCTTCATCTCTCATCTTCTCCAAAATCTTTCAATTTCATCAGGAAAAATTGCTGCAAAATCCGGCTCCATGAAACCGTCTTGATATCACCGAACTATACCGTCTCACGTGGTCTGCTCTTCATGTTTCGATCCATTATCGGCCGCTACGGGCACTGTTATGGGTCCTCCCGACTGACAGGCTCCGCTCCCAGGCCCACGCTTTGCCAGACACGGTCCCTGGCAAACCATCCAGCGTCATTCGTCGATGCTAAGTATCCAGCACATTTGGAGCAGCATCATCTCGATCATCACCAGAATGACCAAAGACCTCCTGGTTATCACCGGGAGCTTGCACCGCTATTGTCCCGTTTTCATGCAATCGGTTCTATGCAGAGCACAGTCGTGTCACCGGGTGACCATGGTGATGCACAGAAGGAAGTGCCAGAAGGGCTCGAAGATGAATTTTTCTCGATTCTCCGAGATGGTCAACCGGACCTGGTCATGAACGCATTACTCGATCCCAAATTTGAAGTCGTGGTTGGATCGTTACCTGAGAGCACCTTTGTAGAAGCCTTTCGCTTGCTGTCTCCTGCCTACTTCACTGATCCTTTTCGAGCTATTTATCGCGCGTTGCATCCATCTGCCGTAGCAGTCAAAGGTTACCCGCAATTGGACAGGATCTTCGATAAATTTGCTTGCAATCTTGCCACGATCGTCTCGATCAGACGGTCGGCGGGTCACAGACTGGGACTGGCAGAGTACACCCATCTCCTGGACTGTGCGCGGTCTACCGGAGATGCGCTGATGGCCGACCATGTATGGCATGCCATGCGTCAGGACAAAGTTATCCCCGATGTGCATTGCTACAATCACTACATGGAAGCCAAGGTTTGGGATGGGGCCTACACTGGCCGAGAGAAGTATCATCTGCGAGTAACGCCGTTCGCTTACCGTAAGCGACGCTTTGACGAACCAAACGTGGGATGGAAAGGCTATGGGACCGCCCGCCGCAGTGTCCGCAAGGAGATCATGAGGATTTTGACCCAGATGACGGAAGAAGGCACTTCGGGCGACGAGGGTACTTACGTGAACGTGATTTTGGCGTCTTCCAGGGTGGGATACACAGCAACAATGAAGCACGTGTTGAAGACGGTTTGGAACGTCGACATTGACGCCCTGGCGGCGCTGGAAGACTCATCGAGCCTTCCTCGCCCCAAGAAATACCATCGTTCGTCACCTCTGTATCCAAGTAGTCGCCTCTTGTTCGCTGTCGCACACGCCTTTGGCACCAACAACGACATTCCCGGAGCCATGCGGGCAGTCAGCTTCATATCCCTCTCCTACGACATTCCGGTCCCAGAAGAGGTCTGGCAAGAGCTACTCGAGCGGTCCTTCGTTCTTTCTCGCCCGCGTTTCGGTAAGGATGCCCGGCGCAATAGAAAAGGAAAGGTTCCATATGAGTTCCTGACGGCCCTGGGCCAAACCATGAAGTCGGAGCCTTTCGACGTCCAGCCCACTATGGAGATGTACCAACTCCTGGCCAAGACAGCGTGGGATCAGGCCAAGCTACCAGATTTCAAGCAGTACATGGAGTCAGCATACGCGATTCTCGAAGAGACCCGACGCAAACGCCGAACTGCCCGAGCGATCATCGAAAACTACCTTGGTCCACCGCAATCGGAGGCGACAGCTTCAGACTTCGACCCCAAACTGCTCCAGTCTCGAGCATTCACCGTGGCAGTGCATACATACGACGTGCTTCGCATGCGCACTGCCCAGCAGACGACCATCATGGAACGCCTCGCGAAACTTCTCCTCATACATCCTCGCTGGGTCGGCCGCGACAATCCTGTCTGGGAGCGTCAACTACTTCCCCGCGTGATCGAAGAGTGGCAGGACTTCCTCCCCGAGTCGGTTTTGTTCCAGATCAGAAGCGGGGACGTCTTTGTCCACGGAGAAACTTACTGGGGCGACCGCCTGCTCAACACACACAGGAGGATACCAGTGCGCCGGCCGACCGTCGATAACGGCCTGGTTCTGGACGAAGACGCCAGGGAACTCGACGACGACTTCTTCTGGGCGTGCTACCCTGCTGATTTGCGATATATGAACATCCCTGCTGTTGAGCGGTTGTTCTCGGGAGTGCCGAGACGGCTTGCCAACCCAGTGAGACGGAGAGCTGCCTCAGAAGAAGCAATGGCAGCCGACGCGGTGGACGAACGGGCTGGAGCTATGCCTCATGCTGTGGAAGCGGAACACCCCTCGCAGAGACCGCTTGGGGGGAGCGTGGGCGACGAGGATATCTTTGATCCTACGACTAATCCTCTCGCTGTAGCTTGAGTGACCTTTCGAGTTGACGGCGCCTTTCTTGTACAATCCGTTTCGACCCAGGCCATGTGATTTTTTCTTTCCTTCTGCTGCAGATGCTTGTTAGATACCCCATTCAGAGCGTATGCATGTTGTGTTCCGCCTGAACACCCCCGATACCAATCTTCTCATGTTCAGCGTCCATTTTATTCTCTTGTCAAGTAATGTTCTGATATCAATTCATCTCATTTCCCATTTGTGCAAATGTACAAATAAATACAAACGAAATCGGCCTCCCACAATGGAGATGGTACTACACAATCATACCCTCACCCTCCTCAAATCATTAACCACCATATACCTCCCCAGCGTAATCCACCCATACCGAAACCAGACCATCTGGCTCTTATGCGCCTTGACCATCGCCGCCTGCGCGCGGATATACTCATCCACCGCACTGATGAACAGCAGTTTACCCGGCATATCATCCTTCCCGCCCTTGGCCGCACCAGCAAAGATCGACCCCAGCGCCCCGCTCGCCATCGTCCACGGCGCATCGAACACCCCAATATACTTCCGTAGAATATTCGTCGTGGTAAGCGTGTACAGCGTCACGGGGCACGTATACCCCGCCTTGTCCTTCATCAGGGCCCGGAGGAAATGCACCGCGCCGTGGTACAGCGAGCGGTGGTTGGGGTGGTTGCTGATACCATGTTTGTCGAAGGTGATCAGGACATCGATGGTTGCGGTTGGGGCGCCTGTTGTTCCAGCCCCTCGTTTCCTGGCTGCGGACGAGTTCGACTGCGAGGCGAGATCGGGGGCGAATGCGGACGCGAGCAATGAGGACACATCGCTCTCGGACCAGGTGGCTGTCATGCTATCCGGAAACCGGGCGGGGTCGTCGACGACGAAGACGTCGGACTCGGCGCGGAGACCGAGGTGTTTGGCGCTCTGCTGGAGTTCCTTTTTGCGGATGTGGCCGAGGCCGTCGGCGTCTCCTAGGGATCTGCGTTAGGGGGTTTGTTTGACTGGGGGAGACAGGCGCGGGGTGAAGCGTAGCGTACCGCTGCTCAGACAGAGGATCTTCACATGGTTCCCTAGCTCTGGTTTGGTCAATGCCAGTACCGTGGGGGAGAAGAACATGGCCTCATCGTCCGGGTGGGCGATTAGGAGGCATATCCGTTTGTTGAAGAGACGGGGAAAGTTGCGCGCGAAAGGAGACGAGCTGGTTGAGGTGAGGGTCCAGAAGAGGAAGATGGCGGAGAGGGTCAGGCCCCATGTCACCAGCGACGTGGTGAGCATGGTAAGGAGTTTGAAGGCAGTACAGCTCTGCAGATGTTCAGTTATATGCAAGATCAATTGACTTGCCCCGCAACCTGAGGTTCAATTGATGTAATGCAAAGCTGTCAGTGTCACTTTAGGTGGTTGCGGATTTCAGGTGGGGATTCCGCATCATCAACTCCACCAGTCTGTCTCAGCTCTTGATGCTCTGTATGCTATCATCAGCAGTGACAATAAACCACATGAACTTGAAGTCTCAAGCTGAGCTTCCGCAGGGGCGAGAGTCGATCGCCCAATGGCAAATAGACACGGTGGCACAAAGAAAAGGGGAAGCGATCTGGCTCTTGGAACTCCAGATTCGTTCCCCTGGCGATCTTGCGGATTCGGTCACGTGCTTATATGACATTGCCCTCTTGACTACTTCAGATACAAGGTGAGTGTGTCTGTGCAGTGTATACTGGCTTTACTCTCTATGTGCGATATACCTGCCAGTATTAACTGCGCATTGAGAGCTTGCTCCATTCCTGATAGCGCAGAATGGCAGCTAATTGATCCGAGGACACTGAGTTTTTAAGACTCAGATGCAGCTTGCATGACTTTCATAAGATATAAAAGTAAACGCAGACCTACGAGCACCGTCATCTTCGGAGACTGAAAGGGACATGATAACGAGTTGCCGATTCCTAACTGAGATCCGAAGTGCGTAGAGACCTCGTCTCCGACATAATGACATAAGTGTCAAAATTGCTAAATAATGAGGAAGACAATGGCAGAAATGACACGATATTAGACAATTCTCTGATCGGAATTGCCCATATTCCAGCTAATGGCATGATCTTACGCGTGATGTGCTGAGGCCCCTTCATCAGGTAATCGGTTTCGCTTTGTCATTACGGCGTACCGACATGACCCTTTCGAGAGGCCATCGGCGTCCTCCGCCAATGGAGCTGAAGAAGGAAAGTTGATGGTTTCAAGTCAGGGTCAACAAGACGGTCCCGTCCGCGTCTAACCACGGTCCAGATTCGTCAGATGATTGATGAAATTGAGTGATTTACGGCGCACGGGGCAGATTTGAAAAGAATTAGTCTATCATTTGGTGTGAAAAATCAGTTGAAAATAAACTAAACTGAGGCAATTGTGGGAAAAGACCAATAAGAAGGTCCGGTTCGTCCTAGTGATGCGCGATGAAAAATTTCCGAGGAACCGGCTGAGAACCGGAATCCACTCGGTTAGTCGAAGGCGTGTAAACGGAATCCACCACCAAACGAAGTCCGGGCAGTATCCGATTAAACACCTTGAGAATTGCTGTCGGAGTTTCCCGCGGGAGTTGTAAGCTGCGAAGAGGTTGTCCAATGTATAGGCGCGCCGGGATCAGCAGTCCATCGGTATGAATATGGACCTGAACAGAACTTGTTTTGAATGGGATCACAAATGATATAGAAGACAACGAAGGCGTTTCTCCTATAGTGGTTACGATTTGATGGCATTTGTATCAGAATAAGCAACTAATTGTATGGTATCACTTGAAGTTTCAGACCCATAATGGCAATATGCCTCAGTCCTAGCTGTCACTTTCGACTTCCAGAAAGGGCAACTCCCGCGCCGGAGGGGACTCCATACAAGATCTCCATCGGACTTTGACTATATCAGTTAGTAAACGCACCAGGATGACTAGAACCAGCATCGGCATCAATAACGGTACTGTAGATCAGCCCCGATGACATGAACCACATTGCCGTGAGCAATCCGACAAGATGGCATGATCGAGTCGGGTATGATGGTATCACTCGGAATGAAGATCCTGAGCCGACTTCAAAGTTTTGGCGACTCGGGACGAGTCATCAGTCAGCCTTCAGCAAGTGTTTAGCCGGAGTGCAGATCTTTTTTGATTTTGAGTCAGAAACCCTGATGATTGACAGTAAAATCGACGGCAAAGGAGGATGACTTCCAATGGGGACGGTGAAGACGAATCTGTTAGGTAATTGGTATGGCGGCGATGCACGGCCATTCGTCAAGGAAGAGTTTTCCCTTGCAGACGGACACCGCACAGAGCAGGGCTTGACTCTTGACAGCTAGGTTGTCTAGACCGAGCTTGTGATAGACTTTTGATATCTTCGAAAATTCATCCTCTAATGAACCTGAGGAATGGTTTCAATCCCAACTCATCAGACAATGTCGAAAGATGATAACATAATGTTGGGTTAGTGTCCGCCCCTAGTAAGAAACTGAGAAAAGCAAATAAAAACCAGATGACGCGATCCCCCGCAAAATCTTGAATTGCATGCAGTGCGGGGAAATCCGATTTGGACCTCCGCGGACATCGGTGGTATATCAGATACTTAGCCTAGAATGGATGTTACAAGGAGAAGTGAGAATAATACTCCGTAGTAGAAACAAAACATCGCCATCTATGATCTGGCGACTTCTTCCACTCTATTTCTCTGCAACTGGGTCACTCGTTTGTAATTCTCCCTTTGGCCCTCTGGTTTCTAGAACTGGAAAGATGTGGAACCTCACCGAGCCGTTCCCAAGCGCAAGGAAAATTCTGTAAAATTTTTTTCATTTTTCCCTGGGCGCTAAGCTTAACCCGGTCTAGCTCGGCTAGATTCGTCTAGTGACTTCGCTCCGTTCTCTGGATGTTGCCCCTCTTGGGTGCGTAGTCCCAGAGGATCTCCAACTAGCGTTACGCCTGGTCGAGCTGTATTGTATTGTAACCAAGTGTATCGTTGCCGGTCACTGCTGGTAAGAGGAAACCTTACGCTAGACCGCCTCCGGGAGCCCAAACTAAGCTACTCCTATTCCTCCGTACCTCTTGCACCTTGGTACAGAGACTCAGCCTCGAGAATCCGCCAGAGCACTGAATGACGCCACGTGATGGTTCGATGACGGCAGCTGACCTTCACCCACTGCATTTCTGCCGTGCTAAAATAGCTCCCCTGGTCAGGCGCTTACACTTTTGGCTTGGATTCGGTCTATTCGGGCCTGGTGGACGGGTAATCGGCCTGCTACAAAAGCACATCGTCAGGAGTCATATGCTTCTTCGTGTTGTCGATTTGTGGTTAGTCCAAAGGATCCAGTGCAGGTAGCTGTTCATATTGCGCCTTAAAACGACTTGCGTGTTTGTTGTCGTGGCAGTTCTGATTCCTGACACTTACTGGACCAATGGTGTTGGAAATTGCTGAGCATCGATGTCTAGACCGTCCTGACTCAGCCATTGCACCCTTGGTTCAGCTATGACAACTGCACATTGTCTTGAGTACCTTCATAGTCCATATGTCTAGAGAAGTATTTTCACACGCGTAGTCTTTCCACAAGGTTATCAAGATCTACCATGGGTCCGGCTACCGACTTACTTAGTCTAGCGGAAGAGCCACTTGACGGTATTCCCGGTTTGATAACCGGCAGCTCATCAACCGCATTGTGACTCATTACGCATGGGACTTGGTCTGCTCTGTTTACTCTGCAGACATGATCGTAACGTGTAGATGGACACAGAGAAAAGCATCCATGAATTCCCCGACGCACCATGGAATCTGCATTCAAGGTGTCGTTGCAGATTTGTGGGGTATGTACCTTGGCTAGGGCAAATATATACCAATGATTTGAGCGTATGGTTGAACGCTGGAGTCACATGGGAGATGCGAGACAATGGATCACCGATCTTTGCGTTTACAAGTCGGCCGCTACATAGAGCCCAGACAGAGTCCGAGAGTCGATGATCAAGGAACAGATAACCAAGCCGACGTACTTGCGTTAAGAGGATCGCCTGATGATTGTTAGAGATTCTCCGTGGAACTCAATCAACATTGAATATGCTGAAAACGGTGCCGCTATGAGTAAGACATAGATAGAAGAATAACAATAGTAAACATCTAGACAAGTTCGTGATGTAATCATCTGGGTCACCGACCACACCACTTACTACTGCTGAAGTTGAAAGCCTCAGGCCACAAGTCAAACTGCGGCCCTGAGACAAGAAACTTTTTTTAGCTCGGCGAATTGGTGGTACTGTAATAGTGTCACGTATGGTAAAGCGTATGGTAAGCCCCACTATGACGCTTTTTCTGCCACGACCCACTAGGTTGTGCCTTCCTTGGGCAATGTGACGGAGACATGAGAGGGGGCCCGTCCAGAAAAAATAGAAAATTCAGCAAAAAAGGCGTCACAATGCAATTTATGGTACCTGTTGTTACATGCAAAGTGGGAACCTCCTAGAAAAATCTTAACAGAAAGGGTTGTATATCCATTTTCTGACTCCGAGCTAATAAAATCAAGGTTGTCTGCTTTCATTCAAAGGGAGCTGCTCGCCCACTATCCTCGTCTTCTATTGTTCCTCTACTACTCTTGCCTCCCACTTCATACATCCTTCACACCTCCAAGCCACCATACAAGCTATAGTTCAATTGCAATAGTGTCATGCTGTGCATTGCCATCCTCGCCTCTCAACTTCCGCAAACTGAATCCTGAGTTTGATATCATATATCAGTAGCAACAGCAGCGCAACACCACGAGCATCCAAAGTCTGAACTTGATCTCCAGTATAGGCGCATCTGCCTGCCTGTCGACACTATCTCAGCAGAGAACGAGTCACCATGCCTGGCCGTCTCCTTTCTAGTTTTGTTCGGCCCGCTGCTCTACATTCCTCTCTCCTCTCACACTCGAATTCCTCCTCAACCTCATCCGTCAACGAGATTACGACCACTACCGTGGCTCCCAAGAAGCCCCACGCGCACACTGATCGAGCGAGGTCTCCAGAGCGTCGTCTGTCTTTTAACATGGACCACCTGATTCATCCTCACAGAGACCACAGCAAGGACAAGAAGCGCAGTCATGGCAGATCAGCGCGCTCAAAGGAGCGTTCCGGTAAGGAGGATATCACCGCCGCTGCCGCCAAGCTGGACGTCATTGTCGAATCTCCACCCCTTGTCTGCTACGGAACCCCTGCAAACTCGACCGGCGCGTTATTCTCTGGACGTTTGAGGATCACAGTCTCAGAGCAGGCCAACACAGTCACCCTGAACAAGTTCGATATGAAGCTGTTCACCAAGGTTACTACCAAGAAGCCTGTGTCGCGGGAATGCCCCAACTGCGCATCACGGACCGAGGAATTGACCAGCTGGAACTTCCTCACAGAATCGCTCACCCTCAAGCACGGAGTGCATGATTTCCCCTTTAGCTATCTGTTCCCCGGTCACTTGCCTGCGTCGTGCAATGGGTCGCTGGGTCAGGTTGAGTACTACCTTTCTGCACGCGCGCACAACACCAGCGGCGAGGAGTACACCTACAGAATGCCATTGCATATCAAGCGCGCCATACTCCCGGGCAACGACAAGTCATCCATCCGCATCTTCCCGCCGACAAACCTCACCGGCCGCATCGTGCTTCCGTCTGTCGTTCATCCCATTGGGACATTCCCAGTTCAGATGACATTGAGTGGGGTCGTGGATAAGGGCGAAGAGACCCAAACTCGTTGGCGTTTGCGCAAAATGATGTGGCGCATTGAAGAACATCAGAAGGTTGTCTCGACAGCCTGCCCCAAGCACGCTCACAAGATCGGTGGCGAAGGGAAGGGTGTCCTGCACCAAGAGACTCGCATTATCGGCCACAACGAAGAAAAGGACGGTTGGAAGACGGATTTCGACACCGCAGGCGGCGAGATCAGCATGCAGTTCGAAGCCAGCATCAACCCTACCTGCAACCCAGTGTGTGACCTGGAGGTTCCCAATGGCCTCGAGGTCAAGCACAACCTCGTGATTGAGTTGATCGTCGCCGAGGAGTTCTGCCCCAACCGCAACACACGCTCGATCACACCTACTGGCGCCGCACGGGTGCTCCGTATGCAGTTCCACTTGCACGTCACTGAAAGAAGCGGGCTAGGCATCAGCTGGGATGAGGAGATGCCTCCTGTGTACGAGGACGTGCCAGCGAGCCCTCCTGGATACACTATGCTCGATGGTAATAGCATCATGGAGGACTATCGTGGATCTCCTCTGTCCCTCCCCGACTATGAAGAACTGGAACGGATGGAGTCTCTGCATCTGGACAGCGACTCAGCTGGCTCTGTGCGCGGGCGGAGTCGACTCACCACCGAAGACCTGACCGCGGAGCCAATGGAATCAGGAAGCCGAAGCCGCGGACTATCTGCTGATTCCCGTGCATCTGAACATTGAACCATTTGTCGTCCTGCTATTCTCATGGATCCATTATCGGTCCATTCACCCTCATGACGTTACGAACACTTATGAACGGAATGATTTACTTGATTCCTTCATGAAGGAAAAGGGCAAACCAATACAATACAACGGGGAAAGGAGTTTCGAGCAATATTTGCGTTATGACGCTTTTTCTTATATCTTAATGGCCCTATGTGGCATGCCTACTACTGGTGGTTTTGGCAACAAAAAAAAGAGTTTCATCGATGGATTCCCATGATACCCACGTCTGATTTGGCGTTTCCTTTTTTCTATGTCTTTTTTTAACAATCATGACGACCACGTGCATATGTACAAATTCTAATCTATTGCTCGAAGCTTTCTTGCTACGGTTTTCTTCGTGCCTGTAGGTTTCTGTAATTCGTAGGGATGAACAACAGTAGCGTGATGTCTGCGGCAGGTACAGCAGACTACATCCCATAAGTTGACAGTATCAACTCCTTTGATCATCGGGGAATTGCAGACTCGTAACCCTTACAGCTATCCATGTTTAGGCCACACATGGTTAAAAGGCACGCAAGCAGTGAAGCTACCGGATGACCCAAGTTTGTATGTCCAACGTAACCATCGATATTCATATATTCATAGTCAGGTGAGCTGACTCTTAAGCCAGGAACATCCGATCCGATATCTGCATCTGCTATATAACAGCAGCTAAAGCAAGCCTCAGGTTTTCCATACCATCCTAAAACTCCATACGTACGCCAAATGCACTAAACAAACAAACTTCGGTTGATAACAAGCAATTGATACAGGCAAGAGGAACGATGATTTTATCACGAATCGAAAATAGGCCCAAAGGCGGGTATCCCCCGCTCTCCAAGTCGAAGACGACTCTCTTCGTGACGACGGGGTTGCTGATGACGCAGATGGCCTCGGCTTCGAATTCAGTGTATAACCTCCGGATGATGGGGAGCATATCTACTCTCCCGGACTGGTTTGTCTCGATGATCACAGGGTCGTCATCCAGCTTCTTCACGAGGTTGAAGACATCCCGGCCGTATGTCCTGAGCGGGGAACGGGTTTGCCATACCACCCGGAGAGCGGGACGATTTTCATCGCCGAGGAAGGAGAGGCAGGGGCCGATGCCTGAGCCTGTCGTGACGACGATAACACGCTTGAAGACCCGCATGGCGTACGCGAAGCCGTAGATGAGAACACCGCGTTTCCAGATGTGTTTTGGGGGGCATTTGATGCGGGCGCTGGTCCAGTCGCCTGCTCTTGAGACAAGGCATGAGAAGCTCGCTCCGTCGGGATCAGGGAAGGTGGCAAAGCCGTGCCAGTCTTGCAAGGGGTGCGTGGCTAGCTGGATGCCCTTGCCGAAGGTGGTGCTTGTGTGGTTCATGTGCAGCCTGACCGCGTGCGGGGAAAGAGTTTCCCCGACGACGGGAACTTTGCGGAGGAGAAGCCAGGGGTGGATGATAGCGAGGACTGTGATCACGAGAAACCAGAAAGCTGGGAGATGGAGAAGGAAGGTCCCCAGAGGTTGGTTGGCGGCGCGACTGGCCTCGCCGGAAAAGACGAGCAGGAGGATGACGAAGAGGACCACCACGACCCAAGCGGAGAAGCGATGCGTAAGCTCGAAATAGTCGTGCTTCTTCATGCGGAAGGCCGGGTGGGCGACGAGGATGATGGCGAGCAGTAAGGCTAGGATGATGTAGGAGAGGACCACAGGCAGGATTGAGAAGGCGGCGTTGCCCGCTTCACCGGCTGGAGACCAGTACTCCTTCGACATCAGGCCAACGAAGCCTGCATACCAGAGGAAGGAAGCGATGCCGCACCCACTGTGGACCCCGCCATAGTGGTACACTTTGGCCGCGATGCGCCGCAGCCGCAACGGCGCGGACCGCGGAATCGAGCAGACAATGACAAAAATGGCATTGACCACCAGCGGCTGCCGGGCCAGGCCACAGGCAAGCACGTTGGCCGCCGTGGCGTTCACAAGGGCCAGCAGCTTTCGGTCTGCCGTCAGGACGGCAATGAAGACAGCCAGGTTGGCGAGGAAAACTAGGGAGAAGAGACGCCGGTAGATGTCGAGGGCGGTATATCGGATGAACGAGATGAAGGCGTGTCTCTTCTTGCGGGCACCGCCCTGCGCTTCGAGGTCAACTTCCTTCGACGAGCCATTTTTCTCGGCCAGGATTTTGGCAATCTCCTTCTCGACGTCGACCAGTGTGACGTTGCTGGGATTGGATGAGTGGGACCTGCACTTGGCAGGGGGAGGTATTGAGATTTCACTCTTCTCTGACAACGACATGTTGCTTGTGTGAAATGAAGACATGGATGGAAGGATGCGGAGGATGCCAGCACCGGTGGTATAGAGGTATGAACAGTGAAGGCCACACTTGATAGCAACACACACACAGTAGTATGACGGCACCCTGCGCCTTTTGAGTCCTGACTCGCGTTGACATCTTCCCAGATGGGGCCATTGCCCGAACTGTGCGCCTACATTAGACAATCGAATAGTCTCTAGATTTTTCGTAAAGTTCGTGACATCCGCTACGGCACTGTGCCGCATGCATGGACCTCGGCAAGCTTCCGTCGAGAGACTGAGCTTTTTTTTTTTATCCACCATTTCTGAGGATGTGATACCACCGTACGGAGCTCCGTTCCGCATCACTAGTCACCTCCAAGGGCTGTACCAATGGGCAGCCCAAGGCCGCATCACGACGCCCTTGCCTCAGCTCCTCATTTCCCAAAAGTGGTATATCAGGGAACCAATGAGCAATGGCGCAGAGAGGGGAACCCGGCCCATCTGGTGACGAATTGGGGTGAACCGCGGGCTGCATCAGGCGCAGCTTAGGAAGAGAGATATCAAACTTGAGTGGCTCATGCAGCCCGGTCAAGGTTGCATGAAGAATCCTGGTCAGAAAACAGGGCGCCAGTAAGGAACGTGAGTATCAGTGGCGTTCGCATGGTCCACCGGTCAAGCCCGTCCAAGGATCAGAAATTACCAAGATAATGGATTCGAACCGCTCATCGGACAGGCGGAGGTGCCAGGCGACGCAGGATCTTGCAGATCCCTTGACAGGTTCGTCAAATACGCGGACTTGCGGATCTCAGCGCACAGATGCTTACTCCAAAGATCACTGGCAGAGAGACATTGGTGGAATCACTTCATCACATTCCCAATGGGCGGGCTGGCTGGTCGGGCTAGGTATAGCGGTGGGTTGTAGCCCGTGGGTGGTGGGTACGGTGATAGTGGCACGAATTTGGAACGAGCCAAAGTCACTTTGTTGAGCCGTCTATCTACACCGAGACTCAATGTGAGCAGATCCTGCACGGATATCCGGGATCTGATCGACCGGACGTCAGGCTGACATGGATCACGGATCTGAACGAGCATGGCGTGGGAGGGGGGTGTCCTGTGGAATGTAGATCATCCCTTGATGGCTTTCTGCAACTAGTTTCCCAAGGCTCAACAAGAGCGATGGTATGGACTGGTAGACGCAGCCGAGGTCACTACTAAGGGATTCCAGAACGGGGAGGAGAAGACCGAGATAGCATTGGGGTTCAGCTGGAGAAGGGAGTGACTTGTGGACTAAGGACAACAAGGACAGGGAATACAGCAAGAAAAAAAAAGTGGATACAAGAGATTGCCAGAATGCTAAGAAATGACGGTGACGGGCCGGCTGAAAGGGTAATTGGAGTCGAATAGATGGAAGATGAAGTTGCTGGACTGATGGAGTGATGGAGTGATGGAGTGATGTGAGATGGGTGGGAGAAGAGGCCACTCGTGCACAGAGATTGGCTCGATAAAGTTATGGAGTCACAGGACGATCCCAGAAAACACTCCAGCTGGGTCTGAACATGTTCGTCTGAACATCAACACTACGACTTCTAGACTACGTACTAGATGCCTTGCTAGTGACTACCAAGAACAGACATTAGTCTAGACATCTATTACTCTATGGCTTCTTTTTTTTTTTTTCTCCCTTTTTACTGACCCACCCCGCTCCGATCTGAATGCTGAACAGAGTGTGTTCATTCGCTGCAGCTTCTCACAAGCGTCGGGCGAGGACGATCAGCGAGGCGCTGATCTGAAAAGTCTCGTCCAGGTGATTTGACTATTCTAATCAGAAGCCGGGATTATCAATCTAATTTCCATTGTTTTAGACTAAGATCGAGGCTGACACCGACGGTGTTTGGGGGTTTGCGCCACGCCTGCTGGCAATTCCAAATCATGGAGATCTCGCGTCTAGGAAATTGGAATTGTCGCATAGGATCACTTCATCGTGACAACTGCCTAAAGATTTGAAATAGAAGATACAAAATGCAAATGGCAAGCTATTTATCACTGCGTCTCCCCATGGAGCAAAAGGATAGATTTTTTCTTCGCATCTTCATCAGACTTGCTTCGCCGGCTCTACCAGCGAGGACGCCCAGATTCACCACCCCTACTACGGAGTAGCTCCTATACCTTTATTTTCTTGTCTTTTTGCTTTTCTTGTCTAATACTTGGAGAAGATGGGACTCTGGGAACGATCTTCGGCGATGCCCGGGCCAGGAGCTCGCAGTCCAAGCAGTGCCAGTCCTGAGGCTCACCCTGTATACACCGACTTGTTGACCTTTTGCTTCGACGGCCCCAACCAGTATGACCAGCGACGACCGATCTTCATAGACGCCCAAGACCCCTCGCGTTCACTCGATGCCAGTCAGTTTCGGCTGCTGGTCAGAACACTCATAGCCGGACTCAAGGCCCATCATGTGCAGCGCGGAGACTGCGTATTGGTCCATTTGGGAAATTCTGTACGGAGTTCCTGCAAACCCACTCTGCTCTGCTTTTCTCACCGAGTTTTACGCCTCCTTCCGGTTTTGTACCTTGCTGGAGCTTTAGCTTTTGTTCTTTCTGCATTCTTTTTGCGGCGGACTAATGTACTAATGATTTCTCATGCATGCAGATCATATACCCCGCACTGTTTTTCGCTATCATCGGCGCTGGCGGTGTGTTCATGGGCTCCAATTCTCGCAGCCAACCTCAAGAACTCGAGCATATCCTGCAATTGGCAGATCCGAAGCTGATCATTACGTCGCGCGATGCTCTCCCCAACGTTCTCAGCGTCTCCGCCGCCCGTGGAATGCTCTCGAGCCAGGTGTGTTTGCTGGATGAATACGCTCCCCACCATATCGCCCAATTGCTGTTGTCGGGCCCGCTGGCCTTGATTCCTGACAACGACGCCGTGTATCTGAATTTCGCGCAACTGCTCAGCTATGGGGAGAACGACTGGGTGCGGTTCAATGACCCGGCGATCGCAAAGTCGACGCCGGCCGCCATGTTCTCCACCAGTGGGACGGGCGGCCTGCCCAAGGGAGCCCTGCTTTCGCATCACGCAATCGTATCTCATCACCTCAGTATCAACTATGATGTCCCCTACGTAGTTACTCGGCTCATCTCCCTGCCCATGTTCCATCTGTTCGGGTCGCTCTGGACGCACATCTTCCCCATCCGCTACGGCCAGCCGCTCTTCGTCCTGCCGCGCTTCGAGCTGACTCAGTATGTCGCCGCCATCTACCACTACCAGATCACGGAGACCTACATGGTCCCCGCCATGATCCACGTTTTCAATCGCAGTGCTCCCCCGATCGCAGATTACATGGGGACGCTGCGGTACGTCGGCGTCGCGGGTGCGCCCATTGACGGCCCTTCAATGGAGCAATTCCAGCGACTGCTGCACCCACATGCTCGCGCGACTCAGCTCTGGGGCATGACCGAGGTTGGGGTCGTGTTTCAGACGCGATACGGCGAGCATGGGAACCCTGGAAGTATCGGACGTCTGTTACCTGGATACGAGGTGCGACTGGTCGGTCAGGACGGGAACGTGGTGCAGGGGAGTCTCGACCCGGGGAGCTGTATGTGCGCGGGGCGGGGGTGCTGATGAGCTACAAGGGCCGCAACGACGCCAAAGATGCATATGGCTGGTTCCGGACGGGTGATGTGGCCTATGTCCAGAACGGGCAGTACTTTATCGTTGGACGGACCAAGGAACTCATCAAAGTGCGAGGGTGAGTTTACTCGCTTTCTTTTAGTGCGGCTAGTAGTGCTAATCCTGGGAAAAGATGGCAAGTTGCCCCCGCTGAACTCGAAGCGGTTCTCCTCAAACACCCCGGCATCGAAGACGCCGCCGTCACAGGCGTCACCTCCAAAGACGGCAGCACCGAATTGCCCCGCGCCTTCGTGGTGAGGGCCAAGGGACCGGCTGCAAATCGGCTGACGGCGGAAGAAGTCTACCAGTTTGCGCGCCGCCAACTGGCCAGCTACAAGGCGCTAGACGGGGGGATAGTCTTTGTGGAGGAAATCCCCCGCACGGCCAGCGGGAAAATCCAGCGCTTCAAGCTCTCACAGATGAACACGTACCGCGACATGGTATCCAGTCTGCTGGCGCGGTTCAAGGGAGCCGCTAGTGGACTGGGGGGTTGGGGTTGGTGCACAAGGGCCGTGTGGCCGTGTAGTTCACACTACGGTACCAGTCACTTTTTTTTTTCATGTTTCTTGCTGTTTCCAGGGCTACGGTCAACAGGCGTGGGCATAAGGCATAGGCACAGGCGCTGATGGGATTGATTTTTGATTTTTGATTTTTTTTTTTTTTTTTTTTCTTTCTTACTTACTTCTTTGAATATACGTACCTACGTACAGTACCTAGTTACTTGGACAGTCGCACTACTCCTACAGCAGAGTAGATGATAAAATGACAGCGAACAATATCTACCTACGGAGTATCTCCAATTCTCAACCAAATCTTGAAATCAAGTATATCCAACCAATCAAACCTGGAATCTCGTCCCCAAAAACCAGAATTTGTCATTGTGGGTTCTGGTTCTGTGTTCTGGTTCTGGTTCTGGTTCGGGCCCCGCACGCTTACCTTAGTCTTTAGTTCTTGTGTTTTTACTTTTTGCCATGTTGATCCTGGCCTGGCGCGCTGCACTCAAATCTCGGCTCGGCTGGCCGGCCGGAGTCGGAGACACAAGATGTGGCGCAGGCGCAAGCAATCCCAGTTCCCCCAGTCACCGCCTGGGACGAGACGAGCTACTGCTGAACACTGGCGAACATTGTGCGTAAGCGTTGACTCTCGTTGAGATGCAGTAGGGCTCCCCTTGCATCATAAGCTTATGCACACTGCGTGCACCGTGCATGTGTCAGGTAGGAAATTCCTCCCTCACGTAGATCCACGTACGTGTGAATGTGATACAGTCTATTTACCCATAGTTGAGGACTCGAAGGACTCGAGGCCTGAGAGTGCGCAAAACACTATTTGTTCGTGTAGAGTTTTGGCTCACTTCTCACCGATACAAAAACACAGAGTAGAGTAGAACTGCCCTGGCAAGATGACGGTGAGGATCCGTCGACACCAAAATCAAAATCCCCCAGTCCCCATTCTGGTAAATCGAAATCTTGGTTCGGAATGCGAAATCGCATGTGAAACGCGATGCACGAAGCAAGGTACCTACTTCCTTGCAATCCTCAGGCATCAGTACATGAGATGAACGGTTACGATGCATGACCATCTATGGTTTTTTGCTATGGCCTCAAGTTGAGCAGCTTTCACTGGCTTATGGCCATGGAGGCATGTGCATATCGTATTCTCAGGTGAATTCAAAAGAAACAGGTCCTGAAATGACCCGAGTAACCAAACAATGGTACTTTGGGTACACGACATGTGAAATGCTTCCTCGGGATGGCCAATCATGCTCGCAAAGTACTGAGTCTCGATGGAATACAATAGGCAGTGTATCCAGATCACGAACAAGTCGAAACACCTAGTCAGTCCTTCGCTTGATAGTGTCCATGTGTCGTACAAAATCTACTGGCTTACAGCGCATACCTTGATTCATGGCTTTAGTTTCACCGGCACGAGAGACACTACGATTGAGTAACGGGTTCGACGGCGAACTTCGCCGTGCCGCTTTGGGTATATTGTACGGAGTTCTTTGGCCTCTCTGCATGACTAGACCGTCATGTGTACGGAGTACTACCCTTGCTTCTCTTCCCTGTGCATCCTGTTTGGACTCTTCTCGCTTCCATTGTTTTCGAAATTCGCCAAAAATTGTGCAATTGACGCCTAGAACGACTGCTGATCAACTCCTGCCACCGCGACGTCGAGTCAGCTCATTCGATTGGGTGCGATCATATAACGCCAATCGTGTGATATCGGATCGAGATGATCAGCCTAATGTCATACTGAGCGGAATAGATTGATCGACACCTTTATCGCATGCCTCAACCAAACGACTAGGTTCATGGATGTAATTAGAGTTGGCACAAAGTACCATCAATCTACTCGAATAAACAGCGGAGGGAACTTGACCGAGGATCGCCATGAGCCCGTGTCAAGATTCCTAGACAGCAACAGCTTATCGATCGACCCAGAAACGAGGTCAACTGAGCCGACCGATCCGCTCAGCTCTTCGCTTTTTTCTTTTCTTCCTCTGGATTGAGTCTGATCTGAATTCTGAATGGATGTCTGACGTTCGCACTATTGACTTTTAGCGCAAATAGTTCTTGCAGACTCTCCACCTTGTGGCGCAGGCGCACCAGCCACCCGTCCAGTGCTGGGACATCTTTCGAGATCGAGCTGGAATCATACATTTCTCTGAGTCAATGTAATCATTCTGGTGTAGCCATGTTGATCACAGGCCTTTGCCGGACAATTGTATCGCGACATCCGGTCTGGTCATCAAAGTGTGCGAGATCATGAGTGACGATCATTCGGCTGATATGCCAGTTACCCGATACGGCAATAGACACGGTTCGCTGGGCAGCGGTGACCGCCTCTCCTCATCTAGTATCCCGCGCCACGGGCAACTTGGGATGATAACGTAGTAGATTGTCAATCCGGTTGGGCCAGATGAATAGAACACGGGATATGTGGGTTACAACAAGTGGTCAACCCCTCATCATCGACGTCATGGTAGCCTTGGTTCGCTACTGAACAGCGCTGGGAGCAGCCACGCCTCCACGCCTTCGACCTCGAAGATCATCCTTCGCAAAATGGCGCTTGAAAGGTGCCTCCTGTCAAGCAAATCGCTGATCCTTGAAGAACCTAACAGCCTTGGTCAGCAAGAGACCGGACGGCCAGAACCCTCGCTTCAAATTAAGAATATCCCAAACGGGCAGGTCGAGGATAGCGCATCATCCCCTTGGAGCGAACCGCATTGGCAAATATCCTGAATGGGCCATGCAGCCCAAGAAGCGAACAAACAAGTCCGTCGCGGTGGTGCCGTGATAATTCTGTGTGAATCGCTATAGCCGCCCGTCCTGGACTTGCCTGATTCCATGAAATCGAGCTCAAAAAGTATAGATACATCTTTCGCCGGGACGGGATCAAGGACGCTATTTTCTGCTAGGACTGCCATTTCCTTGGATGCCAGACGAGGTGCCCGATGAGGTGCCTTGACAGACAACCCAACGCGGTCATCCTTCGTATCGGGGTTCGCACTTCCAGGTCAGCCATGCGTTCACCTGCAGAAGGCATGGTCCCCTCGGGCAGCAACCGCGGGTTGCAATGCTTTCAAGATTTTGGTCAACTGGACGAACATGTGCTGCACTCGCTTCGCAATGAACTTCCCAGTCGCGGCAATCTCACATCAAGTGACGTGCCAGTCTCACAAACCCCGATGTCGCAGGTAACATCCCCGCATTTGTGTCGAGAACAGCCCAGGCAGGAGGGGGTGACGGTGCGACTCACATTGGCCGCACGTTGTAGTGATTCTTATCCAGTCGACCAGGATCGGGAGACTAGTCCTATACACCTCGACGACATGCACACCCCTGAGTGCTATACAGTAGTGTGTTATTCTCGCCATTCGTATGCTTTCCTGGCTTCAAGCAGTGAGCATTAGCGCGAATACGCACGTCGGAATAATCCTCGAGGATCTATCCTCATCTTGTGATGGGATGAGTTAAGAAGACATGATGGATCTGCCCAGCAGGAGTCTTGAGCGACTTATGTTCAGACCCTTCTTCTCCAATATTTGATTTCGGACCGCAGCCTCGTAACGGTGACAGTAGGAGTGAAGGATAAGAACCTTGCATGTGGCATATTGCACGGTAGACATTGGTTAAGCTTCGAGTTCGAGCGGTGCTTCAGTAGAGCGGCCTTCACATTATGTATGTACATGCTGGTGCCATTTCCAACCTCCATACGGGCGCGAATGCGGTGAAACGTAATTGATGCTAACGTCCAACTAGAGCTCGGCGGGGTGTATGCCGTGTTTTCAAACAATTGGATTGTTTCGCGGCACCAGCAGAAACGAGCTCGCTTATGCAAAGTACCACATCGCCGTTGTGGTCTGAGTCGACATGACTGCTGACGCCCTGACATGGGAGATGCGCCCGTGCCGGGATCATCCCAGAAGATCCTGGCAATCGAAGCCAGCCATGAGCAACTCCAAAGGAGTAATTGACAGCGAATTTGCAACAGGCTTCTTCAAGGGTAAAATTACCGGGCTAGAACTTCAGTTCTCTTCCAGCCGCGGCGGTAGAATGCGTGGGGAACGATGGTGCGACATTGCCCCGGCCGTTGTGGCTTAAAAGATACCGTATCCTTTCCACCAGATACCCCAGATCAACGGCCCCAGTGCGCCTAAAGCAGCTGCGCCCACTGGAATTTCCAGAATGCTCCAAACCCATAAAGTTCCGATGGCAGGGGCTCGCTTCATAACAGCATAGTATGGGTCCTCGTTGGTCATAGTCATCAGCTTGGTTCCCAGGAGGACGGCAACAGGTAAAAATGCCATTGTCCGCAGACTCGGAGGAAAAAGCAACTTCCGAACGAATGAAAGCGTGAGCTTGTCTTGAGACCAAGGGAAGAGCGAGACTTTCTCCTGCTTCGTATTCCCCCTATGCATGGATACGATGTGTCCATGAGCAAGATGGACGAGCAACGTCAGAATGGGGAATGCAATAAATGCAGACTCGCGCAGGAGCTTTTCCAACTCGATCGTTTCCGCGTATTGGTGAGCCGCCAGGTAGGCCAGCGTAAGGTGTAATGTCGTCAGTGGTACGGAGAGTAGGAGCGTGTCGATTAATGGGGGAATCGGTGCATCATCACCGTCGTCAGCTGTGTCCGGCTCGATCTGCGAGTCCTCGGTCGCTGGTCCTGCCCGGTCGCCCTCATCGCTTTGTTCCTTAGAAAGCATTGAAGGGTCGAACTGGGAAATCTTGCCAGATAACGGATCCACGGACATGAATTGCGTTTCTGGACCTGACTTTGCAGTATCCCTCTGTTCCTTGCCCAAGACCTCATTTTGTCGTTCAGCAATGAGTTCCACCAACGTCTTTCCTCTCGGTACGTTGTCGGGGGAAGGCTTTTGAGGATGGACTAAAGGGATCGAAGATGGATCGAACGAGGAGTCAGGGGTGGAAGCTGCGGTTGTTGCTGTTGTTGCTGCTGCTCGTCGCTGTTTTCGATTCCTAGGACCCTCCATCTTGGTTAGGATGCTACTCGGAATGTTCGCAAGGCTGTAGATTCGTGGATGATGGTCTTCGTGAAGAATAGGATAAGGGTTTAGCATCTGTTGATGGAGGAATCACAAAGCTAGCAAAACGACGGGATCGCCTCGGAGTTAGCGGGGTTACCGTTTTATGTCTACTCTTCCCTACAATATTTGCGGCCTCTCGGTCTCTCTCACCAAGTAGTATTCATTTATAAGTAGTCACTATAAGAACAGCACATATCTGAAACATCTCCATTCGTTCAATGACTTTTTGAAGACACAAGACGCATCATCCCCGTTTCTCTTTACTTTTGACAATTACATGATCAGTCAGAACCCCAAGCAAGATATATAGTCTAACATTCCATGCTTCATTCTACCACGCCCGATTGGATCAGCTTAGCCAGCTTGGTAAAGAGCTGGGCCGGCAACTATATGAGAGTTGACGCTGCTGATGTTGAACGGAGTCACGAAAAGATCAGTGTCCGTGATTGCGATAAAGATGGTACCATTGAGCGCTGGGTCGCCGGCATATGTCGACAGGTCGGGCTGGATGGTCGTTCCATAGCTTGAATTACCACTGATGGTTAACGTCGAGTACGTGACATTCAACTGCGAAGCCCACAGGACGTAACTCGGGGATCCCGCAGTTGTGTTCGTGATGTAGCTGTTGTTCGGGCCCACACCCTTGCCCGGAGCGTCCCACGACAGGGTGACTGTTCGGCCCGGGTAGGAGAGGGGGCTTGTTCGATTATGGGTAATTGCCGGGCTGCAGCTCTCGCCCACGGCCGTCTTGTTCAGACATGACTCGGGTCCGGTCACGTTCCGGCTGGCCAAAGCGTTCATGCCACCACCTGGAAGTGTTTCATTGGCCGAAGACGATCCATTGACCCGATAAGGATTTGGCTGGTTCTCGATATACAATGACGGGAAGTTCTGCCATGCCAGTCTCGTCTGGTTGGCAGGGCAGTAGCTGATATACGGAGCCAACAGTGTCCATACCCAGGACTGAGGCACCCCAACCTCGAACCACACAGGCACTGGGAAGAGACCTTCAAACTGGCGGAAGATCATCTGCTGACGAGCCTCCGTGGTGATAGACTGGGCCAAGAGGCCAGCTGCCTCTCGTGAATCCAAGTGAGGCAAGAAGCCGAGGACACCAGCTTCTCCAAAGCGGGTGAGCTTTTGGCAGAAGTCAATGAACTCATGAACGGTTGCGTAAGGATAGTTGTAGACACATTGTCTAGGAGCCTGAGCACCCAGGATGTTGGTCAGCATTGTTGCATGTCCAACCTCCTGGTCAACCATGAATTCAATCAAGAATCGGTCTTCTGCCGTGAGACCAGCGGCAGTAAATTCCGCTACAGAGAACCGAGCCAGACCATCGTGGAACAGGTCCAGCTCGATGTACTCTAGGTAGAGCGCAAGGGCCTGGCAGCAGTCAGCTACTGTTCTCCCAGCTAATCGATGGAAGCCCTACCAGTGATTCATAATCAAAGTCGCTCTTTGCGTTGTAGATAGGAGTTGTGCCGTTCGTCCCAACGCCGCCTGCCGGTGTATAAGGAGCCGGCTGGGGGTCATGGAGCTTTCCATCGCTTGGGTAGCTGGTAGCTCCTGGAGCCAGTCCCAAAGTCGGGATCCCGGAACCAACAGAGCTGGCACGCTCGGCTCCACTGGTCGTGGGAGTCGCGGTATAGGAAGAGTGCGGTAACGAGGTCGGGTGGCTCACAATAGATGGCACTGAAATAGGGTCGTCGGCTCTCCTCACCTTAGGGACTGCGAGGGCGGGAGGTAGCCCAGCCAGCACGTTGATCAGCAGAAAGTGTCTCCAATTCATAGTGATGGTTAAAAAGGGCGATATCCTCAGACATCCAGAAGGCAATTGAGATGCTACCCAGTGATGTGCTAGGAAACCTTTCCGGCGCCCAGAGTGCAGCGTTGCGAAGCTACATACGAGGGCCAACCTGCCTTTTAAGAATGTGGTCAGAGCCAGGGGGTTCGCAATTGACGCAACTAATTTGTGATCAAGACATGACGCTGTCGCTCATGTTTGCTGAGCGGTTATCCATAGCATCGTTCCAGCGTCATAAGTTGATTTGTCTCCCGAATCCCCAAATCAGCATCGGAGTTTCTGTTCCTGAGGATCGCACACCAAATGCCCTACCTTAGTGACATCGATGCGTGGTTAGGTAGTCGACATCAAGGTGTGTCGTCATGCTACGGTCAACCATGAACGAGTGATTCAGGGTGGAAGGTTGGAGTAGCTGTATAGCTCCGGGTCTGAGATTCCTTTGCAGCTCCCAAACCGAATTTGGTTATACATTCGGAACTTAGGCCAGCATACGTGTTTCGTCAAGCGTTGAGCAATCGGTGGTCCGCAACCACGAGCAGCACGGGATACTGGGATTCGTCTGCAACATCAGGTATTCACGGGTCATGACATATATCGGGAAAGATCTGCTTTGTATAATAGGTTACCCTTCCGATATTCCGATCCTATCAATTGATCTCGTATGTCGCATGCCCACAGTAAAGAGGATGTAGCGGATCTCCTAGTTGCTATGACGTGAGATCAAGATCACCAAAGCGGGCTTAAAGGAAGTGTCATCCGAGGAGTAAATTCACCCAGAATCTTATTGAGCCGCCGAATTCTCGGATGAATGATTCAGAAATAGATACTCAGTAGCATTGAGTGGACCCTTGGCCTAGTCGGGGTTCGTTCTATGCGAAGCTTGGTTGATTAGCAGAACGGGATGATTTTTGCATGAGAACGGGTTCAGATAAGCATTCTGGCTTTTCGGCTTTCCGATCTGAAACTGTCGCAAAGTCTTGAAGCATGGACTGTAGATATCTGTCATATCATGCTTCGCGTTACTAGGATTTATGCGCTGTTGGTGTCGATCATGCATATCTCTGGCCTTGTCCACCTGGGATGCGACCATCATTCTCACACATAGCAGATTGTTTACTTATCCCACTCGTAGCTCCAAGGTCACTCACTCTTGAACACCGTTTTCTGGATAACCTAGGTTTGAGAAAGTCATCAAGGACCATTGCCGGAGCGTGGGATTTCCCCACATCGGCCATGTTTGCGAGATGCGGGGGTCCTGTATGACGCCAGTTCCTCTAAAAGGGACAAATCGATTGTTTCCTCACTACGGAATGTCATAGAACACTTGCTCTATATGACTGGAGCAACTCCATCATTTTCTGTAGAAATTTAACGCTAATTGTACCCGATATTGCATTCCGCTATTGGCAGTGCGCTCAGTGGTCCCATCATCATCATCATCATGTCGCACCTGCAAGCTTCGAAATTGTTCTCCATCCAGGGATGTGTTGCTGTTGTAACCGGGGCTGGAACTGGTGAGACTCCTTGAAGAAATCGATTCCTTTATATGAAATGCGTTGTCGTTTGTTCTCCGCACTGCAACTCGATAGCGTTCGTAGATTTGGAAGAAGGTCCTATAAGCACTGACACAGCCTTCAACAGGACTGGGACGTACAATGGCCCTTGCGCTAGATGCGAACGGCGCCTCGAAGGTCTTCATCATCGGCCGACGCGAAGACAAGCTACAAGAGACTGCATCCCTCGCAATGAACAAAACAATCGTACCGATCAAGGGCGACGTCTCATCTAAGGAATCACTACAGGCGGCCTACGACTCCATCGCATCTCAGACAGACCATGTCGACCTGTTGATCGCAAACAGCGGTGTGATGGGTCCTTCTGCTCGCCCTCCAGCCGCAAAGGAGGACGGGTCAAAACCAAGTCTGTCAGAAGTCCGTGATCAGCTATGGGCTGTACCCATGGAGGATTTTTCCAAGGTCTTCGACATCAACGTCACAGGGTCATATTACACTGTTCTCGCATTCTTACCTCTGCTTGAGGCAACGAATAAGAGAAGACCGGCACCTGAGAAGGATAAGCTCTCCCCACCGACTGCCCAGGCTATCATCACCAGCTCGATTGCGGGTTTCATTCGGCAGGTGCCCTTCAGTTTTGCGTACAGTCTTTCCAAATCAGCAACGAATCATCTTGTCAAGATGCTTTCGACGACGCTGAGCTCATACGACATCCGGGTCAATGGCATTGCGCCAGGCCTGTACCACTCGGAGATGTCTGCGTCAGCATTCAAGGGCGGAGATAGGGGCATTTCTGACGGGTCGTTCCCGCGCGAAAGGATTCCCCTCACGAGGGGTGGAAGTGAGGAAGACATCGCGGGTCTGATTCTTTGGCTGGCGAGTGCTTCCGGTGGCTACATGAATGGTAGCATCATCGTCACTGATGGAGGGCGAACCGCAGTTCATCCGGCATCGTATTAGAGCGCTGGAAAGCGCAGAGCACTTTACACATGTAGGCCGGGCATCAAATTGCGCTATAAGTGAGTAGCTTATATTAGTCCATATCAACCTTCGCATACAAAGCAACTCACTCATACGATTAGTGGTCAGTCTTGCTCGAGATACATAAGAACGCTGAATGTAAACATGACTCATTTGGAGATATACATCAATATTAAGAGTCAGACTAGATGGTTGCTGTCAATCGTTGCACAAGATAGTCTCCGGCGGTAATCCCTGGGTATTTCTTTTTCTGACGAATTTCTTCCCCGAATGTCCCCGGTAGGGCATCAATAAACTTGTTCATATTAGGATTGCAGAAGTATGCGATACTATACCGCGCCGGGTATGCATCTGAGCCGTCATTTACGTCGACACCTGCGATACTTGGAGGCTCGACAACCCGATGGCGAGTGCTCTTGATGATGTCGTTGGACCACCGAGCTAATAGGTCTCCAGCATTGATGACGACTGTGTCTGCGACAGGCGTAGCGTCGACAAAGGTACCCTTGGGACTCCGAACCTGCAGTCCTCCACGACGGTCTTGGAACAGAAGTGTGATAGAGCCATAATCACTGTGCTCTGCAGCACGAACTTGTCCTGGGTTCTTCTTGAAGACATCTTTGGGCACAGAAGGGTAATGCAGAAGGCGGAGATTATTATCTCCCGCATCCACGAATTCATCAAAGTAGTGCTCTGGTAAGTTCATTCCAAGAGCGATGGCCCGCATGACCTCCGTATGGAGGGATTTGCACATTCCGAAGAATGACTGCATCACTTTCTTGAAATTCTTCCCCTCGTCATCGAAATGGTCTGGCCATCGATTAGGAAGACCGTCAACATCATCGCGACCAATCTCCATTGTCTCCTTAAGATCTGGCGTCGCCAGTCTAGCGGTATCTTTGTCGACATTATCTTCAGGTAAGCTCAGCTTCTCTCGTCCCGTCTTGACGTAACCACGGTTCGACTGCGGAGAAGTCCAACACAAACTGTCTTTCTGATCCTGGGGGCGAGCGAAGAAGCGAGCTGAAGTCTCAAATACCTGGGATACTGTGGAAAATGGGATTCCATGGTCTTTTAGGTAGAGAAAACCCGATGTCTTGAATGCATTTGTGATGGAAACTGCGACAGCATGTTTGTCGGATGGTGTTCCTCTCAGGAAGGGCCCAAAATCAATGACCTGTAAATTGACAGTGTAAGTGGGGAGGGAGACACATATCATACGAATACAGAAAACAGACCAGCAGATTGATAATTTTAGATGATCAGGATACTCACAGGAATGACAAGATCGTCCTTTTCAATCGCTGTGGTGATGGGATGACACGCATGCTGCGCCAGGTTGTCGTCCATTGTATAACGATCGGGATCAATGGCTGTAGGAGTTGAAGGGTGAAACTATGTCGTCAGATGAACGTACAACCCTTCTAAGGTATTAGAACAGTTATAGACGTCTGCTTGCGAGCTAATGTCGCAAGAACGTTGAGCGCAATCGCAGAAGATTTTCGTGAAATCACAACTTGGTCATGAACCAAGGTGAGGGAAGGAAAATAAGCAGATCAACAGGTTTGGATGGACAGCAGCCATGGTTCCGAAGGAGATATGCCTCCCCTCCTCACTTAAATATTTCCTTCCTTCCTCATCCCCAATCAACGATGATACACTGGGGCGGGGAAGATAAAGCCGACCTGCATGATGTTGCTGTCCGTATCTGAGCGATAAGGTATCGGTTGTCGAGAGATGAGGACATCGAGGGTAGATAGCCTCTTTAACCATTCAGAGAAGAGCAGATCCTCTGAAAACTCACTCATGCAGCTATCATTGAGACGATCGAAAGCAGACAAGCCATTGATATGGATTGCAATCTTTCAGTTCTTGATGCTTGAAACATGAGGGAATCGGCAGCAGTCCATACATGCGCTGCACATCACTCGCATCCCCTGCGGATGCATTACTGCTGTAACATCATTGCGCATACCCCGCATCGAAGATAAGAGACAAGTCAAGGCTGCTCAAGATTGAGTCTTGTCTCACTCGTTCTCCCTCATCTTCATCTTGAGTTCGCAAATCAGCTGCATTTCGACAAATGTATGATCATTCATAAGAGTCAAAAGTCGATTGCCAACTGTTTCTTCAGCGTGCTCACCTTTGCAAACCATCACTACTACAATCTTTTTAAGGCAGGCTGATTGATCGCCAGAAAGCAAAGAGAAAAGATGTCATCCCCGCTCATTGTCGACATTCACACTCATGTCTATCCCCCGGCGTATATGAAAATGCTCCGCGCTCGCAAGGTAGTCCCCTACGTCCACGACCCAGTAAATGCAACACCACGTCTTGTCATCCTTTCTTCAGACGATGATCCATCAATCCCTCTCGATGAGCGTGGCCGTCCAGTCGACTCGTCCTACTGGGATATCGACGTCAAGCTGGCATTCATGCGACGCCACGGTATCAACTGCAGTGTCATTTCCCTAGCTAACCCGTGGCTCGACTTCCTCGAGCCTGATGAAGCGCAGACGTGGGCAGAACGCATCAACGATGATCTGGAGCAGACCTGCGCTCGTGTCAACCAAGCAGCAGACCCAGATAACACGCATTCTCTTCACGAAAAAGAGACGTTGTTCGCATTTGGCGCCCTGCCGCTCAGTGCGCCTAGAGCAGACATTGTAGTAAACGAGATCAAAAGACTCAAGACGCTGCCACATCTGCGAGGCGTGATTATGGGTACCTCTGGTTTAGGCAAGGGTCTCGATGATCCAGCGCTGGACCCCGTATGGGGCGCCTTACAAGAGGCGGACACCCTGCTCTTCCTCCACCCTCATTACGGTCTACCCGATGAAGCTTTCGGCGGACCAGAAGTGATAAACCGCTACGGCCATGTTTTGCCACTTGCTTTAGGGTTCCCGCTCGAAACTACGATTGCCGTAGCACGGATGCTCCTTTCCGGTGTTTTCGATCGGTTCCCCCGGTTGAAGATCCTGCTGGCGCATTCTGGCGGAACGCTTCCATTCCTTGCCGGACGGATTGAGAGCTGTATCCATCACGAGCGCAAGTTCGTCGCCAACGGCGGTAATCTACCAGGCCCTCAGAGAAGTGTTTGGGATGTGCTGCGGACAAACATCTACCTCGATGCGGTGGTATATGGTACTGCTGGCCTGAAAGCAGCCGTGAGTGCGGCCGGTGGAGCGGATCGTCTCATGTTTGGTATGATCATGCTCTTCGCTGAATTCTTTTCTGCGGTTATACTGACATCTGGACAGGCACTGACCATCCGTTTTTCCCGCCACTGGATACTAGTGAAGACTCCGAATGGCCTAGTGTGACGACCAACTACAAAGCAATCCACGCTGCATTTGATACGGAGAAAGAGGCAGTTGGAGCGATCTTGGGAGGGAACGCAGCACGTATTCTGAATCTCAAATGAATGCAGTTTCATACTCATGTAGGTATAAAATATCACTGCGTCCTGCGTGACCCTCATGGGTCTCATGCCTCGACTTCATCTCTATAAGAGCAGAGAACAAAGTAGAAATATATAGTAAAAGCCAGGAATAACGGTAAAGGCCTCACACGAGGTGCAGAACAAACTTTTGCGACTTTTTTCGGAATATTCAGCAGACGGGGTTATGGAGCGTGTGATTTTACCATGTTTAAGAAGTGTTCTGGGTCGCTAGCAAGTCCCATCCCAGTAGCCTCCATATCTCTTGCGTAAACCAGTCGGGAACCGATTGCTCGGGAATCTGAGCACAGTTCTGCAATTTTTCAAGCTCATGTTTATCAAGTGCTTCAGGCTTCTGTAGCGCATGTGGAAACACAAAACGGTCTGATCCGAACAAAGCCCGAAGAAGAGTTCCTTGTAGCTGCTGCTTCATCTTGGCCACCCATGCCATTGTTTCAGGGGCATCCTGGACTCCCAATGTCACAGACGAGGATGCACAAGCATCTAATAAGGCTAGACTTCTCTCCAGTGGCCAAATGAGATGCTTTGCTTCCATCTGCATAGCATGCAAGGACTGGTCATCTAGCTTGACACTCTGCAAGCCTTGGGGAAGAGGTAATTTGGTCTGATGCACATGAAGATCAGGTCGAATTTGTAAATCTTGGAAGACAAATATGCACAGTAAAGTTCCCACACGCGTGAGGAGAATGTACAAAAACCCCTCGAAAAGAGTTCGATGAACTGCATATGAAAGATTCAAAGATATTGCAATAGAGCCAAGTAGTCGACTGATCTGGCTGGCTACTTCGTCAAGCGGAGTGGTCGTAAGATTCTCCAGTCCCTGACAAGGCTTTGCACTTTTCGACGTTTTAGCCTGCTTGTTCTTCGGGGCTTTTGAGGAACCAGTGCTCGCGGAAATCTGTCCGGACTTGCTGATGCAGTATTGCTCCAGAGCCGTCGCTATAGCCTGATACAATCTAACGAGATGATATGCAAGCTGACCCTTGCCGTGAAGGTCATTTTCAGTATCCGCGAGCTTTTCCAGTGCCTGTGAGATAAGCTGAAAAGCGCATTTGACGCTATGTAGAACCTGTTCCAAGTGAGGTCGCTTTGCCTGGAGGACAGACTTCTTGCTAGGTCGAGTGGTATGTCTTTCCCAACGGACTGCTGTGAGCACTTCATGCACAGCTACTTCGCATAGATCCGCGGAAGATTGTACAATAGTCGCGCGACTCGGCCTGTGTTGAATGGCTCTCTGAAGAGCGTAGAAGTGACGCATGAACGATGCAGTAGCTGTTTTAGATAACTTCAGTTAGTCAGAGTAGGCGAGAACATTGACACTCTCGACTGACATTCTTCCATGTATTCGGGTTGCTCGACGAGTTTGCTAGATACTAGAGCCATACCAAACGCCTGACTCTGGAAGTTCACCTGCGTCTTTGCTCTTTTACTCGCATTCAGATTCCCGTTTGCCTTCCTCTTTGCCGATACTTGCGTGATCTCTTGAGATAAAGAGTTTTGTGATTGCAGTTTCGCAAGAACAGCCTCATTACGCTGTTCCAGCTCATAAACTCTATCCATCAATCGGCTCTGCTCAGCTTCAGATTTCTTGTAGGCGTGCTGCCAGAAGGAGACGCTGTCGAAGAATCGATCTTCCAAATACTCCCTACCAGAACTGTCTGCATTTTTGATGTTCTTTCGGATCTGCAGCACATACTCTAAGACTTGGTTAAGTTAACCTGTACAGAAAGGGGCCTCGAAGACTGTTAACCTTGAATATCCATGCCCGCCGGCTTCTGTTTGACGATGGCCATTGCAAGGGCTAGCTGAGCCTGGGATGGCATAGGCTTGCTCGCCATGGTCGTCGCCTCCATGATCAGGGGTATATGTCGCTTGACAAGGAATGTTGATGATGATGGAATGGAAGTTGTGGACGAGGCAATCCACTGAAGGAGAAGTTCTCAGTGCCTGAGGCTTAGTCTACACACACCACTTTCTTCGGACGTATAAGCATGCCAACGCACCTTTTTCTTACAAGTAGGGCCTTGGTATACTGGAGTTTTGAAGATGGACGGCTGTGATCATTAAGGAACTATTAACTGCCACGGCATATAGGTCGAGCGATCATATTGTCCCATGAGTTTCTGGACCTTTTCTTCCTGGCGATCCAGTGAGCCAACGCCAGCCAGCATATCATACATAATTAGTCATGCGAAAGAATTCATGAGTAGATCGTATAGCAGAGAAAGCCTCCCTTGGGACTACCTCTTCCTATATTTAGGGCCGGAGAAGAATGCGTTGCGGGATGTTCAGCCATTTTTTGATGCATTTAGAACAGAGTTAGGAAGTTATTTGCATCTGCATCAGCTCCTATCGCTGTATCTGGCACAATAAAGAATCTCACGAGTCGAATAAATATGTCCCCAGCAAGGGTTGCCGGATATGTAATGGGAGAACAGGAAGCCATATTTGCCTCGATAGAAGTATATAACTGGACAGTTTTTCTGCAATTCCCGTTCGATTGCCTAATACGGGTGCCGCCGCTTTTATGAGGGCTGCGCGTGAGAGCGCCCTGAGCGCATCGAACACTCACTGAACACTCATTGAGCACGCACCAACCACTCCGGCAGCTCCCGGACTACTCACTGATCCCGCCTGAGTAATCTGGATCAGCTCAAGCACCCACCCACATTGGGAATCACATGACACTTTTATGCTCTCTAAACTGCATACATCCTAAAAGCTGGGGAGATCCATGAGAACCACCATCACTTTCATGAGGGCATCACAAAGGCCAGGGGCTTAGCGTCTTAGATTGGACTCTGTTCATCATAGTCTCACGCGCAGGGGCAGGCTTAGATGGATCAAAAATAATCAAATGGAGGATAATAGGTCTCCCCAGCCCCCATGTTACGCATGTATAAAATGGCATTTCCTAAGCTTGCTAATGGGGAAACTTCAACTTTCCAGGTCCTCTGTTAATTATACTTCTACTTACCGTGTGTCTATACTCTGTTACTACTTCTATCTCCATTTCAGTCTTCTAGTATAGGTGTGGCTCTCAGGCATAATTCTTGCCTAGATAGAGACACCTCAGACTGGAGAGCTGTGATATCAAAAGTGTGACAAACACATCCATTGTTCTGGCGCGTAACTCTTGGGTCCACTGTTCAGAGGAGGGTAGTCAGTTTGTTAAACATTAGTTGCCTAGTTACCTAGTTACCCTTAGTTATTACCCTGTCATGTTTGTTGATAATGATAATACACTGTGTTGAGTCTCCGTCGAGTATGTAGTGTAGATATCTTGAAAGACGATCACTTCTTCGCACCCTGCTCACGTCTCAATTCCACTCCGGCTTGCATCCCTCTCGCATTCTCCCTCGCATCCAGGATCAAAGCCGCTGGGTTCCAAACACAGAGCACCAAACTCGCAATGAACATCAATGCCGCATCGAGAATAATCGCATACACCTCGTGCGTAAACAGATACCCCGCCACCCATTCATCAACTCCATGCTCCGATACACGCCCCGCGCCACCATACACGTAACAGCAATCATCAACGACTGCGAGATCCGCCGCAGGGCTTGATTCCGCGCAATCGGGCCTAGGCCACGGTAGATCACGTACTCAAGCAATGTAGCAAAGACGCAGGTCGAGACCAGTTGCCAGATTATCCCAGCCACCATCGTGTAGGTTCCCGGCCAGGGGGAGGTGTTCTGGCTGAATGCGGCGCCAGCAATACCACCGCCGACGGCCTGGAGGAGGAGACTGAAGAAATCAACCGTCATGAAGATGATGAGGTAGAGGTTCGGTCGCAAGGGGGACTTGTCCTGTCCGATGATGGGGATCATCAGGCTCAGGACGCCGTAGATGCCGGCTGTCGTGAAGGCGGGGCTGTTTCATATCGTTATAGATAGCTTCCCGACAGTGAAAAGGAAATGGAAGATTTACCCATGATTAATGCGGCCAGCTGCATCTCGAGCAGCTTGACAGAATACGGACAGCGATACGCCACGGTACGGCCTAACCATCCGACAAATTCGCCGAATGCACCTAGGGAGAAGGCTAGCCCAAGCCAGATATTTCTATGCCGAAAGGCCTGCCACACATGGACAATTGTCACCCCCAAGAAGAGGATCATGAAGATAATACCGGCCACAAGGGAGGGGCGATAGCCGAAGGGAGTGGGAATATTCGGGCTATAGGGAAGACAATCGGGAGTTTTCTCCATGGTCGCCTCTCAGGTCGCAGACTTAAGATAGAAAAGCAGTATATGGAAGGAATATCAAGTAAGTTGACAATGGACGAACGTACACCAGGTGTCTGTATCTGTCAGGGTAACCAGGGCAGAGAATGCAAGTGGTGTAGATGATGACGGGGGATGGGCGCTAGTGATCAGACTGGGGGCACTATAATAATAATAATAAGCACCTCCTTTGTCTTTCTCTCTCAGTACAACTATTATTAACATGTCAGCCCCGAACAATCCAAGGACGGCGAATGTTGGGAAAATGTGGCCGAGCCAGGCCCGACACATTGGTGGCCAACCTCTCTGTTGGGCTTCAAAAGGCACCGAGATGAGATTCATGTCTTGCATGGATTAACCTTGGCAAAGATGACACCTGCGTCAACATCCACTCGATCCCTGGAGTCTATGTGGATCTCATTTTGGGGTTATCACTCTCTCTACATATACTCCTCCATAGTGTCTGTTCCATACCTTGCACCCGTAACGACAACAAAGCCATGAAATTCCTCTGCCTCCATGGAATGGGAACCAACTCCCAAATCCTGCAAATCCAACTCGCTGGAATTATCAATCAACTGCCACAGCACGAGTTCATTTTTGTCGATGGCCTGGAACCCTGTCCACCCGACCCAGAAGTCAAGTCTCTATGGCCCGGGGGTCCGTATCTTTCCTATTACACTGCCCCAACCCCCGAACAGTTGGACGAAGCCTACTCCCTGGTCTTGGAAGTCATGGCCGAGGACGGCCCGTTTGATGGGGTGATTGGCTTCTCGCAGGGTGCCGCACTTGCCGCATCGATGATTCTCCAGCACCAGAAGGATCAGCCAACCGCCGTGCCATTGTTTAGTCTGGGCGTCTTCCTTGGCGCCAGCCTTCCCTTCGATCGACACTCGACGCTTGCGCGGCAGAGTGTAGTGGCTAGCAAACATCAGCCGAGTGGATACGTTGGCGGCAAGGAGGAGCATGATCTCCTCATACTCCAGCGGTATGATCCTCGCACGATATCGCTGCGGATTAACATCCCCATACTGCACGTCGCTGGAAAGAGAGATCCTTTCTACCAGCAGAGCGAGTTGTTGGTTGGCCTCTGCTCGGCAGATGCTTCCTCTGTCATACATGATGGCGGTCATTTTGTACCAAAAGATACGCACACCACGGCCAAGATTGTCAGATTGATCGATGCCTTGGTAGGCAGAGTACAGCACCGGTGCTGAGAGATTTGTTTCTTGCTATAAGATTTGTCTGCCGGTTCGCGCCTAGATTCTAGATGCCTATTGATCTAACTATCCTTTCTTGGCGACCGTTTCACTCTTGTTTGTGATGTGCAATCAGTTTCTGAATCCAACTTCGTAGCCCGTCCAGCTTATTTCTTGTTTGATTTATGTCAACCGTCATCGTGTCCTCTGCAAACATACTATAGTCGGCCACTACATGAAGCAATCGTCCCAGCTGCCCAAGATGAAAGTCCATGACCGTGTATCGGACAACGGCACCCAACCGTCCTGTAGTATGGGACCGTTGATGATGCCCTGCTGAGGGGATAGGAAGTAAGTTCTGGACGGATGAAGCCCTGCAATGCCTTTCAATACCGCTTCCCAAGATTGAATCACGTCGGTCAGCGCCATCCGCCCCTTGTGCCAGGAACGCCTTGTCGTCTGGTCCCGCCGCCAGAAGCTCGTATATCTCGATGCTCATACACACTGCAGTTAGAGCAAGCATCAGCGTGCCCTCACTACTTGGCTGTGGTTCCTCAGGAAAGGCATTCCTGCTTGACACGGAGCTGCCCCACTGGTGTGCAATGATCTGGACAGTATCGCACAGTGCCGATACAATTGAAAACAGTTCGTCGAGCGATCTGTCGGTGCTCGACGTGCCTCGCTTCAACGACTGGCGCTCTTCGTTGAGACGGAGTAGGATGGGAGAGAGCTGACCGTAGACATCTAGTCTCCAATCAGCCAGAGAAGGTGTCAGTCGCTGCATTCCTTCAAGGTCCGAATCCATCATCGCATAGTCCGCTGGCCACGAGGACTCGGAGACCATTGATACCAGGGCTGCTGCGTCGAGGGGCGGGTGTTCAGTCACCGGTAGGCTATCCGATGCCAGAACTGAACGGGAGGACCAGCCTTCATGCTGCCCTGACTCGGAAGATGCTCCTGGTACCGTAATATGCGGCGTCGCAGATATCGGTCTGTCCAGGCTCACACGGCAGCAATTGTCAACCTTTCACAATCTTTCCAGCAATCATACTATATATGCGAAGCCCCTAGTCGAGGCAGGTAGAACTCACTGCACTGGCACCCCCAGCTGAACCGCTGCGATCTGACCAGCCGCCGCCAAAGTAGATGACCAGGTCGACGGCAATTGATGTTCATCTCCGTTACGCGAGTGTTCATCTCTGCACTGGTCGGAGTGCTGGTAGCTGAGCTGTGCAATTTCTGCTTGTGTCCTTTCCTCCAGCCTCTCTTCTGGCTCGATGCCCCCATCTCGAGCCTCCTCCTCTTGAGATCTCGAGAGTTTCGACTTTCGCGGTCGTCCCATCTCTTTGCGCGGACTGAAAATGCATCGTCGGCCGTGTTTCTGGCAGTTCCAACAGGCACCCATGCTACTAGTAGCAGAGGAGCACCTCACCTTTCGATAGTGGCATGCGTCGCATGCCTCTCTGTGAACAGAGTCCATTCCAATGCAATAGGGCCCCAATACATTGATCTGCTTTCTTCCAACGCTGTAAGATATCTGGCAGAGATAGCATTCTTGACCTATATAAGCCCTTTTTCTTGGCTTATATTGCAATAAGGCTCCCGATAAAGCAAAGTACATTGGGACTACAATTAGCCCATCGCTTTTGGGGAAGGCTACTCCCCCGCCTTACTCCCGAGATTAGCGATCCTTGCTAGTGTTTATACTAAAATCATACCTGGGCTGTGGCCTCTGAGGGCTTGATAATGGTCCTAGCCTGCCCAGGAGTGGGCGGATGCTTTTTGCCCTTGCTTACCTGGCTGAGTCTTATCCCTGTTTATAGATTATATTGAATCAATACCGATAGCCTAGAAGTTGTCCGGAGGATGTACTACTCCTTAATCTAGCGGATTACATAGCCGTGGCCATGTTGGCAACGTGGCATACGATTCTAACCAATTAGCTGACAACTTCCAAAGGCTACGGTGCCTGACAGTGGTGGTTTTACTGGCTTAATTTCCGTCCTCTGAGAAGAGAAGAGATCAACTACAGTGCTACGCAAACAACCGAATGATCTTGTAGCGTAATTTCCCTGAATCGAAGGAACGGCCCGCTCCAGTATCAGACAACATTTAATGCGGACAACCGCTGGTAAAACAGGGGTCAGGAATATCGAGGCAATAGTTCAGTTTAAGCGCTGTTGCTGCTGAATTTTGCCTAACAGGACGAGTCGGACTTTTGAGCCGTATCTATATTCGGATGAATTTGAACGGTTATCACTTCACTTCTGGAACTATTTCTAGTCAATATAATGACACAGCGGCATATCACCTTCCCGCCAGACAAGCCATGCTTCGAAAGGATTCACTCACCTGTATCTACCAAGGAGAATTTGTGGGATTGCCATATGATTGCTACATACAGCACTAGTGTGAAAGTGAGGGGTTAGTGTGCATAGGAGAAAGAGAAACCCCTGCATCTACTAGATTAGTATATCGCGGCTCTTCTCCAACCAACAGACGAGCTGCTATGTACGTGATAGTCACTGGTCAGAATCCGCCTGCGGCCTTGTATACCCCTAGAGCACATGTAGGCCTAGGAGTCATGCCACACAATAACCCTCCCCTGCCACCGCATATTAACCAATCAATGAATTATCGCAGACAAGGTGTTATTAAGTGACCTGACATATTCCAAACCCTTTTGTCTTGAACAGCATCTCTCTGATTTACGGGTGGCTATGTTTGCATACACCTATTACAACCTACTGTGGAACTCAGACTGTTGGATTCCTAATGCTTCCACCCAGACCACGGTAGGCTGTGTTCCATAAGCCAGTGGGAGAGATTCCTTCCTACGTTGGCTCTGTCTGGCCTCGCCCAGGCCGTTTACTCCCTATTTCCATTTGCGTCGAGACGCTTTGACACTCAATGACCCGCTTTCCTGGCTAGAGCGGCAGTTACATGCTGTCTCTTCTGTTCAATACCTCATTGGCTTCCTAATTCACTCAGCACGTAGGACGTTTGATATTTTATGCAGCATTTCCGGAAAGCTCTGTGGCAGGACGAACGAGGAATTGATCCAGCATTGACTCAGAGCTGGCAGTAGCCAGGCGTTGGCGAGCTCATGCCATGTAAATCCAGTTAGACAAAGCTTTTGTGGCCAATATTGCTATATCCCAGCTACCCTTACGAATTTGCTGAGAGTTTGGACGTCCCTTCTACTAACAACATCAGTTGTCAGCCTCCACCACCCCGTCCGGGATACATTTAGATTTCCCAACGATCCTTCGCGAGAGCGAGCTAATCGGAATGTTGCTCAGCAGGTCAAAGACGGAAACATCTGCCTGAAGCTCCGTGAAGATCCATCCACGCAACTCCACCGCCAAAAGACTGTCTACACCGTAGCTGCTTACCGGACGCGACGCCTCGACGTCTTCGACGGGCATCATCATGGATTTGGCCAATTTCCCAATCAGCGCCGTGCAGACAATCTCGGCGGCAGCATCCATGGTCGTAACACGCGATAGCAATGCTTGCAGCTGCGCCGAATCCTCGTCCTTCGTCTGGGCTACCTGATGCGTATCGACCTGGACGAGGTGAGCGAACTTGGCGTCGTTGAACCACCAAGGATATTTCTCTGCGCCTTGCGCCATCATCCCGCCCGTTCCGAGGCCGGTTACCAGCTGAGGGGGAACCGGCTGTCCTTTGATGCTCACCCCGGTGATGGCAGCTTGGACCATGCCGAGGAATTCCTTCTCGCGGATCCCGATGAAGCTCCACGTTTTGGTGTTGTCGTGGACCCGCTCCTCTGTGTTATCGGCCAGGAAGCCCACTCCGAGCACCATGCCAACATCGATGGACACTCCGTGCTGCCCGTGAAGCTGTCGGTAATGCGCCAGTGCGTCTTGGAAGGAGTTCCCTAAAAGGTCTTGTCAGTAGCTGCATCATATACAGTGTTCATCACATAGATATGCCTGTAGATTGCTCCGTCGCAGACAGTGTATTGAGACTGTAGATTGCAAAACTCACCAGCAGAATAATTCCCTTGTCCTCTCGAACCGGCAATGCCGACACTGGAGGACAGCAGCACGTAAAAGTCCATGTCCTGCGGCAGATATTTGTGCAAATTCCAGCTTCCCTGGACCTTTGGTCGAACAGCGCCCATGAATTGTTGATGCGTCATGTTTTGGTAAATTGCGTCCTACAAGATCTATTAGCCTGCGGGGGAGACAATAAAGCCGTTGTTCTCTTACATTCAAGACCATTGCCCCTGAATGACACCTTTGACAGGAGGAAATTCATTCGCAAGGATGGCTACCGCAGCAGCCACATCGGCTTCCTTGTTCACATCGCACGGGTAGGCAGCCACCCTGGCGCCGCGTCTCTGTAGCATATCGACTGTCTCTTGCAGTTCCGGCTTCTTCAGCCCGGACCTGGACAGGAATACGATATGACGTGCTCCTTGCTCTACCATCCATCGGCCCAGGCATCTTCCCAGTCCCCCAGAACCGCCTGCCAGGATGTAGGTGGAGTGAGGATCGAATGCATATGGTGCGACTTTTGGTGGGATGCACTGTGTTATTGAAGCAGTAGTCAGCATCTATCGTCTATAGGCCAGAGAAAAGAAAAAGAAGGTGGGATCGCACCGGAACCAGTTCGTCTTCGGCGGGTTCGAGAACGATCTTGCCCAGATGTTGGCTCGTCTGCATCAGGCGGAATGCCTCTTCCATTTTGGAGAATGGCATCGAGACGACGGGATGGACTGGCCTGATGATACCGCGGTCGAGAAGACCCACCACATCCGAGAATACTTGGGCTGCTAAAGAAAGGTTGCCTTCCAGGACCGCAAGCATGTTTATGGCGTGGAAGGAAGCGTTTCGGATGAAAGGTGCCATGTCCAAGCCGGTATTTCCCACTAAGACGGAGTCAGTCGCCAAGTCGTGCCCCGGTAGACCCTTCCTGCTGGGTTCAAGCATAACTGACCTATATCCCTTTGCCCCAATTCAACAAACCGTCCACAGGTTGCAATGCAGTGCCACGATTGTCGCAGCGCTTCGCCAGCCAGCGAGTTCAGGACCACGTCGACACCTCGGCCCTGGGTCATCCGTCTGATACCTTGTGCAAATTGTACATCCCTGCTGTTGAAAATGTGGTCTTGCGGGATCCCATACTTGTCAACTAGGAGCGACTTCTTGGTCTCCGAGGAGACGGTAGCAAAAACCTCCGCTCCGATATGCTGCGCGAGGATGATACCTGCTTGCCCTACGCCTATTCATTGGGTCAGTCCCTTTGTTCCTTTAGGCTGCGGATATTCTGCTTGAAAAGAAACGTACCTCCAGCGGCTCCATGGATGAGGATACTCTCCCCGGCGCGCAATCCCGCGGCATGGTGCAGAGCGTAGTGGGCGGTGCTGTAAACGACGGGGAGAGAGGCTGCCGTGCCAAAACTCATTCCGTCAGGGATTCGGTGCACCATTCTTTGAGGCGAACGGAGATAGTTGCTGAATGCACCAGGACGCCAGGTCATGACTGCATCTCCAGGACGGAGGTTGTCAACCTGACTGCCAACCCGGGTTACCACACCACTGCAGTCGATGCCCAGAGCGGGCTGTGGTAATTGTCCCATCGCAACCATGATATCCTTGAAGTTCAATCTATCTGTTTGTCAGTGGCTGTTGCCCATTGAGCTGGATGGATAACGACATACCCGACACCCTTCACTTCAATCTCAACCTCCTCTGGCTTTACATCCTCCCTGGTGATAACAGGATCGTCAACAAATTGAAGCGTGTCAAGCCGACCGGGAGTCCCGACGGACAACGTCAACGAACGTCCTTCCTGCTTGAACGGAGCCATCTCCGGTTGAGGAGCGACGTTATACGTGGCAATCAAATCGTTCATGCCCTTCTCCATAAGAATTCGCGGAACCATCGCCCGCTCGTTCCGGATTGCATACTCCCAGTCAGGTCTCTGACTATCCCGTGAGTGTGCACCCTGGACGAAAATGTCGATCAGGACTTTAAACCCCCGAGGGGAATCCAGTGACCGCTGTGGATCGAGATCGACCGTGGTGAAGGCAAGCTGTGGGTTCTCCGCACGGATGCTACGCGCCATGCCGGTCATCAGGTTCGCAAAGGGGGACTCGCTCGTGGTAACCGCCCCTCGGGAGACCCAAGTCACGTCAGCAGACTCAAGGATGAGGACTCTCAAGGCATCCCACTCCTCTGGGGAAATCTCCGGCAGGAACGGGTGCTCGGGGTCGCATTCAAGCAGCGTCACAGAGGACTTGTTCTTCAGCTCGTCTGGGGGAGGCATGTGTCGAATGGTCGTAACTGTAACATCTCTCGCACCGCGCGCCTGTAAGCTGGCCGACAACGCCGTCGTCAACTTTTGCACCTCTTCTGTCGGAGCCTCGGGCACGACGACTAGAACTTCTGCAGGCACAGCGTGCCCTCCAGGGGCGCCAGCAGAAGAAACCAGTACAGAGAGGAAATGATCGCGGGGTCCTCCCAATCCGGTAGACAGACGTCCACGCCGCTATATCCCGCTCGCAACAAGGCCTCGTGCCATTCAGTTTCGGTCAGGACTGGGCCCCATTTCCGGCCGTCGGCCTCTCCGACCCACCATCCTTCCAACGACCCCACAATCATCGTGGCACGCAGGAGCGGGTTGGTGATCTCACTGAGGACCAGCTTACCGGACGGCTTCAGGAGCTTCTTCACATTTGCAAGCGTGGTATCCATGCGTCGTGTGGCGTGCAGAACGTTGGAGGCGACTATGAGGTCGTAGCCACCTTCTTCCAACCCCTGAGCCACTGGATCCTCTTCGATGTTGAGCCGAGCGTAGGTCATAAAGGGCGCCCAGGACTTGAGCTTCAGCCGGGCCTTCTCGAAAAAGCCAGCGCTGATGTCTGTGAATGTGTAGCTGGAGAACATCGCACAGGTGCCGTTGTGTCCTCCCAGCCGTTCGAGCAAGGGAAGCGTGGCTCCCCCCGTCCCCGCACCGACTTCTAGGATCTTCATGTCGGGCTGCTTATGAGCCAGGAGCCTGACGTACTCGGATAATTTGGCATAGTTCTGAGGGCAACCCACCCCGCTCGAGTAGAAATTGTGCAGAAGATTGTCCTTCATCAGTACCTCGAGTGGAAGAGTGTTCCCTCGCAGAATGTCGACCAGATTGAGGCCATGCTGATGCAGAACTGCACCGTCGGTGGTCGCCTGGGACACCCGAGCTAGAATCTCGTCCTCGACATCCTGGCTGGTGTGTAGCCAGTCAATATCCGCGATGCTGTCTTGATGGAGAATCTTTCCCTGTACGGCAAGATCATAGGTGCGCTGCATGTACTGGTAAAAGGTCCGCAGATGAGGTGGTGACAAGCTCTGTGCCTCCTCGGGGGTGATGGCCGCGAGCACGCGCTTGATGATAATGAATGAAGCTAGCTCCAGTTCGGCAATTGTTGCTGGACTCGTTCGGTCAAGATTGTCTGGGGATGCCTCGCAGATGCTTGTGACCTCCTCCGGTTGGAGCATGGCTAGGTCTTCCTGCCAGTGGAAGTAGCTCGTCAGCTTTCTCATACTGGCCGCAGCGGCCGCATTGTCAGACGTCCCGGACAACGATTTGCTTTTGATGCCGTCGAAGACCACCAGAGGTCGTTCCCAATCCGGCGTAGAAACAGCAACAGTGGCCTCGCCGTCGTCAAATCCTGTCAGCCGCACTCGGGCGTACCCTTGTAGCAGAGTACCAGGCAACGAAGGCACAGCTGCGGACACATACAACCGGTCAATGGATATGGGCACCTTGGCGACTGTCATCTCCTCGCCGAGTGCAGTCGTGGCCGGAAGCGCCATCTGGATGATGCTGTCCAAGGTGGTCGGATGGATAACATGGTCGTACTCAAACTTCATCGGCATCCGGCTCCGCGTGTCTGGGATGCGAAGCGAGCAGACACCCTTGTGATGGCCTTGTTTAATGTCAATCAAATTCTGGAAGACGTCTCCGTAGTACAGGCCGATCGTTGTCAGATGCTCATAGAACTGGCGAGGATTCTCTGACTTGGGACAATCCCCAAAGGTCTCAAGGTATGTCTCCCTGAAGACTTGATCCGACTCTCGATCCTCATCGACGAAGAGGGGATTTTTGGACTCCTTATATTTCACTTGAATCAGACCCGAGCAATTCTTGTCCCAGCCTTCTTGTCTCGTGTATAATGTAAACTCGTGCCACGCCGAAGTCGTTGCCCGAGAGCCAAGTCTCCATGGCCGGAGGGAGAGCACCATCTCGACTCCTGGGTCGTCAGCCGGTACGACGATAGCCTTGCCAATAAGGATGTCGCGGAGCTCAAATCCCTCAATCTCCCTGTCCGGGTCCGCATTCTGCTTCATCGCCTCAATCGCGGCCACCATCATCCCTGCCGCCGGATAGAGAATCGAGCCCTGCACCTTGTGGTGCTCGATCCACGGCGCCTCATTGAGCCGGATGATGTTCCGCCAGCGAGGGTCGATGTCCACACCATCCACTGTCAAACTGCCCACCAGGTCCTTTCGTGGATGCTTGCGGAAGCGGTGGTTCATTCCCGCAGCCGACTCGAACCAGTACCTTTGCTGCCGGTTCCATGCGAACGGGGGAGATTGACCAGATACGCTTGGCATTTGGGTGCTATCGCCTCGCGATTGACCCGGGAAATGTCAACTGGGTATCCGGAGGCGAAGAGCTCGCCCGCCACCTCCAGAGCCGTCGCACATGCATCGGATTCACGTTGTAACACCGAGAGATAGGAGACATCAGAGGTTCGTGGCTCGGAGCCCAGTGTCTGCTTGATGGGACCTTTTAAGGCGAAATGAGGACCGATTTCAATCAGGATATTAGCGTACGGCTTCCCTGCACGTCTGCTTTTTTTGCCCTGATTTGTCTCCGTGTAGCTGAGGAGACTGTTCAAGGCGCCCAGGAAGTCAACGGGATTCAGCAGGTTGGCGACCCAGTATGAGGCACCCAGATCAGCATTGCTGACCAATGTCCCTGTCACGCTGGAAAACATCTTGATTTCATCCCCGTCCGCTCGCAAAGGGGAGACATCGTGAAGACTGTCGAGATAGTGCGAAGCAACGGTCTCCATGTGCGGAGAATGATACGCGATCTCCACCTTGAGCCGACGGGCAAACTGTCCATCCGCTTGAATACGTCTTTCAAGTTCCTGTATAGAGGCAGAGTCACCAGAGAGAGTGGTGCTGGAATGGCTATTGATACATGCCACCACAACTCTCGCGTCCGGCACCTCGTCGAGGTACTTGTTGACTTCTGTCCGTCCCAGGCCGACGGCCAGCATGCCCCCATTCAGATGAGGGGCAAGGCCGCGGATACTTTCGGACAGTCTTCCACGGTGGTAGGCTATCATCCATGCACTCTCTCTAGTGATGGCACCTTTGGCATACGCGGCGGCAATCTCTCCGCTGGAATGTCCGACAACGGCGCGGGGCGGACTCCCCAATGCCTTAACAGGTCCACCAGCGCGACCTGAACCGCCGTACAAATGGGCTGACTGAACGAGGCGGCGTTAATCCGTGATGACTCCGCATCCTGCAGCAGCTCATTCAAAAGCGACCAGGAGCAGCCGAGCGACACGAGGAAAGTGCTGGCTGCTTCCAGGCTTTCCCTGAAGACCTGGTAGGCACACAGTTCCCGTCCCATTCCATACCACTGCGCTCCCTGCCCCGTGAAGACGAATGCCACCTTAGGTGTCCCGGAAGACCGGATTGGCTTACGCCAGGATCCAGCGAGCTTGTCGATAAGCTCGGTCATGGTTGACGCGTAGACGAAGCTCTTCCACGGCAGGACGCTCCTTCTGGTGGCCAACGTATAGGCAAAGCGGTTGAGCAGTGTTTGGCTCCCGCTATCCTGCACCTCTGCCTGCTGAGCCGCCAGATACTCCGAATACATTCTGGCTGTTCGCTCAATCCCAAGCTGCTCATGGGATGACCACACATACAGCAATGCCCGCTGCTTCTTTCGGTCGGAAAAATAGTCAACGTCAGTTAAGAGCTTGAGGCGGTCGGACAGGAGAGATGTATTGTCGAAAGAGAGAGCCACGCCGGAGTCCGCTGAAGAGGATGCTGCCGACTCTGCGTCCCCTTCCGTGCTGCTGTTGTGATTGCCCTTCAGGCCTCGCGACCTCATGTAGTGAAACGCATCATCGAGGATGCAATGCGCGTTGGTTCCGCCATAGCCGAAAGAATTGATACTCAGTCTCCTTAGGCCCGGTTTCGGCCAAGGCATCAAATGAGTAGGAATAGCCAGACCCCACTCCTCGAGCCGGATTCGATCGTTCTGCCTCTCAAACCAAAGGCTCGGGGGGATTTGACCTTTCTCAAGTGCAAACACTGCCTTGACAACTTGTGCCAGACCGGATCCTCCCTCGAGATGGCCGATGTTGGTCTTAATGGAGCCGACGAATACCGGATCATCCTCGGATCGGGACTTGCCAAACGTCGCTGCCAGGGCCTCGGCTTCGACCGGGTCACCAGCCGGTGTACCCGTGCCGTGCGTCTCGACGTAAGCTGTGTCTGTGAAGTTCAGTCCGGCGTTTGCGTAGGTCTCCCGGATAAGGGCCTCCTGTGCCGTGGCAGAGGGCAGTGTGATGCCAGGGGTATTTCCGTCCTGATTCACTGCGGTCCCGCGGATGACGGCGCGAATCACATCATTGTCCCTCAGTGCCAGATGAAGGGGCTTCAGAATCACCACCGCCGCACCCTCGCCACGCGAGTAACCATTGGCCTTGTGATCGAACGATTGGCATTTCCCATCCGGGCTGAGGAAATGCAAGGCCGACATGGCCGACATGATATCCGGCAGTAAGATCAGGTTGGTGCCTCCCACGATTGACTACAAGGGACAGTCAGCCGCTAGTTCATACATGACTGGTAGCATCAAATATAGGAACCAGCCCTTACCATTTCAGACTCTCCCGTTCGAAGACTCTGGCACCCCAGGTGGAGAGCTACCAACGAAGAGGAGCATGCCGTGTCCAGACTGATACTCGGCCCCTTGAGGTCAAAGTACCAGGAGATTCGATTGGACATAATAGCGGAACCCGTCCCAGTTCCATGATACAAGGGCAGGTTTTCCCGGTCACAGGCAAGCATGTCACTGTAGTCCCTGGTGAAGCAGCCGATGTAGCAAGAGGTTTTCGACCCTACAACGTCCTCGAGACGCTGCCCGGCTATTCGATCGTATAGTTAGCAAGATCGGAAACTCAAGCAAGGACAAAAAGGGCAGAAGGGGTCCACGCGTACCATTCTCCAATGCTTCGTACGTGCACTCCAGCGCCATGCGTTGTTGGGGATCCATCGCCTTTGCCTCTGCCGGCGTGATGGAGAAGAACGGGGCATCGAACGCAGCAATATCCCCGTTCATGAAGTGTGCATGGCGCACGTTGAGAGTCCCCTGTCGTTCATGGTGTGGATGGTAGAAGGCATCCATATTGAACCGATCCTTGGGCACTTCACCCCGAGCGCTGCGGCCCTCCGAGACGAGCTCCCATAACCTTTCGGGGCTCGATGCATCAGCAGGAAATCGACCTCCCAGGCCAATGATTGCTATGGGCATGCATTTGTCCTCTGTCATAGTTCGCCTGCTGAGATTGGAGGAAAGAAACATTGTTGGAATTTGTTTTTCCCTTTCGGTATCGCAGAAAGTGTTTAGCTGGAAGGGAGCATATAAGCCACAAGAACTGTGAGGGTGTCAAGGTTCCAGGTCATCTTTTCCTCGAGACCCGAGCGAAAGCTACATGCATTTATGGAAATCCCTTTGATAATGGTAGACCCCAACCTAGAGCATGTCACGATTATCGAGTATAACCCTCCGAGCTACAGATAAGCGTTAGTGTTAGAAGGGGGCCGACGCTACTGCGACAGAAGGAATGCAATCAAAAATTTGTTCAGTGTCCATCCACCCCATGTCTCGGGGGGCGGATTGTCTCTAGAGTGTGCGGAAAAGTCCCCGTGGGGACACGGCGACATATGCATGTTAATAGTGTGGCAGTCGCCGCCCTCTTTCGGTGACATTTCTCGTCAAATTCAGTGGCGAGCTTCTCTATCTGTTGGCTGGACTGGAAGCCTCGAGCTAGGAGCGGTGCAATGTCCTGGACTCGGGGGCAGCCAGATTCTGCCTGGCGAGGTTATTTTACGAGGTCGACTCAATCGTGGACTCACCATTACGGCAGCCTGCGATACAGTCATCTTGTGTTCCGTCCAGAACGATGCTTGACGCCAGGAAGTTCTTGATCGTTGTCACGGCTGGTGGCAAGACCAACGCATCTCCTATCTTCGAGATCGCCCAGATATTGAACACAAGGGGCCATAAAATCGAATTTGCAACGCTCGACGGACAGCAGGACTGGGCTCGAGAGTACCCCTTTGTCTCCCAGGTCTACATTCTCGGGCCAGGCCAGACTTCAGAAGCGGAGGAGCAGGCGTATCTACAAATGTCGAGATGGAAACTCGGCCTGCGATACACCTTCGAACCGGTCATCGAAACGAGAAAGTACCTCGAGTCGAGCTGGGAAACGGTGTATCCAGCTCTCTCCCAACTGGTTCAGGACCCCGTCTCCCGTCCCGATTTCATCCTTGCCGACTATCTGGTCGATGCGGCTCGCGACATGCACATCGAGCACGATATCCCGATTGCCATGCATTGGCCCCAGATGCCCACAAATATGGTCCCAGCCAGCTATCTCCCAGGAGCAGCTGGGCTGCAGATGGAAGTGCTGACGTCGGAGCACGCGACTCTCTGGCAGCGTCTTCAAAACTACCTGTTGGCCTTTCGAGCCCTGCCCCCTTACCTGCGCTATCGGTCGTGGGTGCGTGATCTACGCGCGAGGCACGGGGTCCGACGACCACTGGTTACAAGGAGCAAGCCCGATTACCTGCTGCTGGTCAACTCATTCTTCGGGCTAGAACCGGCCAGGGATCTGCCTCCCAACGTGGCGGCCATAGGCCCCGTGTTAGCGGATACATATCCCGGCCTGACGCCCGAGCTCGAATCCCTTCTCGAACACCGCAACCGTATCCTCTACATTTCTCTGGGGTCTCACGCGCTACTCCCGGACGTCATTTTACAACGGATCCTCCACGGCGCCCTCATGGCTTTGCAAGACGGGAAGGCCATCGACGGAATAGTCTGGTCGATCCGAGGCATGGCACTGAAACAGTTCAACCTCGACGCGAGCGTGCCTGGGCCTCATCCGGTGGCCGCAGCAGGTCCTCTCCGTATCAAAGATCTCGTCTCAGGTGTTGATAGCATTCCCATTCTCTTCGCCCCATTCGTCCCCCAGCGCGCTCTCCTCGCCCATCCCAAGGTGTCCGTCTTCCTCACCCACGCCGGCGCATCAAGCACCAACGAGGCAGCCTACCATGGCGTCCGCACAATCACGATCGGCGTGTACTTTGACCAGCTCACCAACGCGATGAAACTCAGGGACGCGGGGGTCTCCATCCCGCTGGACCGGGATACATTCACGCCGGCGGATCTGAGCCGAGCGATCGATGCCCTCGTCGCGGACGTCTCGGGCACTTTCGTGGGCAACTGCGAGCGGGTGCAACGGATTGCGCGGATTGCGTCCAGGAGGAAGTGGCTGGCTGCGGACCTCATCGAGGAAGCACTGGCTGATTTTGAGGGACGGAGGAAGCTGGGCATCGCCGACGCGCAGCGTGGGATGCATCTACAGACGGCGGATATGCGCATGCCCTTTTGGAAGGTGCATAATTTGGATCTATGGGGATTGCAGCGGGATGTGCTCTCGCCAGCTTGGGATTACTAGTCTGTGTTCCGGTTGCTCTCGGTATTGCGTTGAATGAGAGTAGAATAGTTTAGTCCACCAGAACTGAACGACACTAATTACCCTGCCTCTTGGGCATGATTCAAGTCCCGGTTGTGCGGTTGCATCCTGTCTGCCTCCTTAAAGTCCACTGGCAGTCTCTTGAATGTCCCAAGCACACAGATCCAGCACGCCCCCGTGAGGTACAAGACCAATTGGATCTGCTGATTGAACCCATGTCCGTAGACGGCCCCCACAGCAGCTTGCTTGGCAGGGCTCAGCTCATCCATACTGGCTACATCCAACAGTAGGACGCTCATCTCATGAGGCGAGAGGATGCCTGGCAGCTCTCTCCGCAGACATCGAGTCAGCAGCGTCTGCCCGATCGAGACACCAACGGTGCCTCCGAGCACACGCACCTGCGTCACGGCACCCATCATAATTGCGAGATCGCTCGCGTCGACCTCCAGCCGCGAGATTATGACCAGACTTGTCAGGGTGAGCCCAAACCCCAATCCTAGAATCACCTGATATCCATACTGGGCGGTCGATACCCCCCTGCGGTAGGAAGGGTTGTCATCAGTCCTAGCCCTAGGAGCTGCAGCGACACTCCCCCAGTAGTGTGTAGAATGAGATATTCTTCCGGCTGTTGACCATTCCACCCAGACCCGCTCCGAAGGCAGAGAGGAGGAGAAGTGGGAGCATGCGGATTCCCGACGCCACCGGGGTCAGGCCGTCCTGGATCTGGAAGCGCTGTGGGAGGTACACGATGAGTACCATGAACGGGAAGCCGGCGAGAAATGCAGATCTACAGTGTCAATGAGCGACCAGATCCTCTCCAGTGATTCAAGCAAGGGCATATCGACGTACAGTAAACAGGCGGTGACGATGCGACGCCTCAGGAGCCATACTGGGAACACAGGCAGCATCACCTGTGCAAAGGAAACCCCAAGGTGCTTCTTATTTGCAGCAAATCCCAAGAATACCTCCCAGATCACGAATGCAATCCAACAGATTCCGCACAGAGCAAACGAGGCGATGATCAGACCACTGTTCCACCCATAGTCGCCGCCACCTTCTTCCAGCGCAAGAATGATGAATATCGACCCTGCCAAAGACAGCACAATTCCCGGCCAGTCAAGACGGTTTACGCTCGATATTGAAATCTGCAGCCGCCCATCGTTTCGGGGAAACACCCAAAGAACAAGCGCTATTGCGAGACCGCCACCGGGAATGCTGGCATTACTGTTGGTCATTTACATATGGGCTTTTGGGTAGAAGGATGAGGTACTTACTTCAAGTAGAATACCCATCGCCACGTCGTTCGGGAAGTGAGTACACCTCCGAGAATGGGACCCAGGATGCTGGAGAGGGCAAAGATGGAACTCATCAGCCCGGTCACTGGGCCGATCGCATCAACAGGAGTCACTTCGGCCATGACAGCCATGGCCATGCTGTAGATGCCGGCGCCTCCAATGCCCTGCAGCGCGCGGAACACGATCCTACAAGTCCGTAAGCAACACGAAGCAGCGGTAGAGCGAGCAAGGTCAGTTACCCACAATTGGTCTACCGTACGAGCCACTCCACACGCAATGGAGAATACTGTGAAGATGACCAGCGCACTGAGGAAGGCGGACTTTCGACCAAATATGTCGCTGCATCTGGCGTAGATGATGAGGAAGCCTGTCCGGTGCCAGTGAGCTTTGAGAAGTCAGAAGCAGAAGGTGTGATGTATTGCGAACCTGTGTAGGAGAAGAGATATGACACCACAATCCAGTTTGACTTGTTGTAGTTCCCCAGCTCCGAGGCAATGGTGACGAGGGCTGTCGAGACAATCGTCGTTTCCAGGGTAGATAGCAGGAGTCCCAGGAACAGCCTGGCCAGAGTTAGGGGTTCGAAACAATTCCCGCTGCTGCTGGAGTCCTACGCTAGTATAGTCACCCAGAGTCTCCATCCATTCATGGGAGCGAGATACGCGGATTCCAGGCGCGGTGATGAGCCATGGCCCCTCTCAGTCTCTTGGGGATCGGTCATTGCTGCTCAGATATTGGGAGAATGGAAATGTCGGGTATTATTCTTGAAAAGGCGGTCATCCAATTTGTATGGGCAATGATAATTATCGATTCAACGGGATAGGTGGCATATGCAAGCTCGGCGACATTTCTGGTCCTCTGTCTACATGTATCTTTTCGGCGACATCTTAGCCGGAGATATTACACTCTATATCAGTTCCGGTGCAAATAGACTCTCCCTTCGACTGTGTATCTTTCTCACCACAGAATCTTCATCAGGCGCGACCGATCATGGGCCTTTTCCATACAGCTTTGAAGCAACTTTCTGTCTGGCAGTATTGGCAGAACAATATCGTGTCCCTTCTATTGATTTCAACAGTAATCTACGCAGTGGCTCTTTCTACTTATCGGCTCTATCTGCACCCCTCCGGTCGTTCCCTGGTCCGAGGCTTGCAGCATGTACGTTTTGGTAAGTTTCTCTCTATCCAATCCCACCTAATAGGACTCGTAACTGGGCTGCACTGAAGCATTCAAGGTACGAGTTCTACTACGACGTGATCCTCGGCGGCCAATATACCTTCAAGATCCGTCGCCTGCACGAACAATACGGCCCAATTGTGCGCATCAATCCGCAAGAGCTTCATGTCTACACGCCCGAATTCTACGATGAACTGTACGCGGGCGCACACCGGAGGAGAGACAAGTGGTACTGGGCGATCAAAGTATTTGCTGCGGACGAATCCACCTTTGCGACGACCAAGCACGATCTGCATCGGTCCAGGCGCGCCGCGCTGAATCCCTTCTTTTCCAAGGCCCAGGTGAAACGATTGCAATCTGTGATTCAGGAACGAGTGGATGCCTTCCTGGACAGGCTTCAGACGCTTCAGCATAGCGGAGCGGTTGTGCGACTGGACAGGGCCTTTGCGGCATACTCGGCAGGTGAGCCATAGCTGTCGCGGGTGGCTTCCCACATGTCTGACATTTCCATTATTCTACCGCCAGACGTGATCATGGAATACGCATTCGGCAAGTCAGAACGCAAGCTCAACGCCCCGGACTTTGATAGCGCGTTCCACAACGCCTGCGTAAATGGTGGCAGATCGAGTATGCTGATGAAGCAATTCCCACTCATCCTGTGGACGATGAAGCGGATGCCGCCCTCTCTGCTGTTGAAATTGAACCCGGAGATGACCTCGTTCGTCCGCATGCACACGGTAAGACATAAAAGGGCCCTTCGCGGGACCAAAAGTAACTGTGGGCAAATACAAATAGGACATCGCAAAGCAAGTCCGAGAGACCATGGAGTCTTCCGAGCAAGCATCGAGCGACAATGTCAAAAGCCCACATCCGACAATCTTCCAAGAAATTCTCAACAGTAAGCTGCCGCCGCACGAAAAGGCTCTGAGGCGTCTGGCGCAGGACGGCGGCGCCGTAGTCGGGGCAGGCACTGTCACCACCGCGTGGGCCATCACCGTCGCCGTCTACCATCTGCTCTCGCAGCCCGCGAACCTTCGCAGGCTGAAGACTGAGCTCACCACCGCGGACGCAACCCACATCACGGACCTTGAACGGCTCCCCTACCTTGCAGCGTGCATCCAAGAAGCTCTGAGACTGAGTTACGGCGTCAGTTCGCGACTCGCGCGGCTGGCCCCGGATGAGGCCCTCGTCTTCGCCGATCCCGATACCCATCGAAAGTGGACAATCCCGCCCAATACTCCCGTGAGCATGACCAGCCTGCTAATCTTCCAGAATCCGTCCATCTTCCCGCAGCCGAAGCTATTCCGTCCCGAGCGGTGGCTGGAAAATCCGCGGCTGGATCGGTACCAGGTGGCGTTTTGCAAGGGCAGCCGGATATGTCTGGGGGTGAATCTGGCGTATGCAGAGATGACGCTGATGCTGGCGTCGCTGTTTCGCCGATACGGATCTGCCGAGGCCAAGGCGGATGAGGATATCGGCATGTTGGAGCTTTTCGAGACGACGGCCGAGAACGATATCGAGTGTTCCGTCGATGGGTTCGTACCGCTGCCCAAACCGGGAAGCAAAGGTGTTCGTGCGAGAGTGTGGCCGGTTAGGAAGAAAGTGAGCTGGCAAGGTCTGTAGCTATAGTTTATTTTCCAGTGTATCTCGTGCCCAGAGTAATCTGATCTTATACATTCCATCCTTACTATTTCTGATGTCTTCCCTCCCGGCTCGGGCTTCGCTTGCCTTGCAACTATGTAGTGATCTCGTCAGATACGGTGTATTTCGAGATATCAGTATACTAAAGGAGGGTTATAGCAGATAGACACAGTTAAAAGTCCTCATCGTAACCACCACCTCGAGCCGTGGCTGGTAAGAAATATGGTTATGGCATTAGGGGCGAGAAAGGATGCTCTCACTCATGAGATAATGACAACGAAGTATTCTAAAGGCGTTCTTCTGGTTCACATGAGAGTGAGGAATGCTTCTATATAGAAGGAAAAGAGTTTTATTGTCAATTGCACAGTTTGATTCAAATGTCTGCTCTCAATGCCGCGGTCATCCCTCATGCCAGCCTCGATTCTCCATGGGTATGACAGTGCGTACGGAGTAGGTCGCTATATCGAGCCTGAACCCATGGACCATGAGGGTGAGATGATGGCTATAATTAGAAATCCGCACATCGCTAGCCATTGGCCTAAGACCGGGGAGAGAAGCAGAGGTGATGCAGTAAGGCATTGTAAGAGAGCAACAGACCTCTCCCTAATGAACTCTCCTCGTCAATTTTCAATCTACTTTAAGACACTGGATAATGGTGTCCTTAACTACTGAAGTAGAGCTTGCACAGTTTTGGTTCTGATAGTCATGGTAAAGGGGAACTAACATAACTGATGGTAGATGAACAAAGATTATGTTATGGAGTTAAGGAAAGCATAAGGCTCCCACTCATTTACCACTGCTTATATGAATCTTCTTACTGGAGTTTCCTGATAATGTTCAAGAAGGTCCCAGTACCGCGCCAGCATGTAGATGGAGCTGTAAAGCACGAGTTTATGGAGGTTATCTACATAGAATGTTAGTCTTGCCTGCAGTAGTCCACACTTTCAGAGTGAAGGAATATGGATAGGGTCTGCTATCACACCTGAACTCTCTGCTAAGGGAGAAGGATAATTTGAATAGTTACTGAGATAGATGAGCTCCAGAGTCTTCTAAACCATATTGGCAGGCTAATAGCTAATGTGATATTCGATTAACCCTGTTGACTTAAAGTTATGCTAAAGATGATACTTAAGATTGCATGCTTCTTCTCTCTAAATTAAAGGTGTACACAGGAATCCTATAGTCAGCTATGATAATGAAGGCATCTACTCCGACTCTTATTTTCTATAATGCTCTGGTAAGTTCCTCTGAAAGAGCTATATTTCGAACATAGCACATAATTATTTAGAATGTATTTAGTGAGATCGGTGACTCTGTTTGCACTTCAAAATGAATTAGTTTGAGCTTAGACCATAATGTTTTTGTTAATACGTAGTCAGCTTGCAGCTGGGTAAAAAAAGGCCTGAGTCCAGCATACAAAACAATTCACAAACTTAAGCTCTACATGCCCTATACTGTTCATGTTGCTTAATCTTGGAGTTGTGCCATGACTACTGGCGTTGTTCACTGTCACTTCGGGCTGAAAGCAAGGGTCAACTGTGCTATTGAGCGCTGAATGAGTTTCTGGGACGCTACACATACATGTCAAGAAGAAGAAGATTAACATATAGACTTCTAGGTAGCAATACAGATGTTGTATACAGGAATTCACAGGTCATTGTTTCATGTCAGCACTATTCCTTAGTACCAAAAATTGTAGACATCATTAGGACAATGTGAAACTATTGCCCCAAAAAAGAGAGGAATGTGAATGGATATGGCCATGCTTGGCGCAATGACTTTTATTCAGCTGTCATGTGGTTCTCAGGGTGAATAATCAAACTTACTCTGTACCAGTTCAGGCAAGGATTCACTGAGTAAACGGGGAATATCCGGAGTGCTCCAGGACTGCTTAGGGGAGCGATCAGGACACGCACTTTCTCTCTCCGGTCATGATCCAGCTGGCTCAGTGAGCAAAAAGCGGCAGCACTTCGGACTGAATCCGGAAATGGAAAGTAGCACAGTTTCCGCAGAAAAACAGTTCAGTAGTGTTCCGCCACCGCCAACACAGAAAAACCGATCAGAACTCCAATCTTTCTCCACCTTCGTCTCAACCATGCCATCATTAACCTCATTCTTTCCTTTTATGGTGATCCTTTGAATCCTCAAAGTCTATCAGCTCTTCTATAATTCACGGTTTTGCGCGTGGCAAACTTTGTCTGCTGGCTAAGTCAGTTTCTTCCCACATTGAGATAACAGCGTGCTTTCTTCGCGCGAACTACGCTCAAGATGCCCTCGGACGACGATCTCAAGGCACACGCTGCCTCCAACCAAGATTTCTATGCTCTCCTTGACATCCCACCGGCCGCTTCGGAGTCCGAAATCCGCCGTGCGTACAGGCGGACAGCCCTCAAATACCATCCTGACAAGATCGCAAACCCGACACAGACAGACATCGACAAATTCCACCTGTTACAGATTGCCTACGATGTACTCTCTGATCCCTCCGTACGGCAACTCTACGACAATGCGCGGGAAGCGCGCGAAAGAAAAAAGCGGGAGCTGGAGATGATGGATGCGGCGAAAAGGAAGATGAAAGAGGACTTGGAAGCTCGAGAGCGTGCCGGTGCGGCTGCGATGGGAGGTGCACAACGAGGCGTCAAAAGGACCTGGATGTCTGCCGGCATGGCTGGAGTGGACGACGATGCCGAGGAGAAGCTTCAGCGCGAGATTGAACGGATTGCGGAGGATGGGCGGCGGCGACGCAAGGAGGCTGAGGAGCGACTGAAGCGAGAAGCTGAGGCTGAGGGGAGGAGGTTGCAGCAGGAACAGGAAGAAGCGCGGAGAGCTGCAGATCGGAGCAGTCAACGAGTCGACCGTTCACACGAAGGTGGCACGAATGTTCCGGAACTCGAGCGAACCATCAAAGTGCGCTGGGTTCGGGAAGGCCGAGGTCTGGATCTAGACCAAGATCGCTTGGTGTCTTTGTTCAAGCCTTTCGGTGAAGTCGAGAACACGTTCATGCTCAAGGACAAGCGCCAGCGTGTTGGGGACAAGCGAGAGAAGAAGACTGTCGCGACAGGTGTTGTGGTATTCGCCTCCATTGTCAGCGCCCATGCCGCCGTGCTGGACAGCGAGAAAAAGCGACGCCAGAGCGCCGGCCAACCGGACAACGACTGGTCGCTCATCGAATCTGTTTCCTGGGCGTCTGGCAACCAGCCAGACATAGTGGACACGGAAAACCGGGCCGCTTCTCCCATCTCCACGGCTGATGAAGCTTCGTCAACACAAAAACCAGCTCCTTCCGTTGGCCCCTCCAAACCGTCTTTCGACTTTTCTAAGCTCAAGTCAGCAGCGCCGCCTGGTGGTCTAGGCAAGATCCCCGGGAAAGCGCCCTCGTTTGCCTCGTTCGCCTCGGCCGCAGGCTCGTCAAAGTCAACGCCATCCGATACATCGGCCAATGGACGAAGCACTCCAAGTTTCCAGGAAATAACATTAATGCGATTGAAGAATGCACAGCGCGAAAAGGAGCGGAAGGCCCTCGAGGCACAGCTTATGAAGGAGGATGAGGCAGCAGACGCTGCTGAGGCTGCTGCCGCTGAGGCCAAGGGGTAATTACAGTTTTCATTCTTTTGATGTTGAGCGTCCTTTCGTTCGGTAGACTTCTAATTTCAGAGATACCCCTTTCAGCTTTGTTCTTTTTATTCCTTGAAAGAAAGTTTGTCGTCTATAGAGAATACATGGTCGTTATATGTACAATATATGATACACGATGTGCCGTGATCCACGTCACTCATTCCGCCGTTGCTCTTCCTCCTCATCTAACTGATATAAGAGCTCCTTTGCCCGGTGGCCTTCCTGGTTGTCCACCTTGCGAGCAAGGTTCCTCGCTCCAGAGAAGATATACTCCCTCAGCCAGGCAGGCACAAGAGCTTTAACCTTCACTTCTCCCGCCTCCGTAGCATTCGATGATGCTTCTTCTGGCGCAGACCATGAAATCTTGAATTCTTGCTCGGGGCTGTACTGTGAACCTTCGCCTGTGAGCACGATATCGGTCATTATCTCCAATCGACAAAGAGCTAAACCGATATTTCCAACTCCGCCGAGGAACTTCCCCGCGCTTCGGCCCTTTCTACCTTCAACCTTGGAGATATTCGATCCGCTAGGTGGCAAGGCCACCGCTGCAGAGGGATCATACACAGGGGTATCACTGGATGGAAGGGCGGAGTTCGCATACAACTGCACAGGCACAATCCGTTTCCGCACAACTCCCGTATGATGCGTACGGATCGTAAGCTCCTGGCCGACGTAGCAGCCCTTGCGGAAGTCAACCCCCCGCATCATGTCCATATTGCATTCGAGGGGAAGCGCAGACTCGCGGATTATCTCGGCCTGGCCTTCCGCTATACCGTGCAACATTCGACGAACCGTGTACATGCCCAAATCGACCTCGGAGCCAGCAACCTGAGCCTCATCCGGTAGATGGACGCGTAGGTCCTCCTCGCCAGGCGTAACGAGCCGGGATCCGAAACCCGGAGCCCGGGTATCGATACAGCCTGCAACGGATGATGAGGGTGAGAACGGCGAGGACGATTCCGATTCCAGGTTGTACGCCGCCCATCGGGGCTCGGCGTGGTCTCTCCACGACGACCAGACGGTGCGTTCACCGTCTTCCAGCGCACGGAGCTTCAACTTTGACCGAAGTTTATGCTTCTTAAGATGCTTCAGGAGGCTGGACACCTCGTTTTTGTCCACTTCGACCAGCCATGCCGGGTCATCAGTTGTAGCCGTCTCGCTGTCTCCTTTGGGCATCGGATAGATGAATGCATCGTTCAACACTCGACCTTGGGAGTTCAGGAAAGCCGTGTAGGTCCCCGTTCGACGAGTTGCGCGGCTCGGGTCGTTCGCAACGAGCATATTCTGAGTAATTAGACCTTGAAGGAATGTAGTACTATCGACACCTGTGATCGATATCAAACCCCGGTTCGTAAGTCGAGCATACCCGGACCGAGGCGGGGAAGAAGGGACAGCATCGCTCGATGGCTGAGCGCGGTGCTGTACGGTGGTCGAGAAGAGCCTTGAATGGCTCAGACAGCGAGTACAAATTCTTTTCGAAGATGCAATGGACCGCATTATGACTGTGTTAGGCCGTTCATGACAATCTTACAAATGATTGTTCACTGATCAAGAGTTGCGGGTATGACATCGACGGTCGGGCGGTGAAATTTGGCAGAATAGGATAAGATAAATGCAATTATTATACAATCAGTCTACCTCTCTACACAGGAGAGAAGTATCAAGGACAAGAGGGTTGTTGTTCGGCGTTATACAATTAATACTAGTTCAGACTGAACCTTCTGAAGGACATAGTTACATGTTGGTTCATTGTTGAAAATCAGCGCGAGCCTGGACACTCATTTGTTTCCCTTCGCTACACCTTCCAAGAATCCAAGCAGGAAAGCCTTATTGACTGGGGACGAAACCTTGTTCGCGTTCGGCGTTTCAGTGCCAACCTCGGAGGCAGGGCGACTGGGCGAAAGCGGACTAACAGCCGAGGAAGCAGCCGACGGTTTGGTCAGTGATGTACGGAGGTCCAGTTTCCCAGAGGGTGAAGTAAGTGGAGAAACAGGCCGCTTGCCAAAAAGTGAGAGGAGAGCCTCCTTCTGCGCAGCTGTTTGGCTTGGTCGGCGGTCGAAGTTTGGCTGAGGAGGCTGACCAGGCTGAGCAGGTTTCGTCACTTGCCCAGCACTGAGAGATGGGGAAGTCACTTGCCGGCCCACGCCGTTCTCATCCTTACTCCGTGTCGGAAGAATGTTATCTAGGTTTAGATTATCCGAGCGACGTAGTATCTGCGGCTGGAATGGCTTCTGTGGCTCTGCGGTCTTCACCCTGTTGATACGAGATTGAGAAGACGCTCTTGACGAGGGAGGCTTAGGAGACTGGGAAGATGCTGGAGTGGGTGAGCGATCCTTCTTGTCCGACTGCGGTCTGGTCAATATGGTAATGGGAGACGCAAGAGGCTGTGCGTGTCGATCTTTGTTTTTCCGGTTTGAGCCGTTCTGGCTCTTCTTCGCGGGTTGCTTGAAAGCCGCCTCAGAAGGAACGACGGGCGGAGGCCCGGACGAACTGGTAGGATTGCGTGGAGCTCCCTTTGGTGTCACATGTGTGTTGGGGGCAGATCTCTTTGGAGTGCTAGGATCGGTGCGAGGCCGTTGGAGAATTTGTTTAGCAGCCGGAGAGACAGGCTGGGCCGATAATTCGGCAAGCCCCGGAGGAGGGGCTCCCTTAAGGAGACTCAACAATTGATCTTGATGTTGCGACGGTTTGCGCTCAGCAGCTGGCGTTTTCTCCGAGGGCGTTGCCAATTTAGCGATTGTTGTCTTTGGCGTTTTCATTGAATTGTCTTTGAAAACGTTCAGCAGCGCTAATGAGTGGCTGGTAAGCTTAGGCGGAGGCAATTTGCTTGCTGGTGGTATAGTTGCCCCTTGAATTTGCGGAGCTTGCGCCGCCTGCGAGAATTCAGGATCGCCGGTTCTCTGGTATGGAGCTGGCGCTGGCGCTAGCGCTGGCCTATGAGTGTGCGTGTTTGCGTGCAAATCGGACGGGTGGGGATTTGAAAACCGTGATACTCCATGATAACCAGCCTGGGGACCTCCGACACCAAGCGAGTGCGCGGGTGTTGGCAAATGTGAAAGAGCAGCGCCATGGTGTGGTTGCCCGGGAATCTGTAATGGATTGTCATGTTGCCCAGAGTAGGCAACTTGCTGAGGGAACCCTGGAAAGAAATTTGGTGCCGAAAGAGTGTGAGGTTGATGTGGTGGGGGCATAGCCTCATGGAAGACATTAGGAGGGAATGCCTGGTCGTTTGTGGGAGCCCGGTGAGTAGGTTTGTGAGAGGAGCCGCTCCTTAACAATTCCAACAGAGCATTGGACTTGGAAGCATCCGGACCAGGAGTCTGTGTAGGAGGGAACTGATTCTGAGTGGAGGCCGAGTGGATTTTAAGAAGTCGCTTGAGATGAGAAGAGGCGTCCTCTGCTGAAGTAACTTCAGGTAAATCACTAGGAACAGCATGCCTGGCCGGTGTATGGTGGATAGCCGGTTGAATGGCCTCGTCCATAGATGTTTCTCCTTCCAACTGCGACAGCTGTTTGATGCCTCCTGATTGTGCCTTTGCCTCAAGCCGCCGTTGTTGAGCGATCCATTTCTTGAGTGGATGCATGAAAGGTGCAACCATGTAGAACTTGTTCGCGTTTGCAACCGCCAAATTCTCATCGTTTGGCTTGCTTTTCTTCATTAACGTTGGCAAGTCCGACAGCTTATACCATTCAATCTTGCTGATTTCTTTCCGGGTACGAGGTTCAAAGTGAGCATCCTGTGGCACGCCACGGAACACATATAACCTCATATGCTGTTCTCTCATGGTAATCTCGATATACTTGACTTCCTTTTCATCCTTCACTAGCCCGGCCTCCCGAACGTCATAACCAGTCTCTTCGTAGACCTCCCGGATGGCGCAGTCAAGATCCTTTTCATCCTTATTGATTTTACCGCGGGGAAAGCTCCAATTGGCGCCCTTCTTCCAGCCCTTGACCAGCACTACCTCATCCATATCCTGATTCAACAGGATGGCACCACGCACCGGCACACGGGTCTTGTAGGCCAGAAACTCCGAGAACGCTGTAATATGATGGTAGTGGGACCATTGGGACATCAGTGGGCAATGCTGAAAGATGCGCAGCGCGAAAGCTTTCAGAGACAACGAGGGAAGCGCCGGGTCCAATGGCCGAATGAAATCCTCATAGAACCATTGCGCCTCCTCCACTTGAAAACAGATTCGTTCGACGGACTCCAGCTCTTCGCGAGGCAAATTTATAATGAAGCGGACGCACAGGTCATCCAGCCCTAATGTCAGGGAGTCCCACCATTTAGCATCGTCATCGACATCACCATCACCATCACTGCAGTCGCCGTCGCCACATTGAGCGACCGGAGAGAAGACGAAAACTTACAGTCCTCCAGCTGCATCTTTGTTTCTGTCATACTGTCTGACGTCTTCTAGCATTTCAACACGTCCTTTGTCTGCGTGACGAGGTCTCTCCGAGAGCCAGCGGCGCGGAGAGAGAGGCGGAAATAGAGGGGGAGAACAGCACCAGTGATGCAGCTTCCAGTAGGGTGCTTGGCAGAAAGCACCCGCCTTAAAGCGTAGCGTTGCTGAGTGGAAATGGAAAGTAGTGGCGAGAGCAAACCAATGGCTTGTCTACCTTGAGAGCGAGTGAATCGATAATCACCTATGTGAAGTGGGGGGGTGAGGTTGAGTGGGTTCACTCGCTCTGTGATAACCGAGTGTTGGGCGACAATCACAAGGACAAGAGCCTGAGAGAGAGCAAGCTGCTGAGGGACAGGTGATTTGTGGCGCAGTCATCCAATAGGTCATCCAATAGTAGCTTTTGATGGTTCAGTAACTGCGCCACAGCTGTGGCTCTGTGGTCTGTGCAGATCAGCGGATCAAATCAGGGAAGGGAAAAGTGATGATCGTCTGAGCTGTTGGGCACGGCATGACGTCTCTGGTAATTATGTGAACCAAGGGGAGAAATGAGAGACGATACACAACGCTTTGGCACCTACAAGTGCTGGTTGACATATACAGCTCACCTCCAAAAACCTGCTTATACCACACTATCTGGGACCTGCCACGTCAAATTTTGGAAAGCTTAATTCATTAAAACATTTTATCATTGATCCCTTGTCGAAGCCTACCCAGATACAAAAGAATCTAAGAGCTCTCCGAAATCCTTGCTCGCGAAATCGATCGGATTCTTGTTAAATCTCTTATTTCCGTATCAACTGTTGTTCTAGATAACCTTCGTTTTTACTTATCGACTGAGAAGAAGCCATGTCGGGTGCTCTGGCGTCCTTGGTCGGCAAGAGAATTTTAGCAGAATCGGCGAGGAACCATTTCGGCCAAGAGGTAAGCTCATGAAAGATCAACAATTGGAATGCATTTTTGTGCATAGCGACTGATGCGGGTCTTGCCCAGGATCCCTATTTCGAAGAAGTTCCGGCTTCGCGACTCTACCGAGCCTTCGGCAAGAAGACACGGAGGAGACAAAAGGCAATTCCTCCAGGACTCTCTGAGAATGATCAGAGAGTCCTCACCCAGGTGAAACGCAGGGCGTACAGACTAGATTACTGTCTATTCAATCTCTGCGGCATTCGCTTTGGCTGGGGCAGTGTCATTGCGTTGATTCCATTGTGAGTTCCGTATCGCGCATGATGTTGAAATTGACACTGATGCTCGTCAATTTGTCAGTCTCGGTGACGTTGGCGATACCGCACTTGCCATGATGGTCGTAAAGAACTGCGAGGAGATTGACGGGGGTTTACCAGCACGGCTCAGGATGATGATGATGATCAATGTGCTGATCGACTTCGTTATCGGTCTGGTCCCATTCGTAGGCGACGTTGCAGATGCTGTGTACAAGTGCAACACAAGAAACGCTGTCATCCTAGAAAAGCACTTGCGGGAAAAGGGGGCGAAGGCGCTTAAGGCGCAAAGTCGAACTGCGGAAGGGGTCATTGATACCAGCCTGCCCGAGGAATTCGACAGATATGACCAGAGTGCCTTGGACATACGAGAGCCAGGCACAAGCGGGACCTGCTAGGCCTGAGCCTGCCAGGCATCCGAAGAGAGACCGGTCGCAGAAAGGGTGGTTTGGTAGATCATCCGGTCGAGCAGGTGACTTGGAGGCTGGAGTGGCGGATAACTCAAATTCCCGTGGTCGATGAAGAGAAAAGGATACCCCCTTAGTTTGTGCTAGTGCCTTTAATATTTCCAAAGCAATGAAGTGTCATCTGCGGTTCCAAAAAGCCACCCATCAGTAGGTCAATTCAGGCCGAGACCTGGTGCATGCGTAGCATAATTCGAGTGCTCGGCTAGCACCAGCAGTGTCACGAGCACCATTATTGCCTGAGTTCAGCATACAAGCGCCACAGAAGCTGCATTGAGGTATATTGGCAGGGACCAAGGAAGCTTGAAGCTTACTCGCAGTCCTAGTCACATTGGCCATGACGCCGGGATACTTCTCGCCCTGTGTCTGGACGTACCGCATCATCAGCTCATCAATGGACAAGTTCTTCGTGAGAACATTTTCCGATGGTGGCTCGTCAGGAATGATAAGTCTGGTCAGTTCGGGGAAGAAACTGGCGTAGTTATCCACCTCAGCTTTGAACAAGTCCCGAAGTGGAAAGTTGAACTCTATACCAAACGGTGACATTCCATCACACACTTGCCATGTCAAGGATGAACCCCGTCCCTTGGCGACATTGGCAAGAGTCTTCGCGGCGAGCCTGGTATCTGAGTCTCCCCACAACACTCCTCTGCACGCCATTTGCTTCGCGAACGCAACAACAAGTCTGGTGATCAGAACGTAGTCGACATCAACCTTGGATGTGGGAGTCACAATCGAGGCACGGAAAGCATCGAGACGGTCTTTTGCAGATAAGCCGGTATCGTCGACAAAGCCGTCCTTGGAAAATTGAGAAATGACTTGCTGAATCTCGGGATCCAGCTCGAAGATACTGTGAAGTGGGATCCGAGTAAAAGAATGCAGAGGAAACGTCTGCTGTAGCAATCCGAAGCCCTCATCATACGACGGACTACTGTGAGAAATAGAAGAGGGCTCGATAACAAGCACATGGAGATCGAAGCCCGGTGAGGGATGCGACTTGGCGAGTTCATGTTGGATTTGAGTATTCAGTATGTGCAACAAGACAGAAGAGGAGATGCCGCAAGATAGAGGCACGAGCAGCTTGCATGGTCCGGTTCTAGGCATGTTTCTCCGAAGACGATAGTTCTCCATACGCTTGAACACCTTGAAATTCACGAATCTTGCATAGCAAGTCCTAGATGAAGATAATTCAGTCAGTCATTTCGTCCCCGCCACCAAATCTTTCGAGCCCACATACTTGCATAGATGGCGGCTGCGCAGCGTCAATATAGCCTCCGCATCACTGCAGTCAACGCAGAGATCTGACAGTTGTTTTCCCGGCATTTTGCTGCTTGCTGCCTAGCTTGGTGTCGAATGTCTCCGTTTGCGACGACTATCGACGAGGAATTTCGCATAAAAGGCAGAAACCTAATGGCGGTGCTGCGGCGGGCACAGTTTGATTGGTGGGACCGTCAGCACGCGGCTTCCCCAATTCCAGTATACCTAGCCACGACAGCCTGTACGTACTACAGGTAACCTTCAACTCTAGCACTCTCAAACCCCGATACTATCGCGGAATAACCTGTCCAGGGAGGCTCGGTCGACAGCCTTCTGAATATTATCTTGCAAATTGAAACATAATTGCAAGTTTTGCTTGCCGTCGGATGGTCTGCGGTCGCGCATAGACTCTCCTTTTGAGTACTTGGAAACCTAGTACGGCTTTTCTTTGTGATCGCGATGAAGGGCTGGCTCCAGACACTATGCTTGACTGCCGCTCTGGCAGGACGAGTTCTTGCAAATGAAGTTGAATTGGTGCGCATAAAACCGATGGATCTCCCCACCAATAGCTAACATAACATTTACCCAGACACAAGACGAAGCCCACCGACAGCGATGTTCAGGGATGTACAGTCGCAAGGCGTGGGGTGGAAGCATCGATCCGTATATCGAGACCGTATTTGTCAAAGATAACGAAGCCGGCGATAGCGATCCTCTTGTCAGTGTCGTGATATTCGAATGGAGCGACGAGAATCTGATCGGGAGATCCGTATCTGATGACCCTGAAGTGTGCCTTCCCAGCATCGCCGCAGATGAAGTTCCCGCGCTTACACATGTCCTTATAGGCGAAAGAGACCATTTGCGACCAGGCTAGCGTCGAGGCGAAACTATGCGAAGATGATCAAATAGGTTCCTTCATTCTGGCCGCCAACGCGAGCGAGGCATCCAAATTCCCTATTATATCTCAGGCGGTGCATCTGAACAATCCGACTGCAATTAATTATCCTATCAAGAAGACCGGCTTCTATTGCGTCAGCACCTATGGATACTCAGGGAAGGACTACAAAGCGGCAGTTGAGTTCAGGAATTCATACGGTGAACTCCCTGCTGCTCAAATTGCGAAACTTCCGTTCTACGGTGGTTTGACTATTGTCTATGCGGTCATTGGAGTGTAGGTTTCCGATTCACAAGGCCATTTCCAAGACCTAGCGGTACTGACGGGCTTAAAACAGATTTTGGGCATTCCTATACGTTCAGAATCGTCATGACATTTGTGAGTAGAAACCTTCAATTGGATGGTGCTCAATTACTGACGATTGCAGTGCCGGTGCAAAACTACATCACCGCTATCCTAGTCTTTTTGATCGTGGAGCAATTGATGACCTGGGGCTTTTATGGTATTTCACCCTTTGCAGATCCGCTGGAGTTCAATTTGTCGTCCACGTCCCTGACCAATAGCAGATTTCCAGAATCGGCACGGTTTGAATATCGGTGCAAAGGTGCTGATGGTAATCGTCGCTGTCCTGAATGCGGGACGCAATTCTTTCTCCTTTTTCCTTTTGCTCATCGTTTGCATGGGATACGGCGTGGTCAAGCCCTCTTTGGGCCGGACCATGATCTATGTTCGTATCCTGGCCATCACCCACTTCGTTTTCGGCGTCATCTATGCTGTCGCAAGTCTATCAATTACACCCGATAGCGCTGGGCCACTGGTCCTCCTCATCGTGCTCCCACTTGCTGGTACTCTGACTGCATTCTATGTGTGGACACTGAACTCCTTGAACGCAACCATGAAGGATCTGATCGACCGAAAGCAGAAGGTCAAAGCAATGATGTATAAGAAGCTCTGGTGGTGTATTCTGGGCAGCATCATCGTGATCTTCGGCTTCTTTTTCATCAACTCATTTGCTTTTGCTGGTCGTAGCGAAGCGAGCTTTGTACCAGAGCATTGGAAGACCAGGTGGTTTGTGCTAGATGGTTGGCTGAACCTTGTGTACTTGTTCGATATTGGGTTCGTTGCCTATCTTTGGCGGCCTACTGCGAACAACAGGCGGTTCGCAATGAGTGACGAGGTATGTTCTGGACAACCCTTCCATGGCGCCCGATGGATGCATGCTAACAGCCACTGTAGCTTGCACAAGACGATGACGGGTTCGAGATTCGATCTTTCAATAGTGGACTGGACGACGAAGAAGCGTTTGGAGGCCTGGAAGGAAATTCCACCTCCGCAACACGCCGTGAGCTGTCACCGGTACCTCCTAAACCTGTTCCATCTGCTCCGCGCCAGCGAGACTCTCTCGATGGTGAGACGATCTTCGCTGTAGGTGAGGATGGTGACAAATGGTCTGAGGACGAGGACGAGTCACCACGAAACTCAAGCGAGCGCCAGAGGCTCACTGCCCATAAATCGGACTAATTGGCTCATGGCGGAAGAGCCGAAGTCTTGTCTCGAATCAGAACAATCGTGAATGCATGTGCACTCTCTATCCTTCTGTTCAGAAGTGGCATCAAATCATCTTTATATCAGTTCTCGGGAAGTTGAAGGTTCGATCGATCTTCTAAGGATCTTTCCGTTTGGTGTCAACTTTGCAGGCATTTGATGGCGTTTGGCCTTTTGGTGTATTTTTAGATTGGCTCTAAGTTCCTACTACTCTAGTAATGGGCTAATTGAATTTATGTGTATATGTTATCTACAAGTTAAGAGACGTATGTTCGAATATCCAGCCAAAAAATCTGCACTAGAGATGTAATAATCGCAGCACTCTGGCGTGCCTGGAATTCCGCCTTAGGTAGGGTCTATTTACCTACCGCAGCCGTCATAGCATCCCACCTTGGACTCATCTTCGCTTACCTTACCGTCTGGCTGCCAGCCATGCACAACAATGACCCAAGTAGTCAAACATTTGACAATCCAAGAGATGCCGCCAAAGATGACGCTCAAGATAAATCCGACACCGAAACCAGCCGCGCCCTCGCGACCTCCCTCGTGAACAAATGCCGCCGTCTCCTCGGCGAAGTAGATACCCTCCAGTCTATGCTCACCCGTAACCTCCGCAATCCCCAACTTGTCGAAGTCCGATCGCTCCGATCCAACGTCCTATCCGAGTTGCGCATGCTCGAGAAACTCTCCAAAAAGGTGCACGCGGTGTCTGCTACGGCGGATGCAGAAACAGGATCACATGATGACGAGGCCGAGTTACGACTTCTGCATGCCTTGCGGTCGTCGAATCTACCTTTTTACGAGGCGATCTGGAACGTTGCTAAAAATACATGCACGGGTTTGGTCGCTTTTGGGAAGCGGTTTTACTGGGATGCCGGCGCGCAACACGGTGGAAAGGGACCTGACGAGAGCCAGGCGAAGAAGAAGCCCAGTCAGGACAAGCGCAAGAGCGTCTTTGTCGATATCGTTGCAGATGATGGTGAAGAATGGGTGAAGGTCTCCACGATTTCCGAAACTCGTCTCCTATTCGAGATGGCCAAGAAAGGGTGGGAGGCGGATTCTGAAGACGGGGTTGATGGGGAGACTAGAACCGTTTTACGAAATTACGACAATGATGACTTCGACAGCGACGATGACGGCGATGATGAGGTCGAGCTGATTAAGTTGGCGTGCGATATGAGAAAAGCTGCCAATGCTACACGAATCAGGTATAAACATCCCCGGCTGCGATTCGTGATTCCGAAGATCGAGGAGGGGAAAAGTCCCGAGATCGATGATTTATTTAAAGAGATTCGGAGCTATGGTATCACATTGAATTGTGGAGGGGAAGTAGCCAGAGCGCGCACGGAGGATGCAGAAGTTCCCAAGCATGCTGCTGTCGAGGAAGGGGAACTGTCTCAATTGCTTCCCAGCCCGTTCAAGCGATTCACTTCCACTTTGAATGTGGATTGTACTCTGCTGCTTGCCATGGTTTCAGACTTGTCGCATTACAAAACCGTAACCCTTTCTCCCTCCCATCATAAAGCTATTTTTAAGCAGGTCGAGGTAGAAAAGCAGCGGCCATTGCTGCCCACAGAGCTTTGGCCGGCGATGACCGCGCATGATTTGGTCTGCACAGAGGAAGCTGCGAGGAGAATGCGGGAGATAGTCGATACTATCGGAACGGAGGCAGAGAGAAAAAGGACTCAGTTATTGATGGGTGATGCACCCTTCAATGACTGTGACACCGCCTCTCTCCTTGAAAAGTTCCAGGAATCGTCAGATTATGAAGTACCATCTGGCTGGAAAATTCCGATCAGAACAGTTAGCGCCAAATCCGCTATTGAAGCGGCGACGGATCAAGGGACTCTACCTCCAGTATCCCGCAAAGTCGCAGAGATTCTGTCAGACATCAACTACAGTGTGTTTATGTATGGTTGGTCCACGGGAGTCACGACCATATCGAGCAATCGCACTGTGGTCAAACAAATCGAGACCACCATCGAGGAACATAGGAATGGCGATGAAGGCTTGGAGGGGCCTCCGGTGTGGGTTTGCGACACGGCCAGAAGCTTGGCAGGGAAAGACAAAGATCGAAAAATGTAAAAACCCTCAACAAAGCAGGGAAGTAGTGTTGGAGGCAGGATAGCCCGCAACAACAACCTCCTCGTGTGCTTGGTTTGATCTGACCGGATCATAGCTAGACTTCTTTGCCCGTCGATCCGAATGGGATCAACCCGCATATTCTTATTTTTCAGCCGACCGCGAATTTTCTTCTGGAAGCCAAAAGACCACCTCCTTATCGGCAGTAGCAAGCATGTTGTACCGTGGGTTGTATTCTAGTATGGCGGTGCGACCACGGTTTGGTAGTTTGGCCATAGGCTGCAGGAGGGAGTTGGCATCCGGTGTCTGCTGCATATCCCATACCAGAACATCTGACTGGTCGCCGGAGCCGCCCAGAACATATCGTCCGTCCGGGGTAAAGCATGCGTCCCCTTGGCCAAGTGGTTTTCCAGTGGTTGAGACAGGAGCTGCTCTGCCAGGGGATCCATTCTTGCCGAGCAGAAACGCCTTGATATTGCCTTCAAAGGCGTCGAGAATGAAATGCCCATGAAAGTCCGTCCCAACCATCAAGTGTTTTCCATCGTTTGAGAATTCAAGGCGAGTCCACGCTCTTCCACGTGTAGAAGGAGTGTATCTTTCTTCGTACGGTGCGAGGTCAAAGGTGGAAAACGGAGCCTTGTCATAGTTGCGAAAATCGTATAGAAGGACTGACGAGGTAGACTGTGAAGCAATAGCGATCACGGAAGCAGAGGGATCGAAGGTAACCAGGTAAGGAGTGGCCAATTTCAACTTCCCCTGCGCATTCCTCGAGCTAAGATCCCAGAGCGCAACGGTGTCGTCTTTTGAGCATGAGATAAAGGCGTCGCTGCCAGGAGAGAGAGCCAAGCAAGTGACTTTGTCGGTATGACCGGAGAAGTAACGCACGTAGCCCTCATTGTGAAGGTCCAGTAGTCGAAGAGAATCTGCTCAAATGTGAGTCCGGACGAATGGATCCATGGAGCCCTCCGCGATAGACATACCATCGACCTTCGTGCTCGCGTGAAGGACTTGACGAGAATGGTGCGTGAATCTCGCTAAATGGGCACCATATTTTTTGCTGGGGACTGATTTTGTAGATTTGCCCTCTTTAATATCGAAAACCTGAATGGTCTCGTCATCGCCTGAAGCCACCAGGTAGTCTCCCTGATCATCAAAATCCAATGAGGTTACATAGTTGGAGGGTTCTTGCTTCGATCCTTTGAACGCCTATACTCTCGACGTGGAGACAGTTAGACCAATGGGTCAATCTAGAAGAGAGTCGCAGACTGACCTTTGCAGGACGAAAGCTACGAATTATATCTGACACTTTCTGAGTCTGCATCGGAGCCTGAGGTTGCGACTGCTGCGACGGCACCTGGGGTTGCTGCTGGGCTTCCGACATGATTTATGCTCGGTAGTTACCGCAAATCGATCGTCATAAACCCAGGGAGGATAAAGCAAGGATATTCAGCCAGCGTAGCAGTCCTCCTCCGTGCCCTCTTAAACCCGTCCTCTGGTTAGCTTGCCCTGCTGATCCTCAATAACAGCAACAGATTTGTTTGATGCGGGGAGCAACGCGCGCTTGCTTCCGTTATGGAAATTTGGCGCGTTTAACCGACGCTAAGCGGAAGACTAGTTGATCCGCGCCGGCGGCTGAAAGATGCCGATCCGATGATCGGAGACGTTGGCAGTAAAGCGGCCAATCAGCAATACGGAATTGATCTCTCCGCTGCGATGCATCTGAGATTCGGGTTGCAATGCGACCATGACTGTGTTGGTCGCTTTACAATCTAAGATTCCTCCTCAGCAGCAGGTCGCCTGGAAGTAGGAGGGACGCCTTATTTCTGACAAAATTCACCGTGCCATTGTCGCAAATTTCTTTCGATTTCTTGATTCTAGCCACCATCTCCACTCTCCTATCTCCTTCGTTGCTCCATAAGATCTCGGCCGTCGTACACCGCTTGCAGGGATCAATTTTCAGTAGTTATGTCGACGACAACAGGGTATGCGCAACATTTCGTCATATAGATTCATTGCTATATTGTGTGCTGATGAGAGACAATTGCTTTGAAGGGCATTCATTGCTGGGGTATTGCAGCATGCGGTGCGGTAACAGTAACTCATAGTTTTGAGACTGTGAAGATTCGGTATGCCTTGTCCTCTTGTGTGCTTTGATTGACGGAACTGACTTTCTCTCGATTCGCAGGTTACAGCTACAGGGAGAACTTCAGGCGAAAAGCGAAGCGGTCAAGAAATACAAGGGTGTTTTCCATGGAGTTAAGGTCATTCTGCAAAACGAAGGCCCTCGCGGGCTGTTCCGGGGAATCGGCTCGGCTGTATGTTTGTCTCTACACGGTGGTTGAAGTTCGGGTGCTAACGGGTGCCACTCAGTACATCTACCAAATTTTGCTCAATGGCTGTCGTTTGGGCTTCTATGAGCCGCTGCGCAAGGGTATCACAACAGCTGTCTACAAGGATCCGCAAGTTCAATCCCTCGGTATCAATGTCTTCTCAGGCGCCGCGTCCGGCATCATCGGCGCAGCAGCTGGGTCTCCTTTCTTCCTCGTGAAAACTCGCTTGCAGTCTTACTCTCCCTTCCTTCCCGTCGGCACGCAGCACAAATATCGGAACTCCTTCGATGGTTTGCGAAAAATTTACACGTCCGAGGGTGTTGGCGGACTTTACCGGGGTGTTGGAGCGGCTATGGTTCGCACTGGTTTCGGCAGCTCCGTCCAGCTTCCCACATATTTCTTCGCGAAGCGACGCTTGGTGAAGCACCTGGGGATGGAGGATGGTCCAGCCCTTCATCTAGCCAGTAGTACTGTGTCTGGCTTCGTGGTCTGCTGTGTCATGCACCCTCCCGGTACGTATAATTGGGCATTGTTCGATTACGCGCCAGCTAATTTCATATACACAGACACGGTTATGTCCAGGATGTACAATCAGACTGGTGATCTTTACAAGGGGGCATTTGATTGCCTCTTCAAGACTATCCGAAAGGAGGGTATACTTGCGATCTACAAGGGCTACTTTGCCCATCTGGCCCGTATCTTGCCTCATACCGTGAGTAATTCCCGCATGTCGAGGTTACGCGTCACGGCTTGGTGCTGACTCGTTTTGTAGATCTTGACTCTCAGTCTGGCTGAGCAGACCAATAAACTGATGCGCAGATTCGAGGACCGGTTTCTTCCCGACTCGATAAAGGCGCGTGTCTAGCACGGTTGGTTCTTACCGCGACCGAACGCCTTTGAGCGTCGTCGATAGATTCAGTGAGGGTAATAATGGGTTTCTAGAGAGTACGGCATTGGTCTTTTGCATTGTCGAGCGGTTGCAGCGAAAAGATCGCTGAAATCGTTGGGTACATACATTGGAGGCGTTGACTTCCGGGTCGTCCTGCTGCGATGCGGCTTGGACGTTTTGTACATATCAGTATATAATACATTGTGTAGATCTCGATACGGTGGTATAGACTCGGTTTTTCACTTCAAATTTTGGGAGTCGGTACGGAGCTCTGTCACTGAGGCACGTGGCGGCTCGTCGGTGGCTTGCCTTCATCAGATGTTCCAATCTGCCTTTGGGGATACACCGAGCCAACCTCTTAGCTCCCGGGCCTTGATGGTTTCCAGCCACTGTTTGTTCTGCTGGTTGAAGTATAGTGTTGTGGGTGTCCCCCGCGTTGGCTTTTGCGCAGTTCCCCGTCGCTATTAGGATGCCACGCAGACGCATCCCGCGGTATTATATATGCGCATACCAAGATTCAACGTGAAGTACTACGAAACACCTTATCGATTATGGGATTAACCACGTAGCTCTACATGATTCCACACCGGATAGTCTTATCCCATGGTTCATCACACGGACGATCAATCCACTGGTGGTAAAGAAGGACAAGGCGATATGCTTTTGCCCGCTCCAGCCACTACGTCAGTGTGTCACTCACGTATGAGTCAAAATCCGCCGGTTGTTTCAACAGCATCCGATGTGGTGTAATGGCTAACATCGCTGTCTCTCACACAGCAGCTCGGGGTTCGATTCCCCGCATCGGAAAATACCACTCTTTTTTTACCTTTTTAGGTATTCTCCTACAATACAATGCTGTCACTACTCTGTACTCCTTTGTGCTCCCAGCAATTGCCGCTCTCAGATGAGATTCGGTCTGCGCATGTCCTACTTAGCTATCACCCTGTTACTAGACAGTAGTGTTCATTCGGCCCCATTGAACAGGATCTACCTGGTCAGACTGACTGACTTGAAGTACCACCTCCCAAATCACAATCAGCCCGCCTGTGAAGTGGCTGGACGGCGACGCTCTTCCCAGTCTGCCTCCTCCGATCTACTTGGTGCAAAGGTTCCATCTACGTGGTCTTACACGGCTCAATTAAACTTGGGCAGGATGGTCTTGCGAGGACTTGGAAAGGGAACATGCTTTACTACAACATCTTTCCCAGCTCAGTACTCCGTATCTGTTCTCGAAGACTCGCCGCACGCGATAGCATCCCCGGGACCCGTTAATCCGCAAACCCGGAGGAAAAGGTTTTCGGCTTCCGCGCTGCAGGTTATTGCCAGGGAGGACGATGGAGATAACAACCAAAAAAAAAAATACCCCAAAAACATATCCTCGCAAAGCCAAGAGAGGTTAAATTCCGATGCGGGGAATCGAACCCCGAGCTGCTGTGTGAGAGACAGCGATGTTAGCCATTACACCACATCGGATAACTCATGGAAATACCTGACGATTATATACTGATGTTGCAGAACGTCGCGTCGTCAAAATTTCTGCAGTGAGCGATTATGGGTCGTGCCGGTTCCAAAAAGCCAGGTACTATTCCGATTGGTTGTCTGGGTTGGGACGTTTTGGCCCACTGTCTTGGCGGAATGAGGCAACCTTATTGCCGAGAGCGCTACGTACTTTGAGCATGCTTATCGGCTCTTTAAGGTTTTGCATCCTATGTATGAGATCTTGCTCATATTGCTTGATCTTTTTCACTGTCTCAATTAAAGGTATGGGAGGAGTGAACGGTGCACGCGGCGACGGAAGGTAAAAAATAATCTCAATGCAAAAAGAGAAGGTAAGTAGATTTGTCTTCTTCCGATGCGGGGAATCGAACCCCGAGCTGCTGTGTGAGAGACAGCGATGTTAGCCATTACACCACATCGGACTAGGTAAAGACTGTTTCCCTTTCTGCCTATAACAGGAGCTCGAACGAATGGACCGAGCAGTGGAGCCCCCTGTGGACAGTAGGGTCGCTATGGAGTACTACTCGTAAACTAAACCTCCATCCACGGTCCCTAAGCGGCCGCCGTGATGTGATTACTACGATTTGCGTACTGGAAAGTTCAACTGAAACATATAGATAGGATCTACCTCTCTATTCGTAAGCAAACACAATTCCCGGATGAATTTGGAAAGGCCCGAAGCGCGAGTCGAACGCGCGACCTCTCGCACCCAAAGTGAGAATCATACCACTGAATGGGGGCGCTTGATATGAGATAAGCGAATTATTATGGATCTTTATGACTTTCTTTTTGCCGCCAGGCTTATAAATTGTATCGAGTCCTGTATGCCTATGGTAGGAGTCTATAGAGATTAGGAGCCGATTTCTTTGATCAATCAAAAACATCCCGACATACCCAGCCGCATACGTCTCCAAAAGAAAAATACAAAAATAAAGGTGAAAAGTATAACTTCCGATGCGGGGAATCGAACCCCGAGCTGCTGTGTGAGAGACAGCGATGTTAGCCATTACACCACATCGGATGGCTTGTTGTCGGACCGACGGATATTGCCTCAGAAGCACATGCAGGGTGTTCTTCTGGCATCGCATTTAACGCTGAAGACATGACATAAAACACTCAGCATCATTCATAATTTCGACATGTAAAAGTGGCCGAACGTTTCTTGTCTGAGGGAATCCAGAACAGACAGCAATCAGGCCGGCCTATAATGCCGCTCATGGATGGTGAAAAGGCAAGGACCGTTAACTAAGCCTAGAAGCGTACAATGGACCGATTTCTCGGATACATGTCATCCTAAGGGTTGGAATGGCATCAGCGGGCATTAAGACGCGTCTATCTCCTCTTCCGTGAATGGTGGGTAAAGAGTGAAAGCGAGACCCACCCAGCGGGCTAGGTAGTCCCGGCGTCAGGTATGAATCAGTATGAGCAGTTGAGAATCCAGGAATTCAAGGGATATACAGCCCAAAGCAGAGGTACACCGTATATACCCGTAAATCCGTTGTGGAAGCTAGTTGCTCGATAATTGGCTTTCCTCTTCCGAAACACCGCGACGCACCCGCCTTAGGCCTGATATCGTCTCATTACGTCGGATGGTGGAATCGACTGAAGTGCTAAGCCAGCTTACACAATCATTACTCAACCTTAGCTCCCAATACTCCGGCGTAGATGGGGCCTTGGATGTGAGCAAGAATGCATCGTCAAACTTAAGTCGCGTCCTCGGTATTGCGATAAGATAATGAGACACAGCCGCGTGCGAGCTATGCAAGATAGCAGGGGTCAATGCGGAAACATTCTAGAATGTCAATTCAAATTAAGGCATGTGCCGACAGGTACAAGGAGCAGGTTCAACAATGAATACAGGTATAGGCCAGTTCAGTGCTGACTTAAGTCTGGTGGGCTCTCCTTCCAAAGTCTGACAGTCTAAGTGCACCTGACGATCACATCAGATCTGATAAGATAAGTATCTGGACGCGAGTGACGCGACACTAAGAAGTCACTCGTTAAGAATACCTTAAAGAAAGCCTTGTCTTCTGCAATCCATAATGACCAGAAAAATTTCTGTAAGGATCCAACATGTGAATCACATTTAATAAACTTGTAAGTTGACCGAGAAGACTGTGGATAATACGGAGTAGATACACTATGACTGCCGGAGCTCGAGACTACCGAAACGTATGAGCCAAGAAATAGTCCTTCGAAAGAGTAAAGGCATCCAGGCTTGATGAAGTTGCTGCCTTGCAGCCCAGTGTTACTGTGTTCGTCCTGCAGACGCGACACAAAAACACCAAAATACGTAATAATGGATTTTCCGCCAGCCACCGGGCCCAAAAAGCGCGCCAAGTCACGTGCGACGTGACTTAGCCCGTCGCGCTAAGGATCACGCTGCCTCGTCTGAAGCAAGTATTTCTGCTGGCTTTTCCTCCTTCCCAGCAGCTACTTCCTCCCCATCCCATCTTCTCAGCCCAATATACAAGCTTTTTGTTGTGTCTGTGTGATCAATTTGTCTCGACATTTTCCTTCACATTGCTTCAGACACTCCACGAAATGGCTGCGCAAGTTACTCCTTCCAAGCAGGTACCTGATGTCACTTCCTTGCCTCCTACTGCAGACGCGTCACAGCAACAGCATACACTAACATTGCTTTTCCTGTAGGCTGCATCCTCTCTCGAGAACCTTAAGATGAGCGATTCACCTGTGAAGAAGCTCAACTTCGGAGTTGTGGGCAAGGAGAACGCGCCGTCGTCCACAACCCTCGCCGACGCGCCGACCGAAAAGATTGCAGAAAAGCCTACGGAAGCTTCCAAAGTTGCTCAGAGTGTCAAGGAACTCGAGGCAAATGAACCACTGCTTCAAGAGAACCCTCATCGCTTCGTACTCTTCCCAATCAAGTATCATGAGGTGAGTGGCACGTCCACAACGCGTCACGCGTAAAGTGGTTTTCTCCGCGCCATGTCCTATGTGTGCATTGTTTGCTGATATGCCCCGCTTCTCCGACGCAGATCTGGCAAATGTACAAGAAAGCCGAAGCTTCCTTCTGGACCGCCGAAGAGATTGATCTCTCCAAAGATCTGCACGACTGGAACAACCGCCTGAATGACGATGAGCGTTACTTCATCTCTCATGTCCTTGCCTTCTTCGCTGCCTCTGACGGAATCGTCAATGAGAACCTGCTGGAGCGCTTCAGCAATGAGGTGCAGGTGCCTGAGGCTCGGTGCTTCTACGGCTTCCAGATCATGATTGAGAACATTCATTCGGAGACATACTCCCTGCTGATTGATACATACATAAAGGAGCCTAAGCAGCGCACCTACCTCTTTGATGCCATTGATACCAGTATGCTGTTGTCTCTTTCCTCTGGTTTAGACCAATCACTGATTTCCTCCAGTTCCTTGTATCGCCAAGAAGGCCCAGTGGGCCATGACATGGATTTCGGATAAGGAGTCTACTTTCGCTCAGCGTCTTGTGGCCTTCGCCGCTGTGGAGGGCATCTTCTTCTCTGGATCTTTTGCTTCCATCTTCTGGCTGAAGAAGCGTGGATTGATGCCTGGTCTCACTTTCTCCAACGAGCTCATCTCTCGTGACGAGGGACTGCACACGGACTTTGCTTGCCTTCTCTTCTCTCACTTGAACCATCGCCCCGACAAGAAGGTTGTTGAGGATATCATCGTTGAGGCTGTGGCCATCGAACAGGAGTTCCTGACAGACGCTCTTCCTGTTGCTCTCCTGGGCATGAACTCTAAGCTGATGTGCCAGTACATTGAGTTCGTTGCTGATCGGCTGTTGGTCGCCCTCGGAAACAAGAAGTACTACAACTCTCCCAACCCCTTCGACTTCATGGAAAGTATCTCGCTTGCAGGAAAGACCAACTTCTTTGAGAAGCGTGTTGGTGACTACCAGAAGGCCGGTGTCATGGCCAGCACCAAGAAGGATGCCAGCCAGGACACTGCCAAGGACGCCAACGATGGAGGTCTCAGCTTTGACGAGGACTTCTAAACCAACACTGAACGACTTATACCCAGCTGTGTGCCATGTTCGGGACCCTTGGGAGGGTCTCTGGCGCCTGCCATTTGATATGCAGATAATTGTCTCGTTCGCTCACCTTCGTTATTGATTTATGATAATTCTATTTTTTTGAGGGCTACGCATGGGCACGGCGTTGGGAACTGGCGGAATTTTTCTTTGAGTGTCTGTATTATGAGTCTTCCACTCCGCCATTCAGACAATGTTCGGCATATAATGAGTGTGTGGACGGATGCAATGTATTTAGAAAGGATAGCACTTTATATTCCACTTGGATATTTTGATAGATCTTTTTTTGAATAGTTCTTCGACTGACTTGGACCCAACCTTCATGGAATATGTAGTCTACTGATAATGAATGATTCACACATGCCCCAGATCCGCTTCGTTATGCAAGTCATGGACCCTCTGTCTTCGATTTTCCTCGAGTGCTGTCGGTTGTAACCCTGCTGGTGCGCCTCGACGGAGTCTCAGTTAACACGTACGAAACCGGAACAAGCTGCTCTCATCATCACAGCTGCTCTGACAGTCTACATCACCTCTCAGATCGACCGATCAGAGATGAAACAGTAAGCAGCACCACTTGGAGTGCCACAGTAGTCATCATCCGTGCAGTATCTGGTGACGGACACCCTTCATTCCTCGTTCAAATACGCTCGTCCACTCCGCTACTCATCACCTCTTCCCCTTCCCGCCTTTCTTCTTCGATTTCCCACCCTTGCCACCCGTATCTGTCTTGCTCGCATTCGCACTCGCAGCCTCCTCGACCACCGCCGGAGCATCCGTCATCTCCACATCCGCAGCACCAGAAGCAGTCGTCGTCGGCGCCGGAGCCGAGAGCCCCAGTCCCGCGGCGTTCGCACCGCCCGCCAACTTCCCCAGACTGGTCACCAGTCGGCCGACCTCCGCGGCTTTATTCGTGCGGTATTTCAGACAGATGCCTGCGGTTGGGTTGTATGTTTTCAGGGTGAGGACTGCGACGGGGGTGGCGGCAGTTGAGGCTGGGGAGTCGGTCGTCTCGGGGTTTGGTGTCGAGGAGGGCTTTTTCTGTGCTGAAGGTCGTTGTGAGGGGAAGCCGTATTTTGTTGTGATGCGGGTCTGCGCGGTTTGCGTTGGAGGGTCAGTCACAATCACTTGAGCTTTGACTCATTGCTAGGGGAAATTTGGAGGGGTCCATTGCATGAGGTAAGGGCCTCTTGGTCTTGACGTACAGTCTCTGGATATGCTTCGAGCAGTAGAGCGGATTGTTCCAGGAAGGCCTGGCTTGTGGGAAGGTATGGCATCTTGTCTGAGTCGAGTTCTCCTCTTCCTCGGAATTGTGCGCGCAGTGGTTAGACAGTTTGTGAGGGGTCCCAGATGTAGAAGCGTGGCTAAATGCTGACAGCTGAATATTTTGTTTATGGTGGATGCAATTGAGCTGGAGGTGGAGTGCGAACTGCGGACATTTGACAACGTGGAGTCGGAGAACGATTTCATTTCATCTCGCTGTGGTCGAGGCTTGGCAGGGCAGCCAACTGGACAGGAAACCTAAGCGTCCAAACTGAACTCTTGCACCAAGATTTGATTAACCAAGTGTCTGGGACGCATTCATAATGAATTTTATACACCTCAATTTCATGCCAAAAGAAACATCCCGTCATGCGTCATCCGTCATGACCGTCCATCATCATCTCGTGTACTGTACAAGCTGCTAAATACAACGGCCCCTGCAGATTTGAACCCAAAATAGACAAGTGACACCCAAAATGCGAAATACTACTCTAGAGAATAGAAGGACATATGCAGAAAATGCAGGTAGATAAGCTCCATCCGTGCTTAGTTGATAGGTCGATGACAGCGCACGCAGATCAATCTCTGCTTCCCGGTCCGCGACTTGGTTGCTCGAAAGTTCGTCCCTTGGCAGTTATCACACCTGAGCACGTCTCCCTCGTCCCCCTCTCCGTTGGAGGAGCCGTAATCACTGCTCAAAGCGCTGCCCATACTAAATTTGCGTCCCGGAACAGATAACCTATTCGAATCCCGTGACTGAGATGGGGTTTTGTTCTGCGCTGCCAGCGCATCATGGGTGATCTTGTTCCAGAATGCATAACTATGTTGGCCCTGTAGCCACAAAGGGTTGTCCTTGTTCTTTCCCTTGGCGACTATTGTCCTCGCGGTCGGGGCCATTCCGACGTCCTCAGCGTTCCGCTTCGAGGCTTCTACACTGGACCGTCGACTGTCAAAGGACGATTTGTATGCAGATGGCTGTGTCGACACAGTGAGCGAGAGAGAATCGGCCGGTGCTCCGCCTGAAAATTGACGCGCTGGACTTGAGTAACGTGAGACATCGGGCATAGACTTGTGGGGAGACGGACTCCGAGTCCTCGTTCCATGACGGGAGCCTTCCCGCTTCGCTGTGTCGTGCCCTATGACCGAGTTGCGCCAAGAGATAATGCGCTCTGAAGGTGTCTTGTGAGATGACTCCTTCCCGATTGAAGACGAAATGCTATGGCGAGCTGAATTAGATCGGCGCAACAGTCTCCTGGAAAAGGTGGAATGGGTGTCCCAATTCTCGTAGCGGCGCTTTTGGAACGCGCAGTCTTGCCGCAGAACTCTGATCTTGCCCGAATAATCGGCGACGATGATGATGTTGCCTTCAGGGTGCGTTGAACGGGAGAGATATGATGGGGATTCCTGCGCCAGCTTGCTAATGTCGGAGTTGCGATTTTGGCGAGCATTTTCCTTCTCTGTGGCGCTCACCAAGGTCACCGGTGGTGGATTGCAGATGTCGTACACTGGGTCGTCGGAAAAGCCCAAGACCTGCTTTGTCTTCGACGGAGCCATTACAGCTGCGGTGACAATAGCGGACCGTGTTTCAAAAACTTCAACAGCACGCTTATCGAAGTCCTTCTCCACGGCACCCGTAGGCCAAACATATGCCCGGCGATCTTCACTCCCGCAAATGACATGTTTGCCGTCGTCACTAAAGGAGGCACGGATCTGACTGCATGTGTTCTCGTTGCCGCGATATTTCGCCTCCAGTGTCCTATCCCTAAAGTTGTACTGTCGTATCCGTGAATCGTTACTTGTGATCAGAAGCTTGATCTCACCGTTGGGGTTGCCAGGAGGTAACGTAATGGTATCAATGCCTGTTATCTTACTGCCTTTGGCGTTGCGGCCACGCGCGGATCGGACCTGTATCTGCCCTACCGGCTTCAACCCATCCGTGTCGTATATGTTGCACATACCATTGAGACAACCGGCAATTGAGTGCCTACCATCAGGGGTGAAAGCGATCGATGTGATCATATCCGGGACCGCCGCGACGAACGCCACGCTTTTGTCCGGAATGCTCCAGAGACGAAGTTTAGTGTCGAGAGACCCTGCAAGAAAAAAACGATCGTCACGGGGGTGGAACTGGATAGAAGTAACAAAATCACTGTGCTGAAAGCAGCAGAGACACTCCGACCTTGACACATGCCACAGGCGGACAGTTTTGTCCATTGAGGAAGACAATAGAAAATTATTCTGATCACCCGCGTCAGATCACATTATATGCCTCTTCGATGTGAGACTCGTACCTTACTCCAACTCAGGTCCAGCACGCTTCCAGTGTGACCTTCGTACACTTGGATCGGCTTGGTCCTAAAGACAGGCGCCTTCAGCCGCGGAGGCTCGTCCCCGTCTTGAGCTTCTTCGCCTTCACCGAGTCCTTCTTCTTTACGATCATCCGGTGAAGCAATGACGGCCCAAACGCGCACCCTCCTGTCTTGACCTGCTGCCGCTAGATACTTGCCGTCCTTCGAGAATGATAACGCCCATATTGCTTTTCCAGTATTGCCGCCGCTTAGGGTGCCTGTCGTCGATCCCGTTGCATCCTTTACCGAGTTGTTCGAGGGTGCCTCTGTGTCAGCCAATTCCTGCGCGAGAAAGACCCTACTGAACGTTTTGTCTTTCTTGTAGTATGCCTTCACCCTGATGTACTTTGGCGGAGGGGGAAACTTGGGAAAGAAGCCTATCGGTTGTGCCGCGGCGTTGGCATCCATGCGGAAGGTGTCCGGTTCCGAGACATCGTCCTCTGCTTCAGATAGATTCTCTTTCTTTTTGCCTCCGATTATCCGACTGAGGAACGATACACCTTTCCTGTGAATCGCAAATATGCCTCGTTATTATCAAGCAATTGTTCGGAGAGCAGTGACGAGCTTCGTTGCTGGAGAGGAAGAGGATGGATTTAGGGGTGCAGCTGACAGGGGAGCATATGTTGGAGGACGATTGAAAGACAATGACCTGTTGACAACCGAACTGAACGAGACATGTGGCACGTACCTTTTCTCTTTGGGAGGCTTCTGGCGCAATACAGGATCCCCCGGGATCGAGCCCTGCTCAGCTGGAGAGTAGTTGTTCGTTCCGCCAGCTTCCGCTTCATATGATGCTCTTCCTAGGAGTTTCAGAGGAATCGACCGTTCGGTATTGGTGCGCTTAATGATATGCTAAGTTCGCCAGTAGCGCATCAGTCCTCAATGCTTTTATTCTGCACGACATTGTATTGTAAGGTGGGGAATGTGAAGCAACTCACTTGCGACAGCGGATCGATCGCGCTCGAATCTGCGCTGGGCCCGTAGAGCGTCGGGGAGGAAATGGAATTTCTGCCGTAGGTATTACTCTGAATCGACGATCGGGCATTCTTTTTCGTATCTTGCTGATTTGCGCTTGAGCCTGATGCATTATCGGACGCGACAGAACCTATCACGAAGTCCGCGAGAAAAGCAAATAACCATCAGCGGGAGACACATCACAGAATCATTGGTGAATAAATCGCGGGAGCCGGAACGAACGGGGCTGATTTGTTTGAATGACCAGTCCTTTAAAGGAAGACAATAAGAGTTGCCCATACCGACAGGGAAAGACTGTGAAGTCTGTAAAAGTCCTGGTGTCGCGACACTGGGACTATCATTCTTATTGCTGTTATCGTCATTGTGTTGGCCTTCCTTGCGACTGCTCACGGTGGTGGTGATGATTGCGGGCAACGCGGGGGCTGTCGAAGCCCGCGGCACCTGGACCCTTTGATCGTCCGTCTCCTGCGAACCCTCCGCCATAGTGAGCTTGAGGCCCGTAATTGTGCATGTGGAATTTAGATAGAGACCGGTGCGATGTATGGGAAAATTCCTGCCGGTGTGCAGCTGGGTGGAGAGGTCGTAGAAGAGGCCATAGAAGAAAATTGACAGGGCTCTAGGAAACTTGGAGCAGGGTCATGTTAACCAGTAGCTAACAAGGATGATGATAATTGATAAGAATAGTATGGTTAGATAGATTAGTTAAGTGGCCATGATAGATTGTCATTACTCTGGCCCATCCTCCTTTTGTGTTTAGTGTGATTGAATGAAATGGAATTGGACGGCAATATCCGGATGAGGGCTTACACCAGGATGGATGACATCAAAGCGGGACATCATAGTAGTGCCTTTTATCTTCTCGGTTGGAGGGAACTGGCAGTTCCATACTTTTCGTTCTAATAATGATGGGATCCATGGTCATGGTAGAGCTTACACACAAAGCAACTAACTGAGCGAATGAAGAATCTCCGGGTTTGGCTGGTCTAGAACAAGCGGACCATTTACCATTATTATTGATTTCTCTCAGAAGGAACCATACTGTGACAAAATATGGTGAGAGGAACGCTGTGGCAGATGGATCAGGGTCTATCTACAGAGTAATAATAGGCTAAGACGAGTCATGGCAGCAACTAAGCATAGTCTGTCCAACCATACACCCAAGGGAAGTCTCATTAGACAAACTTGGATAGTGTCGGATGTGCACGGCAACCACCAATGTCTCGGACATTTGGCCATCCCTATACTCCGTAGATGGAGTCCTTTACACGCAGTGGATGGGCTCTCTTTGACAGAGATAGACAGACACTTCTCTCTAGAAACTAGCAATTTCACGATTATCACTCTATCCAAGACTAAAGTCCAAGCGCGGGACAGACCCGGATAATTGTGAACATTTAAACTCATTCGAGGCTTTTCTGGAAGCAGCCTTAGAGAGTGTGTCTCATTGGCTATTCCAAAATAGATCAAACCGTTGCATAGGTTGTCGCACATCCATCGCTTTGCTAAGACAACATCCTCAAGAAGAGCATCAGGTTTTAAGAAGGACTGAATCCATCGTGACTCTGTTCCCATATTCTCATTCGGATCTATTGGTTCAAAGATAATACACAAGCTCAATCCAAAGATGACTGTTCCAGTTTTCTAGCTCGATCTTTGGCTATATCACACATTGCCTGTCAATCAATGCCAGAATTAGCTGGCCGTTTGTTACCGACGATGTGGTCGATCAAAGGCACCCACCTGGATGGTCTCTTGTCTTTCTCGCTCGATATCGCCTCTTTCAATCCTCTGGCGCATTTCCTCCATGATGACGTCTCTGCTTCTTCCATTGACAAAGGTTCTAGGTCAAGTCATCGGAAGGCATACGGTCAGCATACAGAAGGCATTGAATGCTGATACTTTCGACAAAGCACATACACAAATCTCAGTCCCGGAAATCTCTCCTCATATTCGACATTGAGTAGCCTCAGTTTCTCCGCTTGTTCTTCTGCCCCTGTATTCAAATTGGCCTGCTCCCTCTTACTGAGCTCGCTCATATGTTCTGTATCTGCAGCTTTCGGCCGTCCAAGGCGAGGGTGCGACCCTAAGATTCCCGTGAGGATTTTATCGTCGGTGGGAGAGTTTTTGGGGGAGAGAGCAGACATCCGCCCGCCTACTGCATCGATGAGACTGTTATACGAGGAGAAAGTTTGGTTGGATAGGACCGGAGCCATCAGCGTGTGGAGTTCTGGAGATGGCTCAAAGAGGGTATCAAGAGCTCTGAATTGCTCATCCTGTGGTAGAGACGGTAGTGATGAGATTGGAGGAAGACTGGAAGACATGACGATCGACGTTGTAGCTTTCAACACCTTCGCCGGTACCTATGCGAATAATAATCGGGATTGTGATGTGAATCGCGAAGGGAGTTGGAGGGTCGCTCTTGTGATAAATACCGGGACTAATATCCACCCCGCATCGGGAGTCTCCGAGCGGTTGTTGCTGCTGACGGAGGCGGAGAGCTCCAGGATAGATTGAGTTTACGATGGAGGTGGGTGGTTGAAAATATCGGCCATTTAGAGAAATATTGAAGAAGGATTGATTCAGATTGACGTCGATTGGAATGTTGGATTGACATTTCTATCTACTCTATCCGCCAGAAGCTTATCTGGAAGTCCTCGGAGCTGCCCTGTTCGCCCGCGATGAGAATCTCGGAACCAAGAGAGTTGATATTTCTGGCGCCGATTGTCCTGATTGTAACGAACTTTAGGGCCCTTCCATGCATGTAATGGCCGATCTGTGCTTGCATGAAAATGTGGAGATATAACTTTCACTTCTTCTGCCTATCAAGCTTCGTATAGGTCTAAAAATAATGACAATATTCTTTGTTCAACCGATGAACAGTCTATGTCGCATTGCCAGTTCATCATCTTTAAAGGACTATCATATGAATACAAAGTAGTTGTCCTAAACATTGAAGTATCTCAAGCAGAAACAATCTGATGATAGATATACTTGGGGTATGGGTCTCTGAGGGGTAGACTAAGGATAACAAGGGCATGGCAACTGCACAGACCGTAGTCAACAATACCTCAGCTGGAGCATTAATACTAGTGAGAAATATCTAGATAGTCCGCACCTTGGCAGATTATAGTTCCTCCAAACAGTAGAGGTAACGATCAAACACTAAAAGTTTGTCTGCAGTTGACCGAATTGCTTTGTCCATAAAGCCATCACTTGTTACTGATTGCCCAGTCACAATGAGAATATCTCCTGCTGTGAATCTTATGGAATTCACTGATGCTTTGTCTTTGATTCTTGAAAATCTTCTATCGATAGTCCGTACCTCGCTCTGATCTCACCACTTGCACTTGGTACCTGACCCAAGTACCTGACCGGATCCCTGCTAATTTTCCCTGCCTCGGGTCTAATTGCCAGCGGGCCAAGGAACGTGGGGATATTTCGGCCTGTCCCTATCTCTGAAAGTGGAGGCAGCTAGTCCTCCACTAGGAGTGCCCCTGAACTCCTGAGAGGTTCGTGAGGTAGATACATCTCCGTCAACGGCGTCAAGTCCCTCATTCATCCTGTCAATCCCTCGATAGCGACGGATTTCGACTCTTTAGGTGGCTGTGCCTGATCTGGGCAGGGCCTCGATCTGCACGCGTGTCGTCTTTTTCGCACACTCGTTTTAAGTCTTCACCATCTGTTCGCCAAAGCCGACTGCAGTCCTCCTTCCTTTTGATCTCTATCTACTCTCTCTCATTGAACAACCCCTCCTTGCAGGAATTAACGATCCGTCTTTCTTGTCTATCACTCCATTGTGACATTTGAACCGGAGACCCGCTCCCAATGCGGTTCCCGTCATGTCTCTTAATGGCCTAGATAATCCCGCTGTCATCGAAGCCTACCAGAGCGCTCTGGCCGAAGCGGGAGGATGGTTAGTTCACCTTCGTCAATGAATTTCGATCGGTCGCAATTGCGTCGCGTGGCTGTGAATGATAATAGCTCGCGCTTTATCTATGCGAGCTGACACTCATTGCCCCATGTCATTTAGGTTTCTTCTCCGTTACGTATCAAGGGATGAGATAACTCTGCTTGATCGAGGAACAGGCGGGGTGCCAGATGTGCGGAGCGCGATCGACAGCTATGAAGAAATCTCCCCTCTCTACGGTTTCTTACAATATCGGCGGAGAAAGGTGGTGCTGAGCTACCTGCCAGAGGGTCTCTCGAGGCTTATACAAGGTATACTTTCCACCCTGGTTCCATTGTGTGCTCTTTTCCCGCCAACCTATGATCTCGCTGACGCGGTCTTGTGTGTAGCCCGAACCACAGTGCAGTTTCAGTCAATCTTGGACAAGTTCTCACCCCATGATACTGTATTCTCCTTCGCAAAGTCAGCAGATCTTACCGAGAGTGCACTGTCTTCTGCGTGCCTGTTACATGCTGCTTCAGGTTCTATCACCTCCTCTTCAAGCTCCCTCCGCCGTCGCAGGCTGATGGAAATTGCTGAAGACGCAGAGGAAAACAATCCGACCAAGGACGAGACGCAGGTCCCATTTCCACGTCCGGACAATCGACAAAGGTCAACCAGCCATGTATCCGACGCCACCATAGTGCCTCCATCGGTCACTTCGAACGCTCGAGAAACCCCCATTGGCGACGAATCCCCCCTCGTCGCAAAGAGCCCTCAGGATTCCCAAGCCAGTGATCAAGTCTCTATCTCCTGGGATAGTAGATCCGAACGCCCCGCTTCACGAAGAAGACTTGAGGATGACATATCCTACGCACCATCCGAATCGCGGAGATCTACACAGTCGGTCAGACCGTCGCTCAGGGACCTGGAGCGTGCGAGTACGTACACTCCGAAAGTCAAGCGTGGTCCTCGACCTTCAGTAGACGGGAGCGGGCGTCCTCGCACGGCAGGTAACCTGTCTCGAAACGCCGAGCAGCGGCCAGTAGCCTCTTTACCGGCTGGTGTTAGGACATCTTCGCTACGGAAAGGCAACCCGAGCCCAAATCGGCCCCGTTCTCAAGGAAGCCCAGTGGCATCTGTGTCCAGCCGAACAGCTCCCCCTGTCCCGCCATTGTTGGTCCCACCATTGTCAATGCCGATTTCACGGCCTCAGCTGTCACCTGGTGCTAAATCACTGAGTGCTCTCTCTTCGTGCGGCACCTCAAACGAAAAGGAACGGTTGATGAAAGCTCTCCAGCTGCGAAAAACTCAAATGGAAAAGCGTGCGGCGGAGAGCAAAAGGGATCGAAAGGTGAAAGATGGAAGATTGACCGATGTTGACGAGAATAAGGAGAACTTTGGTCAGGCTGATGACAAGTTGAAGCATGATCAAGAGACTGCAGCGGTGACCGAACATAGCAAAGAGCCTTGTCCTAAGATGCAGCTTTCCATTATGCCTGGATCAGTCGCACTTCCTGAGGAAAAGCTTGCTACGTCCGACTCCGCAAAACCCGATTCGGCCGTGGGTATGGAGGTCGCCAATTTCGATGACGAACAGCTTCCCAATCAGTCGCTTCTGAACGCAGACGACGCTCTTACAGCCAATCCAGAAGAATCATCTGAGACAGCCCAGTTACAGGCACCTCAAGTTCCCCCGGAAATTGAAGCGGACGCTGCCGACAGAGACTTGACCGTGTCCGTTGACAACGACACTAAAAGTGGCCCCAGCTTGCCTAGCGCCGACATCCACGTCCCACCCCAAAATTTTGAAAAAGCTGCAACAGAGAAAAATCAAGAAATTGTTCCCTCTCCTTCAAATCCGGAAAATTATTCTGTCACTGGCCTGGACGAGGCTTTAACAGTGACCGACCCGGCCAATTCGACCCTGCCCCAATCCATTCCTATTCCCGACTCGCCGACTTCCAATTCGCCGTCGAGCTCCACTCCTGAAGCGACGGTAATAGCACCTTGTCCCGCGGAGCCGCAGAATGACTTGATCCCTGAGACCTCGAATGCGGATTCGAAGAAAGTGAACACTCGAAAAGACAAGCGCAAACCTCAGCTCGAGCCTATTCAGGTCCCCACTCCAGACTATTCTGATGACGAAAATCTCCTTTCGGATGATTCCTTCATGGAAGAACTGAAGAGCGCCACTGTCGAGGAAGCGAAGCCTGTTTCGGTCGGAAAGTCGCCGTTGTCGCCAGTCTACCCAAATAACAATGACCAGATAAGCTCTCATGCTTGGAAGAATTCGCGGGCAGTTTCGAACCCGAGCGCCCTGGGGCACCAATTTTACAATATGCAGTCACTCTCCGGGGACAGATCCGTCTCTGGTCCTTGTGGAGACATGGATAGCGCAACAGGTCCTGTGCTTGTGGCTAAGAAGATCAATGTATCTTCAGGGATCTCAAAGCGCATCAAAGCTCTGGAGAAATTTTCAAACAGCCGTGAAACATCATCCAACTCAGGCTTGAACCTAGCTCCACCTACTGCATCATCTTCTTTCGAAGCTCTCCGAAAGCGAGCCTCTGTGTCATTAAGTGGGGGCAATTCAGACGCCGGCTCAATTTCCCGGCATGGCTCTTATACTCCAGAAGCTTTCTCCCGAGCCCCTAGTGTCAAACGTCGCGACTCGCAATCTAGTGCGAATGCTGCATGCACTACGAGTTCAATCTCGGTGACTGCTCGGATAATCCGCGACGCAACCAATGCCCCTAGCGATTCAAAACCAGACCTTCCAGACTCGGGCGTTCTCAATCTCCAAGCTAGTCCTTTGACCGTTGAACATGGGCCTCTTGAACAGACAATTACCAAGTCAGAAGAACGTAGTATGTCTTCGTCTTCTGCGACTTCTGGTCACCAGTCTCGGGCCGCTTCGGTGTCACGATCTGAGAGCAGATTGTCTATCTCCTCTGTCTCGAAAAAGGAAGAGGCCTTTTTGTCGAAGTCTACCAGCGATTTATCTTCGTCCCCTGAAGAAAAGAAGGCCTCTCGCGCTTCTCGCCTCCTACGCCGCATGTCATCGATAACATCAAATTCAAAGAAAAGCGTCATTGGGACATTCAGCCCTTCCGTCAAGGAAGAAGAAAGCGAACGGGCCGCTGCTGAGAAGCCGAAGGCTACCGTGAGCACCGCGGCAATCGATGTCGGCGAGGTCAATGTTCAGTTCCCTGACACCCTCCTCTGGAAGCGCCGGTTCATTCGGATCGATGACAAAGGATATCTTATATTGACCCCTGGAAATGTCGATTCAAGCAGCCGCAACATGATCAAGCGGTACCATCTAACTGAGTTCCGAACACCGTGTATACCGGATGAAGATCGTCAAGAACTGCCCAACAGCATTTTGCTTGACTTTTTGAACGGCAGCACCCTCCAGTGCGCCTGTGAATCCCGACAAGGACAAGCTTTTGTGCTCCAAAGTAAGTCGTTAATAATACACTTGCCACACTCGTCAGGCTACAGAGAGCTAACATATGACAGCACTCGTTGACGCTCACAGTGCTCATCTGCAGTCACTGCCCTGATATTCTCGTTTACCGCATAGACTATGTTCTATCATTTGTTCTGTCCTTCTAAAATCATGCCTGTTGGCCGCATTTCTGTTTTTAATTTTATTTTACTGTCCTTTTGCCAAATTGCTTTGTTTTCAGCGGTATACCCCAGCCAAAAGCGGTTCTCCTTTGTTCAACTGCCGACTGTGTCTGACAATCTGACTTGCAACCGTTTCCTATTTCCTTGCGACATTCATCCAGCCATTTCTTGAACCTGATGAGATGCATGATCTGATGAAATAGATCCATTGCATGGAATAATCTCCTGCTTGATGCGGAGGTTGATCCTCTTGATTAGTAAATGTGCTTTACCCATTGGCTTAGACCTTGCAATCTTACATCTCACATTCTTGTTTAAAGCAGCCCGCAACAATACTGGCTTTCTTTAATAGATTACTATCATTTTCGAATGACCTGCATGATCCCCTTTCTGAGGCATTTGGGAAGCCAAGCCCCACCGTGACTGAGACAAAAGCCAGGTAGTGGCAAGTACCGGTATTATGCAGGGCTGTGCAGGTTTACCGAAGCTATCCAGAAATCCTGGAATTTGCGAATAGGCGGAAATAAGGAAAAGCTCATCAAGTAGAATCATCGTGTTGAAAACAACGGTCAAAGCGGTCTATTTATTGTACACAGGTATTCTGAAGTATTATAGAAGACTTTTAGATAGTGTCCAAGTTCTATGCTGAATGGGCTTATTCGGTGTTCGCTTCCGCTCTCTTCTTCTCCCACGCTTCTAGGAATCGTTTGACTTTCGGACCCCAAACATCCTCACCGGCTTCGAGATCTTTATACTCGAGAACCTTGTCAGAGTCCAGCTCAAAATCCGCTTGGCGCGTTCGGATGAGTGAGCTCATAAGACCACAGCTACCAAGGGCCTTGCCCAGATCATGCGCCAAAGAGCGGACGTAGAAGCCAGACGAGACGGTCATGGTGATTTTCACAGCAGGAGGTTGAGGGGAGGGTTCATTTGCCGGTGTTGTAACTGTTTCCGATGAACCACTTGAGGGCTCAGCCTGCGCCGGCGCCGAGTCGCCATTGGCGGTGATCTTCTGTTTCTTCGCCACCGATGGGCCAAGCTCGGCATCGTTGGCAGATGGAGCATCCACGTCGTCTTTCGTGGGCTCTTCAGCAGGCGGCGGTGTCTTACGTTTTGTAGCTGTTGATGTCTCCTGTTCTCCGCTATCCTCGGCCGGGACTTCGGTCTCAGCAGACGGAGCTACGGGCAGGGTATCATCTTTCGCCAGAAGCCTTTCCGCAACTTCCTTCTCCTCTCCGGCAGCCTCTTCCTTGGGCCACTCGTACTCGTGGGTGCCAGGCTCGTACCACTCGAGAATGCGCAGATCGCTCACTTCCACGGGGCGTGACTGGATCTCAATAGGAGGCTCCTTGCCCTCCCGCGCATACTCGTAAAGCTTCTTCCCCTGGACCTTCAGCGCCGAGAAGATAGGCGGACGCTGCATGATCTTCCCTCTGAACTGCTCGAGCGCCTTCTCAACCGCCTCCCGAGTGATATGCTCGTACGGGGCCCGTCGGACGATCTTCCCCAGCTTGTCGTAGGTGTCTGTCTCAGCTCCGAAAAGCACAACCGTTTCATAGGTCTTTGTGCACCCTAGGAAGTCGTTGAGGCTTTTCGTACCCTTGCCCACACCCGTGACTAGCACGCCGGTCGCCAATGGGTCGAGGGTACCTCCATGTCCGATCTTGACGTCCAGGCGCCTCGAGCGGCGCCTGTTGCGCTGGTAGCTACTCTCTCTGGTACGTCGCGCGCGCTCCTCTTCGAGCCAGGGCTTAAAGAGCTTGGAGGGGTTGAAATGGTGCTGAAGGGTTCGGATGACATCGGCCGAGGTGACGCCTTGAGGCTTGTGGACGGCTGTTGCACATTAGCACTTTTTCTTACCGTGCTCCGGTGCGCATGAGAGTGTACACATACCGAAGACGCCTTCATAGATTTTTTCCCCAGACATTGTGGTACGAAATAATCTGAAGCCGGGACGGAATCCCATCAGTCGCGGGGGAGGTGGTTTAAATATGGTTTGGGAAGACTGATGGCAGGTAAATAAGCTTGATCAATGAATGTCCAACCTTAATAATGGGTAGCGATCAATCAACATGCAATGGAGCTAGCTGGCAGTTTAAATGCATTTCTTAGATTACAACTCCACTACAAAAAAAGAGAGAATATTGCCGGGCCCGATAAAGAAGATATCTCAGCAAAACGGTACGGTACAATTATTTCGTGCATACCGGAGAATTACAAGGTTCGCTGACCCCAAATTTCGTAAACTACGAGTAATTACCAGTCTGTCGGGGGTGGGTGGGTTGTGCCAGACAAAGGAAGGTGTCTCAAGTGACTCTATCGAACTTCATTCTGACCATCCTCATTCGATTTATTTCTTAGTCCTTCAATCTTTCCGTTCGGCTTCTAAAGAAGCTTTCGTCAATTCCTTTCCATATCAGTCAAGGCACCATGCTGCTCCCCGAGACATGACATCGCGCGAAGATAGTGTCCTGGCCGCCAGAGACCCATCTCTTACGGACGAGAACGACTGGGAGGAGTTCAGTCTGTCAGAAGTCAGGGTCCTGGTGCCAGGCAAATCCCGATATGCCAATCTGCTTACAGCATCTCCCAGCAACCCTGTTCAGGTAACGGGCTGTTTGGACGAGGTGGAAGAGGAGCAAGAGTCTCTAGGTATGTATTACTGGAGTTACAACCTTAATTGTTACACATAGTACCTCTCACAAGTACCTCGATTTTCGTCTTCATTAGACAGAAGCTGACTTGAATCTTCTCCGTTCGGATAGTCCTCGATCCTGATTATATTACAAAACGGATTGTGATCGATAATGTGACGCATTATGCCTACGGCCAGCATAGCGACGGTGAGGTTGGGGTCTGGATTGCTGGCCGTGCTGGCTGGTTTTCTATATCGCCAGCGAGGGGTTACCGACCAATGTTCAATGATGTGGTCGAAGCCATTGATCTGTTATATTTTTTGGCGGACAGACACCAACCGAAGGGACGAAGACGGAAGAATTGGAATCCAAGCGTTGAGTACCTGTGTGAGGAGGTGAGTACAGGTCACATGGTTTGATGGACTTTAGGTGTCAGTCACTTACACGGTGCTTTTAGTATGTCAACCACACACATGGTATTTGCGAGGACGCTGATGATTCCGCCGAAGTCTTTTACAAACATCACAACTTCCTCCTCTCTCGGATGCTGAAGGGTGAAGAGGAAGTGGAATGGACCAAAACGCAGCTATTCGAGCATTTGTGCGAGAAGTTTCCTGTGAGCAGATCCCTGAGTACCTAGCATCGTGATTTCCTTTGCTGATGATCACAAAACAGGAGGACTATGAAGAAATTAAATCTTCACACGAGTCAAAACAAGATGGGGAAGCTATGGACGAGGACAAGGACCAGATCATCGACGAGGTCTCAGAAGAGTCAACGCATGTGCCTGATCAGAATGTGATTTCAAAGACGCAGGCAGACGCAATTTACCAGGTGATCCTTGATTTGAAAGAGGCGGGACACTTGGCGAAGCGTCAGCTCAGTCTTGATTTACTTGCCTCCACCCTTGTGAGCCGGTTCGAGATAGATAGTCCCGAGTATGCACAAGATCTTATCTCATCGAGGGCCAACATCATCCTGGAGCTGATGGACGGAGCAAAGACCCCGAACTTTGACTGGTCACGGAAGGTTATCTACCGTGAGCTGAAGGCCGCGTCAAAGAGGAATGAACTTCAGCAGATCGCTCTTACTCCGTTGCGTCCCCGGGCTTCTGAAGAAGAAGAGTCCTCTGATGAAGAGAGCGAACACGAAGAAAATCGCAGACCACGAAGACGACTAGTTCGCAAATCTGTGCTTCGCCCGAAGTCGAGCGAATTCTCCACTAAGCAAATTGGCAAGCGTACGCGAAGCACTGCGATCGACCCAGAGAATATGTCAGATGGGGAGCAGGAAGGGGTGGATGAATTCGAGACACCCAGTAAAGTCCGCGGTCATGATCTGATACGGGACCCGCTATCAACCAGAGCAAAACGAAGAACTCGCTCGATTCTATCAGACACGGCCTCGACGCCTCAACACAAAACACCTCTGCAGGAAACTCTCCAAAGCCGAAATACTTCCGTTTCCGCCGCAGATCAGGTCCAGGACTCAGTTCGCTTAGACATTACTCATTCCGACGATGTGCTATCCGATACATGGACTTGCCAGGTACGAGGATGCGGAAAGGTGATCAACAAGAGCAACACGAAGAGAGGCAAAGAATTAATTCAAGATCATTCCCTGGCGCATGCAGACGACACGAAGGCCAAACTTGACCTTGTTTTTGCAGAACAAAGGTTGAATATTAATATACGCGTTGATAATCTTCTCGAACGGATTCGGGAGATGGGGAACCTTGACGCCGGGCTTTCGCTCATAGAGAACGGAGCCAATGGTCAAACGGAGTCATGAGAGCACTGCTGCATATCACCGACTAGAAAATCCGTTGTGAAATGCTTAAAACATGATGGTTCCAGACTGCAGACTACTGTTGGCACCAACCGACAGCAATGAGAGCTCGAGCAGTACGCAACTGTTCGACTATGTCCTGGGTGAGTATCATTTGCTTACATTTCGTTGGTCTGGTGCTGACTGGGCTTGGTAGGTCGATCATCCCATCGATAATTAGGCCCACGAGTCTGCATACCAAAGGGCTGAATACAGATCCATTCTAATGAAGGACACGACGCATGCACGATTAATACATCACTGAAAGATATGGCAGGTCTGACATGGAGGCAACTACGCATTTCGGGTGTCGGAAGATGAGCGCGGCGTTGTGGATTGATTGATAATGATACCAAAGAATATTTCTGATAGACATGAGCTCTTCGAGTGGTACTAAGTGGAAATAATTAGTATCCATGGGGAAGCAGGGTATATATCCCATGCAAAATCACAATATGAAGCACAGCGAGAAGATTATTTCCTTTTGGAGGGCATGTCTGAGATTGATCAATATACATGGAGGACTTGACATCGATGGTCAGGAAGTCCAAGTTCTGTCTGGACGACTAACTAACAGGACAAGTGAAGACACACGATTTTTTGAACGCCAAACAATAGTCTCTGTTTTTGAATTCCCAGCCGAAGACACATAGACAATGAAATAGTGGAACAATCAAAAGTAACTAGTCATTAGGACCGGCCCTTTGCGGCCGCCCTCTTACTTTTCCCAGGTCTCTTGGAGCCACCCTTCATCTTCTTGACCGAGAAGTTACGCAGGTCTCCGCTAGAAATAGCGTCACCACTCTTGGCGTGCCGTTTCTTACCACCGAAGCCGTATTTTTCATTCTTCTTCTGGCGCTTCAGTGAGGGTCCGCCGCTCTCATTGCCGCGACTACGCTTGCGGCTGTCGGATTTGCCAGAGTCCTCGATGGCGATATCGAATAGATCGTTGTCATTGTCCGTAATGCCAGATTTATCAGCCTTGCGCTCTAGTAGATGAGAGAACATGTCAGTAATTGTTAAGTAACCTGCGTGAAAAGAACGGGTAACATACTCTTCTTCAGCTCATTGATCTTCTCGAGTGTCTCGCGCTTCTCCTTCTGTCTCTGTTGCAACTTGGCAACTTGCACCTGCTTTCCGAACTTCTTCAGATCCCGCTGCTTGCGGGCTTCCGCGGCAGCCTTCTTCGCAGCAGCTTCGTCGTAAAGTTTCTTCTTAATCTTGCTCATGTGCTCGTCGGTCTTGACCATCTCCGCAAAATAGTCGCCGGGCCGAGTGAACGGAACACCCTCCTTCTTCAACAGGCTACGTGCCTCTGAAGCGGCAGCCTGGCAAACCTTGTAGAAGGCCAACTCTCGGTTCAGGTCATCGTTGGGGTCGGGGACTTCGATCGGCTCTTTCGAGACTAGGGAATTGTGCTCTGAAAACGGCGTCTGGGAGGTGATGAAGGAAATGCGTTTAATAGATGCGTTGATAGCAGCAGAGTTGTTGATCGTGAGGCGCTGGTGAGGAACCACATCCTCTCTTTCGTCTTCGGACAAATCGGATAGAGGGATATCTTCTTCTTCTTCTTCTTCTCCCTCCTCCTCCTCGTCTTCTTCGTCTTCCTCGTTATCTTCCCTTCTCCAGCACCCTCTTTATCCGACTCTTCATCCTCATTATCGCTTGATCCGTCGTCTTCTTCATCTTCAGGAGCATTGCGCTTCTTGGATTTCAAGTTCTCCGATTCAACCTGTGCGCGCGCAAGCAATTGATTTAGCAATTTTGATTCGAACGCTCCTGTGGCCCGACTCCAACATACCTTGCCATTCGTTTCAACAGACTCCTCTTCCCTATTCTCATCGTCTCCTGAATCCGTCTTCTTTGTCGCTTTTCTCTTCTCTGCAGCCTTGACTAATTTTTTCTGCTTCTCTGCATCGTAGTCCCGGCCCTTGTGGGCATCAAGAGCCTGGAGTAACTTGCTGCGTTTAGGCATTTTCTCTATGACAGGAAAAATCACAATAAAGGCTTAGAAGAGTGTCCGACTGCAAGCTTGCAATTACTGTCGAGCAGCGCGGCGGGCTTTCAGATCAGGAAACTACGGGAATTTTTTTGGGATTCTGCTAGTCCATATCTGGTTAGCACTTAATATAAGCCGGAACTAGTCCAGCTTTAGCCTAGAGCAACTCGGTGATCAGGAGAAACAGTTGATCCTTGGGGCGTCTTATCGTCTTAATCTGGATATCAGCAGCGGAGTAGTATACAGGAGGATAAACATCACCCTTGCGGTTGTCCTTCGGTGCTACATAGCATTTCTTCTCGAGGTTCGGACACTAATTTACCGGTGTCTCAAACTTGGCTTTTCCATACCCTGCCGAAACACCACCATCAGTACACCATGGCAGAAGAGAGCAAATCCATCTCGACATCAGCGGCCGTCACCCCTCCCACCGGGGAATCTCTGCGATCGCAACAGGTTTGTTAATCTGTCACATTATCAATGAGAAACATGTCGCTTACATTTACTGTAGAGCACCGACGCACAAGGCCAGTTCTCAGCAGCGGTCGACGACCTCCTAGACCAATTACAACACAAGTTCGACAATGTGTCGCGGGAAGTGTTCGCCAAATGTTCGTTTGCCTCGTACATGGAACATATCACTAGGCTAGCTATACATGATACTGACTTGAACGTTTCTAGTGGACGATATGGCTACGCGCCTCGACGAGCTGGAAGCTTCCTTGCCTGTTGCGGGCGACACAGCCGCGGCACCAGCGTCGTCTCCGACAAAATGACCTTCGTGCAGGCATATAAATTGTGGCCTTTCGTGTCATAGCATGATGTTGCATTGGTGGTCTGTTTCTATGCGGAATGGAGTTTATCAGTTAAGTTCTTCTTCAGCGATGCATTCATTTGGAGGCGTGGCACATGTGCAAGTGTACTTTGTTGTATTGATGTCTCACGTATTGAGAGATACCCTATCCGGATTCTGAGGAATAGATGCCTCTTGTTATATTTTTCTTGAACTGTTGTTCCTTGGGTCAGGCCCTTGTTTCTACATTTTATGCATCATGGAGTTCCAGACACATATTTCATAGGCCAAAAGTCATACAATTGAACAAGCCCGTCAATGATCTCCAAATCCGTGCAATCTTACACACTTGAGCCAGTGGAATGATTTACAGCTCGTCCTTGGCATCAGTGTCTTTCTCGCCGACAAACTTGCGTAGGATGTTGCTGCGACACACAATATCGTCGATCTTCTCGGGGGCCGAGCCACCCTTTTCTAGGATCTTCTTGAGACGAGCCAGCTCCTTGCTGGCGTACTCCTCGTTCTGGCTGATCTTCTCAGCAACCTTAACATAGTACTGAGCATACTTGTCCTGGAGACCCTTGGCAGCCTTCTTAATCTCTGTAACAAGCTCCTTGGCGTTGGGCGACGAGACGTAATTGGTGATAAACTCGTCAAAAGCGGCGACTGTGCCGGCCTTCTCGTTGAGACCTCCACCAACGGCACGGTTAGTACCGGCGTTGGCGTTCAGGAACTCGATGAAGGCCTCCTCGGAACGAGCACCGTTGTAAGCGATGGGCTCAGTCGAGCCCTTGGGGAAAAACTTGATGGTGGGGTATCCGGTGACGCCTTGTTCTTTGGCGAGGGCCTTGGAGTTCTCTGCCTCGGCGTCGACCTTGGCGATCACAACGTTGGGCTCGAGTGCGAAGTCATTGGCGAGGGTCTCCCAAGTAGGGGCGAGGCTCTTGCAGTCTGTAATCACCGAGGCATATTAGCCCAGTCCGACGAAGCCAGAAAAAGGGGAAATATAAAAGGAAGAACTCACGTCCGCACCAAGGCGCAGTGAAAGCAACGAAAACATTCTTGTCACCGCCAATCGTAGACTTCCACGAAGACTCAGTCAGCATCTCAACCTTGCTAGGCTCCTTCTTTGGTCCACGAGGCTTGATGCCTGTCTTCTCCGCAATGAACGCAGACAGGCTCTCCAGATCTCGACCACCCTTGTAGTCCTCGGGCTTGTCGCTCTTGCCATCGAACCACTTCAGGGTCGGGAATCCCTGGACACCAAATCTCTTTCCAAGATCTCTGTGTTCGTCCGCGTCCACCTTGGCCACAGTCACCTTGTCCTTGGCGAATTCGAAAGCCTGAGCGAGCTCCTCATAGACAGGTGCGAGGTTCTTGCAGTGGCCACACCAAGGGGCGAAGAATTCAACGAGAGCGGGTTTTCCGGACTTGAGGACGACATCGTCGAAGTTCTTGGGAAGCAGATCAATGACGGCGGAAGCGGCGCTGGCGATACCGACGAGCAGTGTGAGGCAGCTCACAAGCAGGAAGCTCAACCGAGCCATGGTGGCTTGTCTGATAGAAGAAGTGGAGTCGAATAATCCTCAATCAAAAACACAAGATATTGGACAATTTTATGTATGGACTGTCTCAATGGTAGTAGGGCTGTGATTACTGCCTTCAACCAAATCAGCTCAAATAGTTGAAGGTGGTGTAATTTGCCTCCCAACAACGTATGGATCCCACACCAGAAGCTCCGCTATCACCGCAGATCACATCGGATTTATCAGCGGGTCGGAAGAGGACACTTGGTATCTATCTATACTCATAAGAGATTACAAACCACGAATTCGTACAACCGTGCAATTGACTTCTTCAATCAAGATCTGTTGCAGAGGTTTACTGTAACGACGTGCTATGAGTATGTCACCTAATGTAGAGATGGCAGGTGGCCAGTAAGGTGTTTAGTGTTACAGTCCCTTTAGATTTCTACCTTTACCGGACGAGTCCCTCGGTCAATCACCATCGCTGACAAGTGATAACGCTGTTGGTGTTCGTAGACTCTGGTTTCATTCGTGAGATTGCAGTTCCCACAACTGCCCATTAGCCTTATCACCTGGGCACAGCTTAACAACTATCGCCTCCCCGACAACCATTCATTTGCCTCCTTCCACAACTGAATGTCCTTAAACTCTTTACTGGCGTTCTGCGTGCCTTTGTAGACCTGATAGAAGAAAAAGATCAGCTCGCGTGGTGAAAATGGGTTCGAGTCTTTGGGCACTCACCGCATCCCAGAGCTTGAAAGCCTTTTCCAGATTGCTCGTAAAGCTGTCACTGTGCTGAAACCATTCTTTACCCTTGGACTTCACCTCTAACCGTGCCTCCGGCGAAGTTGGGTCCGCCTGCAGGGGCAGGTCATCGAGATATGTGCGCACTGCAATGCCGAGACCGCAGTCATTGTCGTCGATGAACGGGAGTCTATGAAGGTCAGCGCCATCGATCTTTCTGAAGCGTAATATAAGCCTTACTTGACACTCATCTCAGTCCAGTCATTCCGATCTCTGCTAGCATCTCCGCTGAGAAGTAGACTAGCTAAAACAACTTCGATCAGATTTCTTAATGTGGAGCGGACCTCAGAAATAAGAGAGCGGTAACAGAGCAATTGCCTGCTGAGGGGCCCTGAATAGCCGATATTCTTGTGTTGTATCTTAGCGATACAAGCCACACGTGAGATCAGGATATTGAACTTCTTGTCCTCATCTAGTGGGAGAAGCGAGATCAGTAAGATATGCATCAAGGCATCAATCAAGCACAATCAACTCACCTGAACCTCTCATCGGACCTCCTGAGACATGAGAAAACCACTCTTTGGAATTCAGGAGTCCGAAACGGACCATTTCAACGGCGAGGAACGTCGCCTCTTCCAAGGTATCGGTGGGATCAAGGACGGAAAGCGCTTGGTCGAGGCAGACACCCCATGAGGTGAGTCGGTGCTTCTCATCAATGTAGCCTCGCAATTGCAGGAACCTCCAGTAGACGTTGGCAAGAATTTCGTCCTGCGACGATAGCGGCTTTTGATCATTAGAACCATTTATATCCGAGAGTAATCCCTGGTTAGACTCACTTGAGCATCCTTAGACGATGCAAAAGACTTGGCTCCGAATTCGGGATCTTGCAGGCTCTGTACAGCAAACTTGAGCGGCGAGGAGGTGCTCTGTCACTTGTCAGAGAATACAAATTTGGCATGCAGGTAACATGGGTGAACCGACCTGTAGCGTCTTTACTCCCTCGGGCAGCTGGTCATTGCGGACCTTCCACGCCTGGATGGTTTCCTTGACAGAAGGAAGAGTCTTCAGTGTGATGGACTTGTCCGACTTTTCGTCAAACCATGTCCGTATATTGATCACTTTGGTCTGGTAGAACCTGTGAAGGGAATTCGAGAGTAAACAGATGGATTGAGTCTTGATTGGAGTGAGCGTGCTGCTCACAGTTTTGCGATATATTTCGGTATCTTCAACTCCCAATGGAAGGGAGATTTGGACCTCGCCAGATGTCAGATAGTTAGGAATTTCCGGACCTAGGACACCCTTGGAGAGGTAAAAGTAAAGTTCTTCAGGCAGTCGCTGGCCGATCAGCTCATGCATATCGGACGGGGCGTTCTCCGAATCCATAGGCGCGACCTTGCCATCCACGTCCATGATCACATGGTGCTTCACCGTCATGAACGCACGCTTGTAAGCATCGGCATATTGAAGTTCCTGCACGCGACGGTCCTCTTCGAACTGAGCACATAGAGCCAGTGCATTTCGGCCCGCTTGGTTGAATATCGGAAGAGCATCACGAACGCTGACGCTCTTTCCCGGAAATGTTGGGTTTTCGAAGCCCGGGAAAGTTCGCAGGAACGATGAGCCCAATAAAAGGCAGAAATCCAGGAACTGCTCATTTGATAGCCTACCCATTTCATCTTGGCAGGTTTGTTTGGTAACCCAGAAAAACTGAGAAGACTCGATATCCATCCGTGTGATTAGTTTGTCGATGTCGAAGAGAAGTGCTTCAGAGGGCCCAAAGACTGCATCGATGACGGGGTTGGAGCCCTTGGCAAGATAGGAAAGCTATCAGAGATGAGAAGTAAGAAACCGAGCCGTTGCAAGTCAATTTCTCCGATGGTCGCTTTCTTACCTGAGCTGCGGCACTGTACGGCGCCACGATGAAATCAACACCATTTTGGTACAGGATGCGCTGCAAAAACCTGTAAAGGGATTCAGGTCGCGGTGTGCCTGGAGTGGGCGGAGCGTTGTCAGCGCAAACCAGTAAACAGGAATAACGAGGATGCAGAAAGGGTGCCTTACCCGCGCCACTAAATGCGTCGACTACCTGATCCGCCTGTTGTTGGTCATAAAGCTCCCAGGCTTGTTCAAAAGCTCGCAATGACTCTGTCTGCACGTGTGGTCGCTGGTCCTTCTTCCCAAACTCTAGGCCGTTGAAGACGAAAAGACATGCCACACCCGACTCCTTGAAACTCTGTAACTCTCTCTCGATATTGGTCTTCAGCGCAAACGGGAAACCGCCCAGAGCGACCAGTAAAGGCTCGCGGGTCGAGTGGTGGAGAAGGTGCTGGGAAATGTAGTGCGACGCATCGATGCCGACAACAGCCCCTTTGAGAGCGGAGAGAGGAAGGGACTGGGTGCGGGCAGAGGCCCATTCATCAAGTGGCCGGACTAATAGTGAGAGAAGTGATGGCAGTCAGCTTCATCCAGTTCGCCCACGTATGAGCTCGGAGGGGTCTGTAGGAGTCGCCTTACTCGGCATGGCTTAGAAGCTGGAGCTGTCAGTCACGGAAGAGAGATGAATGACCCAATGCCTGGCATGGAGAGCCCGAACAGGGCAGGAGGGGGAAAAGACTAAAAGGGGAAGAAACGAGCGAGTGAGGGAGAAGGGAGAGTACAGAAAAGACGAATTGCCCAAGAAGCGAGGTGCCGCTCAAGCTCCGCATGCCTTTGCGACAATTTGGGTTGAGCAATATTGAATGAAATCACGGGGCGGAGATCAATGTTTCCGACATGCACTCTATTATTTACGGAGTACAATCAGCTACCCCACAACCTATGTCAAATACTTCAGACACATTCGAGGTTGCAATCTCCTTGATAGGTCGATGCTATATCTATTGCGTTCATACCATGCGCGTCAGCTCGTCTAGTTGACAAAGGCATCTTATTTCAGTCATCCATGCCAAATATATATAGGTTGACCAGCATGCAGATAGACTGATATGACAGGTATCAACACCCTACGTCGAGAGCTCAATCGTTCTTAGACCCTCGAAATGAAGTGATAACCTATCCTCCTGAATATTTTTTTAATAACATGTGACTTATTCCATGCGACTACCAAGGACCACTGGACAATTCCCGTGTCCAAGGTCGCAGTTAGCAATGACTGTGAAGTATTCGCCCTGGAGCTGATCGCTTGAGAAGAAGCTGATGAGCACGCGATGGCTTTTCATAAACAGTGCACTGGCAGGAAGGGGGTGAAGTACATCATGCACACTTCTCAGAGGTCGAGCTGCAAACATGACAAGACACGAAGTCCACCAGCAGCTTTTCAACGGCGGTGGTCTGTTGACCTGCAGAGATCTGGAGATTCGACATCAGATGATGACCAATGCCTCATGGCACCTCGAATGTAAGCAGCAACAGCAACTGCTGTGCAGACATTCTCGATATGTGTCATTGACTCATCGTGCTAATCTGTGGGAATGAATTGCCATTAATGGGTCCCCTTAGGGTATGAATTCACCAAACCAAGCAGTCAATCAAAGCTCTGCACGAGGTTTGGTTTCAAAATCCAGCTAAAACAGAGATATCTCTCGTTGGCAGAAGTTGAAGCCACTCAAACCGTCCTACGAACACGATGGAGATATGCCTTGGCATAAGGCAGTAGTGGTATCACGACAGAATAGTCATTACTCGCTCACGTACTACTTACTATCTCACTCAGTACCCCATAGTCCTACGCCAAGAGACCAACCAACTGAATTCCTAAAGTGATTCTGTTCAACAATAGCAGGCTGGCAGCATCACTTTGCCCCGGTCCACAGGCGAGATAAGACCGATAGGATCAAATCTAAGTCGATCGCATAAGCTCGGCCGGCAATGTAGCCTTAGGTCCCGTATCTAGAACTAGAACATATCTCTCGGCTATTTCACTACATAGTTCCCGTGGGTTCACCATTCCATAGTTCTGACATTATTCGCAAGTCTTTCACCACCTGTCCGCCTGCGACATTATACGTCTATCTCCAGCTAGATCAAAATGGAACAGACTTCCGCGGTGGGACCGCCTATTGAACTCCCCATCATCGACATCTCCAACCCCAACGACCCCAATGTGGGTAAGGCCATGCTCGACGCAGCCGCCAAGTACGGCTTTCTGTACGTTGACAGCAAAGGGACCGATTTCGCGGCCGGGGATGTGAATAGAGCCTTTGAGCTGGTAGATTGCACCCCCATCGACCGTCCATCAAACTCATGGGTTGACATAGCCTTAGTCGAAAGCTTTCTTTGCCTCTCCTGCTGAGGAGAAGGCCACTTGCCGTATTACTCCTAATGTTTGTCCTACCCGAATTTCAACATATATCGACCGTTAAATTGACGCTGATGCTGGTCTCTTGCAGAATCGTGGCTGGTCAGGCATGCACATTGAAACTCTTGATCCAGAGCATCAAAGGGTAAACCACTCCCTACGACCTTGTACACCTCTCAGAACGCTGACTGAAGTGCGCCTCATGGCGCATGCTATAGACTGGTGATTTTAAAGAGTACACCCCTAGACCCGGATCGCGATACTTCTTCGACTTGTTCTCACCAGAAACTACAGGGCCATGAACTTTGGCGAATTCAAGGATGGGAAAGCGCAGCAACCCCTCCCCCCATCGCTAGCCCCGCACGAGGCCGAGATTGGCCATTTCGCCTCGCTCTGCAACAAGACCTGCAATCGCATCCTGAAGCTACTAGCCCTCGGCCTCCAGGTTCGAGATATTAACCAGTCATTCCACGCTTTCCGCTAATATCGCACAGATCCCGAACGACTTCTTTACATCCCGCCATGACCCCAGAACGGTCCCACAGGCTGCATCCTCCGCTACCTGTACTACCCCTCGATCTTCTCGCCCGCAACATCCTCCTACCAGCACGACGTCGACGTACGCGCTGGTGCCCACTCCGACTACGGCAGTATCACCCTTCTCTTCCAGCGGCCCGGACAGCCAGGTCTTGAGATCCGGACGCCAGATGGCTCCTGGGCTCCTGTCCCCGTGCAGCCGGGCAACGCAGAGGATGCCAGTGCCTACCCGTTCCCGCCTATTCTGGTAAACATTGGTGATCTGCTGAGCTACTGGACCGACGGTCTACTCAAGTCGACGATCCACCGTGTCGTGTTCCCCTTGTCTGAACAGCGTAGCCCCAACCCGCAGGACAGGTATAGTATCGCTTACTTCTGTCATCCGGTGGACACCACGGAGTTGGTTCCCGTACCCAGTGAAGCTGTCGTCGCTCATCGCGAGTATTGCAAGAAGAACGGCATTACCAATGAACAGGTTGGCTTCGGTGGCGGAGCAGGGAACATGGCGCCGGGGAAGCGGGCTTTGACGGCTGACGAACATCTCGAATCGAGACTGGCGGCCACATACGGATTCAAGAAAGAGTGACGTTGTCAATATGGAGAGGTGGCTCCGCGTGGAGCTTGTTGATCTAAATCTCATCAGGTCTACTCTTGATTTACCCTAGAACTGCTTCAGTACAACCGCTTCGTGTCAGTTTTCAAGAGTGTAGGAAGTAGATAGTACGTGGTCAAGTTGGGAAAGAAACCAACAGTGTGAGATGCACCGACATCAATCAATCAGTTGAACAGGCAACTGCATGCCCTGTATATCTTACACCGCATATGGCACTCGTTGGCTGAGCTGAGGCAAAGAGAGAGGGCAATATGGGAAGTTCAGTTCAAAAGATCGCACCAGATTTATTGGCGTTCAACTAAGACAAAGGAAAATCGTGATAAAGATTAAAATTCAGCGTCACCAAATTGTAAGTAGAAGACAATGGAAACAAAACCAATGAGTTGACTAGGACAAATATGCAGAATCATGAGCGCTAGAGGTATTCCATGTAGGGCATCAGGCCCAAAGTCAAAGAGACAAAATAGAAAAATGCGTAGACCAAATGATAGAGGGTAAACCGTTGCAAAAAAGGCATAGACGACATACAAAAGGTATCTTTATGATGAGAGGTAACGCCGCCAAGTTCTGAAATGCCATGCATGGGTAAATAGAACCTCGCCAAAAGTGTGGGAAAGACACTGGAAATGGGTGACAAATATGACGCTATGCAGGCCAGAATGCAATATTGGTAGTGGTAATTCCATCCATTCATATCAGGGCGTGGTGTGGCACCAATGACGATGATAAACCCACGCTGCTTTTTGACAATCTTTGCTGCAATATTTGGTGCGGCGGCAACGGCGGCACTTTGCGAATTGACGCTGAAACTCCTCCCACTTTCCGCACTTGTAGTATGCACATTGCCTGATACCTCCTCTGGATTCGTCCTTACGGCAAAGATTCCGCATGACCACGCAAGCCCAGTATTGCATATCTTTTGAGTGGTGACGGACGGTGAATTTCTCAACCAGAGGGAAGATGTTGACATCATCAGGAAGCAGATACTCGTCCTCTTCTTCAGGAAGGTCAATTGGCGATGTTCCTTCCTCTAGCATTTGAAGTTCGCGATCAATCTTGAGTTTCGGGACGAAATGAGAATGCTGGAAGTAGGACCGGAGGTTGCAGTACTTGGAGACATAAGCCAAAAGTTGGAGGGACATGAGAACGTCCTCGTCCCTAGGCATAGTTGTCAAAACACCATGAGCGGCCGTGGTTGTTCGATCGCGAAAGTATAGAGAGTAAGGGCTTGGAACAAGAGCCGGGGAGTTGGCGTTATCAGCTGCCTGGGTAGGGGATAACCCCAGAGCGGCGTTATTTTGGGCGTTGTCGGTATTGATCATGCTGCCGTCCACTGTGGAACGGTGTGTAATGTTGAAGGTCTCGGCTTCCTGCTCTTCGGAAGGATCTGTTACTGTGAGATCGTGAGAATCGGAAACGCCGCCTAGTATCGTATCTCTCTCGCCGACGTCATCGATGTCCATTCTGTTCTGCAGTCCAACGATAGGCTCAGCTGCCTCTGTGGAAGCAGGATCCTCATCCATCGTAGAACCGTCTCCGTTTCCATCATCGGATTCGCCCGATGCCGACAGCTGCTGTCTCAACGACGGACGTTGCCTCGCAATTGTAGCCTGTGCGCTGCTTCGAGGCTGTACAGGAGCATTGGGGGTAGTCGGAGAATCTGGCTGAGAAGTGAGTCCGGTGTGGAAGCCAGGAAGCATGCTCGGTAACCGCTCATTATCACGCACGGGCCGCAGACCGAAGCCATCAGCAGCGTCCATCGAAGGCAATGCTGTGGCCAAAGGCTGCATTCTGTGTCGGTGGTTGCCATGCGCAAAGCGGCCGTCGTTTGTTCTATGGTGGTGTAGGTCTTGTCCGAAAGTGCTTCTCTCAGGGGGGAGGTCATCGGGACTCGGGGCGGAGAGGCAACATCCAGCACGTTCGAATCAGCGACATGGTTTTCCTGGAAGAAAGGTTGGGGTGGAATTTCGATACTGGGAGGGGGGCGTGGCGACGAGAGATTCGTTGTTCAGCTGTCGATGACTGTTCCAGGAAGGACGAACGTCCAGATGCATCATTTGATGTTGGCACAGCTTTCGAATGATGTCTGGACGACTGTCTTTGAGACTCGGAATCGGCTCGGGCTCGTGCCTTGTCGACAACCTTGATATAGTTATCCAGGATCGTTGCAATTACCGGCACCATATCGGCTTCGACAACCCTTGTTCTCACGCTTTCTGAACCTCTCACTCCGATATTCACAACACATTGAAAGGCCAGACTCCACTTCCACATCTCCATGAGGTCCCTGCTCCGGCCTTCTTTGAGGATGCACACGAGTCTTTCAATGCCGCCATCGACGGTGAGAATATCGCGAATACGGGCAGATGATGTAGTGAGATATGCAAGATGATTGAGAGAGTTTATGAGGGGTAGTGTTGATGTGCAATCGAGGGCTCGCCGGTCATATAAGGTTGTCGTAATATTGACAGAGGCCTTGTTAACATTGGGAATGCTGAAGTTCACCTCCCGCATGATGGACAGGAGTTCGCAGGATCCGAGACGGTAGAAAGAGCAGTCGTTCGAAAATGGGAATCTTGCGTAGCTCGATGGAAGGTCAGCGTACGCTCTCAACCCCTAATGCGGACGAAAGCGTACTTGGGATGAAGATGGTCGGAGGAGCAAGAAAAGGACCGAGAGGCTTGTCGAATTTTGTGACAAAATCATGCGGTAAATAGGATAATGCAAAGATGAACCAAATAGGCTTAAGAGGCCCGTGGATGGACGGGAGATGAGGAAGCTGAAAAGTGATGGAGAAGAGGACAGTGAAAGGGAGTTTTGATCGAGCCAAGACCAGTCCTTTCAGTCAGAGCCTGATGGTGGCCGCGGGCGGCCACGAGATGGATGGTTCAGATGAGATTGCAAAACAAGAGTCAGGAGTGAAAGAAGGACCAGAGTCAAATATAAGGCATCAACAAGAATTGGGCCAATATGTATAAACCAAAATAATGACAGAAATGAAAGTCCAAGAGCTGGAGGATTTGAAGTCTGGCGGAGGATTTGATTAAGTGTCGGAGAGGGGGGCAAAATCAAGAAGAGGAGAAAGTGAGAGAGAGCGAGTGAGCCAGGGAGCGTCTGACTATGAAGCCGAGTCGGGCCAAAGAGCCTAAGCGGAGACTGGGACCGAGAAGGGGTTTTTGTTTCATGAATAGCCAGCAACCCCCAAGGTACTATCTATAAACTATCTGTCTACTCTTTTCGCACTCAAGTCGTTGACGGAAGACTCTTCATTTGCTTGCTGATGATCTTAGATACGCTGACTAGTGATTTCTGTCTCTTTCCTCCACCTGCGATGAGTCGGCATGTACGGCGGACTATAACTACGATGCGGACCTTGGGGTTCTTTACTATTTGCCACATGTATTACCTATTGCCACTACCGCCACATACGGTAATAGGTACTCATATACTAAAAATACTAAAGTATTGATATCGAATCATCGTCTAGTAGGTTATATCGATACCATAGTATCCGATGTCGAATCTTCACCTAACAGGGGTATCCGGAAATGGTCTGGGACAATTGGATCGAGATGAATTCATACTTCATGCGGTATCACGAAGTCAAGAAGGTCAAGCTGGAAAAGGACCTCGATGGCCGGCCATGTGAGGTACGTGGACAATGCTGTTACGAGGCATGTCTGCTTTGAGGTCTAAGAGGAGCTCGCAAAATCTCTCTCCAGCGTTATCCGAAGATCTTTCTGTTGGAAGGCACTACCCTGCACAACTGACTCGCGAACAGTTCCACTAATACCCTGCTAGTATGTGTCATGATGCTTGATGCTACTGGACGATAGACTGACGCTCTGGAAGAACCCCAACGGAGGCTATGCCACATCCCTTCTCGTTCAGGATGATCTGGTCCTGGTGATCGAGAATGAAGAAAGCCCTATCGAGCGCAGGACCGTCGACCATATTAAGGAGCTAGATGGCCCATATCATCTCGACGCAGCAGCTGTCTGTCTGCCCGGTTCGGCCATTCCCGGTGAAATGCAGCGTGTCCAGCGACACGCTGCATTTCGAGGCTGGCGTGTGCCTCACTACGTCGTAAAGTTGCAAAAGTCCATGATCCGGTTTCTCAAGGCGTTGACGCCCGAGCGGCCCGTCGAGCGAAATAACGTGCGCCATGCTAATCCCCTCTGCAAGTGTACCGTGACTGACCAGATTTTCCGCAGTTCTTCATCCAGCTCGATGATGGCCACCACTGGTCTCACCGGTGGGGATCAGAACAGCACTGACGTTGCTTGTGCATACTATCAACCTACCATGTAGCGGAACGTGCGACAGCTAACAGTATGGGTTCAGCATGGGCTACGGCACAGCCGGGGTTGACCGCCAACGAGATCCATTTTCGATCCGAGCGACGGACCTCACGACATCTACCCCGTTCGAGGGCCACGTTACGGTCCGCACCTATTTCGAGCCGATCAGCAAGATCGTGAAAGCCTTTTCATCTCACGACGCTTGGCCGAGATGATTCGAAACCGCGATGAGACCATGTCGATATTCAAGGGAAGGCGGATTGGGGTAATATCCTGCTTCCTTACTTGGATGAACAGGATCGGCTGCAGAGGGATATGTGTGGCAAGCAAGTGGACGGACAATTCCCGTCTTCATTCTGTATTCGGATGTGAGACATCGAAGGTTCTGCGTCCCTTTGGACTGACTTATGTCGCTGCTTTCAAATATCTCCAATACTAGTGTTGGTTTATAGTGTAGGCCGGGGGAGTATACACCTAACGACTTGGTACATATTCACAAGAGTAGTTTGTATTGCTGGAGCACTTCTAGCTAGGTAGACCCGACCTAGCAGTAGCTCTGGACGTATTTATTTAGTAGCAAAAATAAAAAGGATTTGGGGTGAGCCGGGATTGAACCGGCGACCTTACGATTAAGTGACTGAGTTCAACTTCAGTCGTACGCTACTCCCAGCTGAGCTATCACCCCATCTAATTGTTTAGACATGAGAAAGTATAACTGACAAGTCTGGTAAGTTGAAAAGGGAAAAATAAGTATTAAACTGCAAAAAGGACAACTTGGGGTGAGCCGGGATTGAACCGGCGACCTTACGATTAAGTGACTAAAGTGTAACTTCAGTCGTACGCTACTCCCAGCTGAGCTATCACCCCATTTGATGGTTTATCGTTGGATTTTTTTCACTAGGTGCCAGAATAAATATATTGACTAATCTAGCCAACTCCATAACTAACCTAACTAGTCAACTAGTTATTGATTTGTGCTCAAGGGGATGGTCTGATTCTACTATACCCTACCCCGAACTATTTCATGTCCTATGGTCTGAATAGTGGCAGTAACTGTTATTAGGCTATAGGGCTACCATGCTGTCAGCCTGTACTCGACCAAAATAAGATGAAAATGGGAAAGAAGTTGGTATTTGGCCATGTGCCAAATCATTGAACTGAACCATCGCCCTGTTTGTTTGGGGTTCAAATTCATTATAATACTATCTCTTGTTGACTGCCTAACCTAGAAGGTAATAAGTAGCTACTGATGATGCCGACTAACTCTCCCTTCACAAGGTGAACCAATCATTATCCTCCAAGGACTCATGATAACTATGAATTAACTCACACCTCAAGCCCTGCAGAATGTTCCAGAGCTCTTTCAAGAACCTACTCATCCCAGCAAATAGGAACCTCGCTTCCTTGTTAACCTGACACTAGTGGCACACTCTCTTCTCCAGTACTCCATTAATTGGGGTGGATGATCGTATATATATCATTCTCGATCATCTGTGTGTTACAGAGGTCTCTTCCTCTTCCGGCTTGGATCAGTCGCTTGTACATCCCCGAAATGTTTTTTTGCCTGAGTCTCCTTAGCACCACCTTCATAGTAGAAAAGTCTGCTTTCCTAAGAAGCTATGTCCCACTATGGGATCGTCCCTGATGTCAAAAATTTAACTTGTGACGTTGGTCCAGAACTTTGACAGTTCTGTTGAATTGACGGTTGCCCAATTCTCCACTGGTCTGAGATTTCAATCTTTCCCCCTTGCAGCCCTCGCATTTTAGTCGTGGGATGATGAGGCGAGATGATTCTTCTATCGTCCATCTTCTGGACTGTTTTCGGCAAACCATCGAGCTCCTCTTCCGAGCGGCAACCCATAGAGGGAATTGAATCAGCTGACCTTGCTGTTCTACTTTCCTCCACACAACCTCGCCCCAACATGTCTCTGCGATAGCAGACATTTTTTGACGCAGATCGCGAATAGAATTATCGTGTGGCTCTTGGCCGTCATCTGTCCAGAGGTGAACATAGATTAGTGTTTCCTCTCTGCGGCAGATCTGTCAAACATGAATGGATTCTGGGACGAGGACCCGTTCTCCTGTGGTAGATAAATGGTTGGGTTGCTTGGGTCGTCGGTCTCTTGCTGTACTTATGGATCCGTGATATAGAAGGTTGGATTAAGGGGATGGTGTGCTATGTAGGGCAGCGACGGATCCACTGGAACTTAGGAGAAAGTGAGCTGGTCACTCGGTTTCACGCTGTCTCCAAGCACTGGTCTCCTACACGGACGGACTCACTGAACTGCCCTTCCAATTTCCAGGTGTGTTGCGGCGATGCTTTTCCACCGCGAGTCAGCACGCATCCGAAGACGCGAGGTCTGGTATGATATACGATGCGGGAGACTCCTTTCAAGCGTCCGTATCCGGGGCATGAGACGCTGCAGGACTTCATACCATCTTCATTCAAGACATGGCTTGGATTCTCTAGCTGAACATGTGCAAGTAATTGGAAGAGGTGAGAGTCCTATCCTCTCCGTGGTTGGGTCAGCATACGAAGGGAGGTTCGGTCAGTATAGAGCTGTTGGGTGAGGTCCATAGAAGAGGTGCCATATGTATATAGGTCAGAGGCGCAGTGGGTGCCAAGGACAGGGAAGAGGAAGAGGGAAAAGGATAACGCAAAAAGAATGAGCTAATGAGTGAATGGGTTTTGGGAAATGGTGGTTGCCAGAGGGTTTATGACTGCCTCGACAGGAGGTGAGAAAATAGGGCCGCTTGAATTGCTCGGGTACACGGTGGGAGGAAACGCCGGAGTACGTACATTATGGAGCCATCGAAAGACCTATAGATAAAAGACCCTGCAGGAGCTAGGAGCGACTGATACTGAGCTTAGGCACATGGCGTATCGATATTTTTGTATCGGAAAGGAGACGTAGTCGTAATATATACTTAGGCACCTTTCATATTCCCAACAAAGACTTACCATGCTGGTGTTGCATAGGCCCGTAGTCCCCCTGGACCCATATTACTACTAATCCTGCTCAAGAATTGTCTCATACACCGACATCAAAAAGCTTAGTTGCCAGACGTTGCCAAACACCTGTGTGCCCTGTGACCTGCAGCAAAAAGCCACCAAAAAGCACATCGGATCGCACGTATGTAGGCAATCAACATGTTTCCTCACCAGATGACTTTGAGCCTTTGTTTTTATACTCTGTCCTCACTACTCCCATTGATTTAGGTATTTTGATACTTTGTATCGGACTCGTGCTGTCCACTACCTACCTCAGATACCTACATTGTTTAATGTGATGGAAAGCTGTGTAAGTCCTCTGCCTCGTGAGACGCTATTTTTCGTCCTTTTATCATCAAACGGGGTGATAGCTCAGCTGGGAGTAGCGTACGACTGAAGTACTCAGTCACTTAATCGTAAGGTCGCCGGTTCAATCCCGGCTCACCCCATGTTCCTTTTTGCCTCCTTTTCTTTTTTTGTTTTTGGTTATATACTTTCGCTTTATTCTGATTTTACCATTTTCTTTCTTTCTCCATCTCCTTCAATCACTGTTCTATTCCACCAATACCCTGTTATTGACTTTATTTTTAAACGGTCAAGTACCGGTAAGCCTTAGAAACGCATAACCTCCCACCGATCACATGATTATTGGGAATATGAGCGGAAGCCCATTATCAAGTCCATCTCATACAAACTAAAAGTGTCTAGCTTTACGTCAAATGGGGTGATAGCTCAGCTGGGAGTAGCGTACGACTGAAGTTACACTTTAGTCACTTAATCGTAAGGTCGCCGGTTCAATCCCGGCTCACCCCAATTCTTTTTGCCCATTTTTTTGGCCTCCATCGTATATGGACAGCAAGTCGCTTGATAAATGTACCAAGATAAAGGGCCCGCCAGGAGTATCTGAGCTAGGTATCAGCCCTCTCGTTGACGTTGACAGGCAGCAGACTTTCGCAGCGTTCAAGGTACTTCACTTCATCCTTCTCTATAGGTTGAATGATGCTCGTCGTCCTACCCGTCAGGGAAGTGCTCGCAAGTACCTCTTTACACGTTCAGCATAGTCTTCACTGACGACCATACACAGTGAAGCGCCGACAGCCATCCGGCGTCTAGGCAGGCGGAACTAACCGAGGCTGGAACTTGACCAAGAAACCTACACAAACTCTTTGGGCGGTTCTTCATTGGAATCAAGGTAGACCTAAAAGAAGCTGTGGAATATTTCTTATCCATATATGCTTTCAGATGCACGATCAGACTTAAGCGCGTTTATATTTAGAAATCCGTCATGTACGGACCAGCCAGCTGACAAGGATCCATTTAGCCGCCTATCAACACAGTAAAAATAATACAAGCATTCACATCTGGAGTCCAGAATGCAGAATTCAGCTTGTGCCTCGTACTATTCTCGCTCATACAGGCTGTTATTCCTGCGTCATGCCCAAGAGACTATTTCTACTTCATGCCTCAAAAGCCTGATGGGATACTGAGCTGTCCTCAGATCGACCAGGCTGTTTGATTTGTTGTTGGCCTTATACGGGGCCGGCAATTGTTGATACCCGTGCAATTCCAACATGCAAAAATTAAATAGCGTTCTGTGCTCTGGTTCTTGTCTGCATTGCCCAAGGCCTCCTGGCCGCTCAATTGCAGAAAACAAGAGATGTACCGGTCGAGTCATGATGAAGGTGCTTGCTGGATCATGACACTTAACGTTTATGAGTATGCGTGAACGGGACGGGCTTGGGAAAACAGTCCTGATTCTCAGATAGCCAGCATCGGGCTTGTTCGCTGGGCCAGGAGTCCTAGGACCTGGGTACCTCTTACTGGGAATAGTGTATGTAGTAGGAGCACTTGAGGTTAGTCAGGATTCAGGAACGACCACGTTGAGCAATGAGCGATCATTCAACAGTGGAGTCAGATCCTGCATTTCAAGAGTCGAAGTGGATAACAGATTTTCAGTATGGAGTCAAATTTAAATGGGACCCGCTGCAGCGTGCGGGCTTGCATCTCGGGGGCACAGTATGCCAAGGCGTTCAAAGTGCAGTTTTTAGTAACAAACCTCTTCAACTGAAATAGTATACTAGAATGTAAAGTCGGGTTATGATCGATTATGATGACCGCTATCTTTGTGTGAGGAGATAGATGGTTCCCCCCGTGCCCCCCATGCCCTTGCGGAGAGAAACATGAAAGGGTTGTAACATGGAGCACCACTAGCCCATCTCTGATCAGGTCTCCGAGGCTATCTGTTTTTATACATTCCTACCTCCGGACTTTTAGCAAGTATTTTCTGCATGATCCAGGGGCCTGACACCGCAGAAGAAAAAAAATATTCGAGAACGATGCCGAATGTGAAGTTGAAGGAATTATCAGTTTTGATACCTTATCTAGAAACTGTTTATATAGTTGTTAGCTTTCTACTACAATAAAACGAGACCAGAAATAGGCACTATTTTCATTGAACTTGCCTCGTTTTCCATATCTATCTGGACTTCGAAAGAAGTAAATAATGCTCAGGATCTAGGTTTACTGGAAGGATCGCAAGTACCGTGGCTGCTGATATGACATACATAGGACTATCAGAGACTATCAGATTACCCGCACACTACAAAGTATGTGCCTGTCTACTCGCCTGTAGCGTCATTAGCGTACATGCCAATTTGAATAATGAAATATGCACATAACATCATGCTCCAATCAAAATAGCCATCATCTCCTATCATTAAGTCGATATTTTCTATTATCATCACTGCAATAAGATCAATTACATGATCCGTATTTTCCTCAATTTCTTCGGAAGACTAAGGTAGAATGTCTCAATCTCCTCCACTTTGGGAACATCAATCACCAATCAATGACCTCAAACCGCACTGGCTGCATCTTAGTGACCGCAATACCTTGATAATTTACCCATACAGATTACAGGACAACCATCTTCTGTACGGGAGCACGGAGTACGATACCTTATCCATACATGGCGCGGGTCCAGATACCCAATCAAGGTTTGCTGCGGTTTTTTTCCGTATCCATCCAGGAGGCTCCGTCTATTACCAAGCAGTTCATGACTCTGTTCAGCTGCTTGCTACTGCAGGTGCTGTCTGGGCCTAGCGAGGCTCGAGCATGTACAAGTATCCCTTCTGCAAACCATGTCCGGCAGTGAGTAGCTACTATTTAGGTGGCTATCCAAGTAGTGATTCAACGACACAAAGCGTCGCTGCATCGACGGTGTAGATACTACTATCCAACTATGCAATCAATTCACTGCTGTCTACTGCTGATCCGTCATATCGATCGTCATCCCAAACAATACCTGAGTCAATATGACTGCAGTAATCAGTGCATCTGAGCCCTTTTGTCGACACATTCTGAACGTGAAGCAAACCGAAGGGGAAAGATTTAATGACAGAACGACGATAGACTTAACACCTACGATGTCTATTGTGTAATGGATTGATTATATTACTGTTACCTAGAGTATGGGACTTCGTAGTGCCGGTGGTAGTAGTGAGGTACTAGTTCCCCTTAACTGCTTGGTAAGTAGCCATTATTGCTGTTGCTACCGGGGTGTCATCTCCAGTCAACTTGTTTCCCCTACATTAACGTTATTATTTTCCTCCTTCCTTTAATCGAACTTTTCCTTCGGGTTTTGTGGCCCTTCTCCTCTGTAATAATAAATTCTCTCTCATTATAACCATACATAATTCTTGCTATCTTTAATACTCTCTTCTTCGGCACGTATACCCCCTGCCTCGTTCAAAGCTCGAACCACTCCTGCCCCGGGTCGAAACTTTCTTCTTCACTCGGTCGCTTCCGCCATAACTCTCGCTCCACACCCAATCAACCCCCTCCTCCGCAGCTCCCTCTCTCTCAACTCTTCCTCTGTCCGTTCCCTTCCTACCGCTGTCTTCCCGCCCCTCTCCCGGTCATCCCAATCCGATCCCCTGGGATTTACAGCGCCGCCTCCTTCGACACCGTTTCACATCCCACGCCCGCCTATTTCCTCAATTACCAAACCTCCCATCCCAGGGACCTCCTTTCCGGTCGAAATGGCAGCCGATATGAGCGGCGAGCAGATGCAGGCCAAGATTACCGCGGCCAGGCGCGAAGCTGAAGGTCTTAAGGACAAAATCAAGCGCAGAAAAGATGAGCTGGCAGATACAACCCGTACGAATCCTTCAAACCATTACCTTCTGCAAAGTTTCAATTCCTGGAGTTGCAGCAGCTTGTTTATTATCATTGCTTTTGCGAATGTCTCCTGTTCCGTTTCGGCTACTGACCCCCCTAAACAGTTCGTCAGGTTGCGCAGAACCAGACCGACACCCTACCTCGCATCGGAATGAAGCCTCGACGGACGCTCAAGGGCCACCTGGCCAAGATCTACGCCATGCACTGGTCAACTGACCGTCGTCATCTAGTGTCCGCCTCGCAGGACGGTAAATTGATTATCTGGGACGCCTACACCACCAACAAAGTCCATGCCATTCCTTTGAGATCATCGTGGGTGATGACCTGCGCTTATGCTCCAAGTGGTAACTACGTGGCGTGTGGAGGTCTCGACAACATCTGCTCTATCTACAACCTCTCCTCCCGCGAAGGCCCGACCCGTGTCGCGCGGGAATTGTCGGGGCACTCGGGATACCTCTCATGCTGCCGTTTCATTAATGACCGTCGCATTATCACCTCCTCTGGTGACATGACATGCATGCTGTGGGATATTGAGTCAGGATCCAAGGTGACTGAGTTCGCGGATCACCTTGGAGATGTCATGTCGATCAGCATCAACCCTACGAACCAGAACATCTTTGTTTCCGGTGCCTGCGACGCTTTCGCCAAACTCTGGGATATCCGTACCGGAAAGGCCGTTCAGACTTTTGCCGGACACGAATCAGATATCAACGCCATTCAATTCTTCCCCGACGGAAACGCTTTTGGAACAGGTTCTGATGACACCTCCTGCCGTCTCTTCGACATCCGTGCGGATCGGGAGTTGAACATCTACCAGGTAAACTTGTGTTCTTGTTTATGATTTCTGCTGCGTTCATAGCTAATGAGACTTGCTTGCTGTAGAGCGATCAAATTCTCTGTGGCATCACGTCTGTTGCTTTCTCGGTCTCTGGACGATTGCTCTTCGCCGGTTATGATGACTTCGAGTGCAAGGTATGTGCACGGTACAATATTCATTGCAACAGGGGCGTAAGCTGACGTTCGCAGGTCTGGGATGTTCTTCGAGGTGACAAGGTCGGTTCTTTGAGCGGCCACGAAAACCGTGTCAGCTGCCTTGGAGTCAGCAATGACGGCATCAGTTTGTGCACTGGATCCTGGGATTCTCTTGTAAGTGCCTTGAAAGCGTTAAAATCTCCCTTTGTTATTCATTTTATTGTTTTTTCTTGTCTTCATTTCACAATTACTGATATTTCTTTTTGTGGTATAGCTCAAGGTTTGGGCCTGGTAAAAGAACAGAATCATCGAGCAAAGATACCCCGTCTCAGTCGTTTGCGATTCCATCATTCGGCTTCTTTTCTATTCATTTTCTGCAACAATAGGTTGGATGTCCGCCGTTGTACGATACATTTTCATATTTTTTGTTTTCCAAGAGCAATGTCCGCTTTTAATCTTCCATCCGGAACTACAAAAGACGTTTGCGGGGAGCCGGACGAGCGAATCACTTGGACCTAGATCAAGGTGGTTGGGTACTTGATCGAGATTTGGAACACTTCAGATGTTGGTCGTGGGGCCAAATTAATGAATCCGGAAATCTAGGTGACAACGTTCGATGGCTGATGTTGTGAGCGCGCTCATATGTTGTCTTGGCTTTTCTTTTCTCTTTTGATGATGACATTGATCTACGAGCCCCCCTAGGATGGCTGGCTGAGGAGTGTTCCCATAGCCTAAACTGACCATCCATTCAAGCACTCCTTTTGCAGTGACCACTGGGTGAGACCGGCAGACACGTCCGCGTCCTTGAACACCTCTTCGTTCTTCTCTTTTCCCTCTTTTCCCTTTGGAGGGATTCTCGCTTGCAAGCCCTATCCTATACCTTGCTCTTTCGTCTGGCATATCCTATTCCCGCCTTTTACATGGTCGCTTTTCTTTTGGTCTTACGGGACTCTTCATTATCTCTGATTTCTATTTCTTTTGCCTATTCATTTTTGATCAGCCCCTCTTGCGCATTGACTTTCTTCCTGCATGTATTCATCTTGCGGCTGACAGGACGGGAGGGAATGTTTTCGAACAGGGCCATGACGTTTTCCTTTGTTTGACTTGTGGCGAATGTTCTCTTAGTTAACTAATTAATCTGACATTACAAAAATCTATTGTTGATTCCAGAATTTCCACGTTTCTTGCGCTAGGGCTGCCGACATCAGGCAGCTCTCGACCTCCTGTCAGCGGGCGGGGCTTGGCTGATACGATATGAGCGGTGAGGGCTGCGATTGACATACTGCTGTATCTGAAAGCACTCATAGGTCTGCTTCAGTTTGGGCTTGTTTCGCACGAGTCTGACAATCTCTTGATACGAGGCATACCGGACGCATCTACATGCCATGTACAGGTCGGGATATGTGAGATTGAGTTTCGGCCTTTAGTTCGAGTTTCACCAGAAACCATGGCGCCATTGGGACGCAGGAGCTTAGCAGCGGACCAAGGTATCATCCTTCCACTAGAAGACATGAGGTTGTGAGAGGTCCCTACGAATGAAATCCAATCAGCTGATGGGCTGCGTGCATCTACCGGTTCGTGACATCAGGTAGCAAGAAGCTACAAGGTGGAGATGTCAAGAGCTGGAAAATGGTTCCACGCATTGGCTGTCTCTTTCCCATCCCACACGGAGCGCTCCAATGGAGAGACCAGGCGTATAGCGGACCACGTTGGAGCGCCTGGGCTGCTTGTAAGTCCCCTATATCCTGCGCTGATAAACTCAAAAAGGCATGGATATGGCCTTGGCAGCCAGCAGCAAATCGAGGCTAGTACGGAGTACTTGGGTGGTGACAAGCGCCGCAACCGTGCCATAACTGAGGGATCTAGTTATGTGTTGTGATTTGAGATGTCATCGGGCTGTTCGGAAGTATCGCCATCGTGATGGCAATGGATCTGCATCTGAAACATCTATCCACGTGGCTGCGATGCCCCTGACGACGGTCATAACAACGTGTAGCGCCAATGAAACAGCAAACAGCGGTCAGTGGACTGATCCTTTGTACCTCCATAATGGGTTAACCTTCATAAGCTTTTGAACTTCACTTTACTCCTTTTTTTGGTATCAGGTGATATAGGAGGGGAGTGGGACATTTCCAGCCATGAGCAGAGGGAATGTTCTTCGCTGCTTCTAGTGGTGTGTGGCATTAAACTTAACCATTCATTGACTAGACTAATCGATTGATAATTGATACATCGAGAACCCAGATGTCGAAGAGCCAAAAGGATGTGACCTGCCAAAAGTGGCTGAGATGGGATCTTCATCACCTGAAACACAGGGCCCCTGGAACACAAACTGTGATTGGCTCCTATTCTTGTTTTGCTTGGGAGCTGCAGCAGAAAAACCTAAGGCACGCTAGTTTTCCCCGCTAATCCCCCAAGCGACAAGAATCGTCGACTGTTTCATCTGCCACTCACTCACGCATCTAGTCTAGATTTCTCCTATCTACGCAGTTCTCTATCTAGACCCTGCAAATTCGGATCCTTTTGGATCCTTGGCCCTTTTGCTACAAGTCCACACTCGAATAAAGCAATCGATCTCCTGATTTAACGCTCAATTGCGGAATTGATCAGCGTGGGTGGTCTGGAGTACTCCGTTCCTCTCGCTCTTGTCACTGGAGCATCTCTCCAGTAGCGGCCATAACTCCGACTGTGGTTCAGGGGAGAAAAGAAACATCCGAGATTCTGAAACCAACCGCAGGCATCCGTCTCGTCATCGTCTTTTGCCTTTCTTGGGGCATAGGGCTACTCCGTACTGCTTATTGTTCTCGTCAATTGCTTTTTTTTCTTTCTCGAATTAGAGTTCTAAAAGGAACTCGAGTACCCTAGCCAGAAGGCAAAACCAAAAAAGGGAAAAAGGAAGCGGCAAAAAGAGAGGGCAAAAAGTGTAATCGTGATCGACTTTCCCTGTCTGCGAGCTGAATTCGGGACACGGATATCAACATCTACCCTTTAAAATTGGGCATTGACCCCACCCTCCTGCTTCATTCCTTTTCGTCATGTCTGCTCAAGACGAGTTCAACAGCCTTGTTGCCAACAACCAGGAGAAGTTCTCCACTCATCCTGAGGACCGAGATAACTCTGATCGCGACTCCGAGCCTGCCTCTGACAACGATACCAACCACGACGACCACGCACACTTCTCAGACTCGGAAGACTTTGACGGTACCGCCATGGGTTCACGGACAACCACATATCAGGTCCCCAGGACCAAGTTCGACGCCAACACTGGGCCCAAGGGTGTCATTGCTGATGCCCAGGCCTTCGAACGTGCGCGCAAGCGCTCCTTCCGCAGAACCCTACTCGGTGCCGCGGGAATGGACTATACGCATCGTCGTTCCAACTCCAAGTCGATCACTGATGATGTCAATCTTCTGCAGAACTCGCCGCCGGATGGCTCTGCCAGCGAAGACGAGGAGCAGTTCATGCGCAAGTGGCGCGAGTCGCGCATGCAGGAGCTGCAGAACCGGAACCTACGACGTACCAGTCCCCGGAGGAAGATGTACGGGTCCGTCGAGACGGTGGATGCGGGGGTTATCTGGATGCTATTGAAAAGGTCTCCTCGGATACGGTCGTGGTGGTGTGTGTGTATGACCCTGAGGTGAGTAGTATATTGGTTTACGCCCCTTTCCCTTGGAGGCTCGTGGAACGCACAACTGACAGTGACCACAGTCCAACGTCAGCTCCCTCGTGGAAGACTGCCTGGATACCATTGCGCGCAGGCAACCAACCGTCCACTTCATCAAGCTGGACCATGAGATCGCCGAAATGGACCACATTGACGCCCCGGCTCTGCTGGCTTACCGAGCAGGTGACGTCTTCGCTACTATCGTTGAGATTCTGAAGCAGATTCCCAAAGGCCGGAGTTGCAGCGCAGACAGTCTGGAAGATCTCCTCAAATTGTATGTTGATTGTCAAGCGTCTGCTTTTCTTTCCATCGTCTGCTAACTCTATACACAGATACCGGATTCTGTAGACCTCCTTTCTTGAAAGTCTTCTCTTCTCCACTTGTCTTTATGTTATGCAATATCATGCGCCACTAGAATGAGCACAGCGGGCGCATCGGGATTCTTGTCGTTTCCTTCTGGTCTATTTTTCATTTTCTCTACAGGATCTTGTTTTGACGTCTATTATCATTTGGTTCCTTCCTGACGAGGCATTACTTTCATTCATGGGCGGATATTTGGTGATGTACTTTCTGGGTTCTCAACGCATCTCGTATCGTGCTGTTTCATTTGTCTCCGGCCTCGTCTGCATGAAACTCTGAGATATCCAAATCGTTTCGGTTTTCAGTTTCTTTTGTTCTTCTGGGCATATGGCGTTCTTGTTTCGATAGACTAATTTTCCTTCAGATATTATCACCTCAATTGATTAGAATTGGGCTTTTCCCTTGATCATGTCTCTTTGTTGTTTCATTAGTCACTAGGATCATTGCTCTCGCCAGCTCCCTACTTCTTGGAAATCTCGCCTGTATGAAGGCCACTCAAACCCAACGAACCTTCATCGAACCAGAGATACAAATCAGGGTAAGTGGGTAGGAAAATAACATGGCCAGGAAGAAATAAGAAGTCAATAAAATAAAAGCACAATTGGAATACGGGTTTAGAAAAAGAAACGAAGAAAAGAAAAAATTACAAGTAGAAAGCGACTACAAAGCCCCCTTCTCTTGTGTAAAGTCCCACAGCATCTTGATCAGGTTGTCCGGAAGGGTATAAAGGTCGACGTGGAATTCGCCCTCTGCAAGCCAGCGGTACCTGTTAGCAATTGTTTCTTGAAGACAAATTCATTCTGAAAAATAAATAACTGGCAAGACGTACGCTCGACATCGTTCTTGGTATATGAGTCTGGCGCTTTGTGGTCGTGTACCATCTGCACGACCTGGAGGAGGTCGTCTTCTCCAAGTCTTTGGAGGCCATCGGCCAATTTGTCCATGTCGACCTGTTGCCGGACGAGGTTAGTTGACGTGTCATCTTCGCCTTAAAAGATCCTCCTTTGATTGGGAAAAGAGAAACCAGGCTCACATTCTTCTCCGTCCGCTTCTTCTTTTTCGATCCCTCCTCGCCTCCTGCGGCGCGTTTCGATTTCACCCCGTTCTCGTCACCGGGTACTGGTCCCGACTCGCGCAGTAAAGCCAACAGCGCTGGCTTGGGGTTCTTGAATGTCTGCAAAGATAAGAGGCATGAGTACAAGCGCCACTCAGTGCAATAGGTCGCGAGAGAACACAAGGGCTAGTACTCACAATGACGTGTTTGGACTCGTAGCGAGGCTGTGCGAAATTCAGGTCGTGCGTGAGGAAGTGTTCCTTATCGGCGGCAGTCAGGCCAATCTGCAGGTCGAATTCACCCCATCCTTCCTCCGAGATTCTGAATGGAGGGTTCTTGAAAGCTGTTGTTTGACGCACTGCGTGTCAGCCTCGATTCCTCGATCGTCCTTTTGCCCTCATGATGTGACAAGAATTTGATAGCATGGCGGTAAAGGAAGCGACGTACTCTGAACAGCCCGGTCCCCGAAACTGGGATGCAACGTGTATGTCACCTTGTCGAAGACGTTCGCCGGCACCTGTTCGCCGTGTTCATTGACGAGGTAGATCTCAATCGACCACGATCGCAGTGGGAATCCTTCAACGCCGGAGTCCTTGTTTCTAGAGTAAGCAAGAGCAAGCGTTAGCATCACCACCAAACCACGAGGCAAAGCCACCAGTTCTATCCATCAAGTCCCGTAGAAACGGAAGCGCGTAGCAATGGCCCGACCACGCGCGTGCGCAATGTATTCAGACAAAGTGTATAGGAAGGCATGGAGAGAGGCATCGCTCTTGCGCAGCTCCGACAGTAGAGTATGAGGGAAGGCGACGTACACGACATGCTGCTCTGTCACCAGCCGAACTGTTCTCTTAACCTACGCGGCAGGGGAAAAAATATCGGCGTCAGCATCATGCGATAGCAGCAAGGTGATCGGTACCTGCGTTAAGCATTGGAAGGTATAACGCAGGAACTCCATGGATCGGGTGAATCGGACGAACTCACATCGGGCATTTTGCCAGCGGGCCTCTGTTAGGCGGACCGTAGATCGGAGGTATCAGGAAGGAAGTAAGAGCGGTCTTTTGTATGGTGTCTTTACTGCAGAGTACTGCAATGGGAGACAAAGAGCTATCGGGCTCAAGGGTCGCGCGAATCAAGGTGAAGCGAGGTTGGATGTTTAGCGCCAAGCCTGCGGAGAAATCAGAAATTCGGACTGAAATGCAAGCGTCCAATGTCGACCAGCTGTAGTGAGCTCCAAGTAAGCTCTACTTTTAGAGACCTCAGGTAAGAATGAATGAAGGAGACAGAAACGTGAGAGGAAAGTAAAGCGTTTTGTGGAAGCCTTCGTCGATGCTGTCAAGTGGGGGAAAGTAGGCAGAGAGCCGCCACCAGAGAGCTGAATACACCCAAGGTCGCTTTCATCCAAACCTCCAGAATGAATCGGAACTCAACTGGCTGTACCACAAAGACTACGAGAAGATACATGTCTTTCGTCACACGACTAAGTCATAGCGATACTGAATTACAAGAACCTCCGCCTACATCCAATGCCTGCAATTGAGGATGCGCAAATGAAAGCAATCATTGCAAGAAAAAGGTTCACAGAGCAGGTCTAATAACTAGGACAATTCGTACATAAACATGGGGTGTATTCATGCGTATATTCGAGGGGATAGTATGTCTATCTACCACCAAATTGGTTCGAACGTCTTAAGGCACGCGATATCACCTGCCAGACGACGAGGGCGCGTTGAATCTGATGCTCGGTCGACTCAGGCTCTCATTGTCACCAGCTTACAGAATCATTCGCGCACACATGTGAAAACGTCGGGGGGAAGGGAGGGGGGGAGAGGGGATTGACAAGAGGATGCTGTGGCGGGGAATAATGGGATTGATCGGGTGATGATGAGATCAGGGACAGGCCATAAGTCAAAACTCATCGAAATAGGATCGAAATTCAATGGTTATTTCAAAAGACACCGCAATCTCCAGGAGCGTGGAGCTGCAGACTTCTTACTGCTGGCCGATGAGCTTCTCGTTCTCCTGCTGGGCCTTCTCGAAGGCTTCCTTGAAGAGATTGGCATCTGTAATGTCTGGTTAGCAAACATTGAATAGACCCCAAGCTTATCATCATCCAGGACTTACTCTCGCTGTTGGCGAAACGAATGGCCAGGGTCTGGGCCTCAGGTTCGCCCTCACTGACGTCCGCAGTTACGCTCCAAACCCAGCTGCGGTCACTGCCAACATTGGGCTTGAGCTTCATGTCGGGGACAACTGCATAGCCATTAGCCTCAACACAATCCACTCACTGGGTAGTAAATAGAGACTAACCGTAGTGGTTAGCGCAGACCTTGAGGGTCTTGTCTCGGCGCATCACTAGCCGGGTCTTCTGGTTCTCCTTGTGCTTCAGAAGCCTAACATCACCGGTACCGCGCTCCTTCCATTCCTTGCTCTCAGCGTCGAATCGGAATAGCTTGGCACGCATCTTGAAAACCTGCTCCTCAAGTTCTTCGTTGGTCTTGGTCTCGACCTTCTCCGTCAGGCGAATAACGGGCTCGAAATGGACATCAGGGGACTCGGGCGCCTCATCCTAGGTTTATCAAAAACTGTCAGTTCATAGCTTCTAGAGCACGTATCAAGTTCATCTCGCTCTAGGGAAACAGCTTTCCAAGATGCTGTCTATCACACGCGGTAAAAAAGGAAAGAAATTGAAGGAGACGACCGGAGGAACGGCCACCGCAACAAGACAACCAGCAACAAGCAGCATAGCAAGACAAACACCAGTGTAAAAAAGCAAACTCACCTCTTCTCCACCCTGCTGAGCCTTAGAAGAACCAGAAGGCTCATCCTTAGCATCTTCAGCCTCCTCCTTCTTCTCCTTCTTGGGACCACCACCGAACATGGAGAAAACGCTGTCAGATGTCTTGGTGGCAGCATCCTTAACAGTGTCAACCGCAGCCTCGGTCACGGACTTTTCTTCCGCAGGCTTGGACTCTTCAGTGTTGGCGGCGGGGGTCGTCTCCTCAGGCTTCTGAGCCTCAGGAGCGTTGGTGGCGGGGTCAGGCTTGGTTTCAGCGACGTCAGACATGGTGGAAGGAGCTGGATTTCTAGAAGTTTTGTAAGTTGGACATTGCAGTTTTGAAGTGAAGGTCTATTTACCTATTATTCGGATAAGAGAAAGTTTTATTTGTGGTGGAAGGCAGTGAAAGGAAGAGGCAAAATATGTTTTGATTCAGGGCCTGCAAAAGGTGGGGAGTTCGTCCCGCTCACGAAATAATCATGCCTGGCCCCCAGCAGTGCAGCCTAAGGCTACAATTACTCCACTAGTGCCACCGCTCAGGGCCATTCCTACAGAGTGCAAAGCACAGATGATCTATGACAGTCCTAGAATTCCCAGCCTGATTTGATGCGTGAAAAGCGTAAAGTAGCAATTGTTCCAGTAATTGTCATCAGATAAGCCATATTCTCATAACCCTGTTAACCCATGCTTATGACTATCCGTCCGTCCCTATCGCCTGAAAGATTTCCCAAAACAAAGATAGCAGGACAATCGAAAAAAAGAATAAAGAGTAATGAACTATAGACGCCAAATTTCGCCGACAGCAGTATTTATGAGGAATCTTCCAGGTGTGCGGAAGCTTTTCGCCTCATCAGACCCTTTACCCTTCTCTGAGCCCTATCCAAAGCGTCGCATTTCCTAGCGTTTCGCAGTTGGCGCTTGAGGGCCTCAAGGTTGAGACTTCGGGCAGAGGTGCTGACTTTGTTCCATGTGTCGCCCATGAACCCTCTGGCCTCTCTGCTGAATCTGTCTGTGTGACTCTGTATCACAGATGAGGCTGCCAGAAATGGTTGCACAGCACTGCGCTTCACGACCTGTGAAAGTTGCTTTGACGTAGACATAACTGCCTCCCTCGTCTCCAGAGAAAACTGCGCAGAACCTTGCCGAATTATATCAGCTTCATGTCGCAAGAAATGCGCTTTCTTCACTACATCTCCCATCATCAACTGCAAATCGGTGCATAACCGACTATATGCCCCTGACAGGCCGGTGTGTGCCGAACTCAAGTCTCGCGCAATTTGGGATGAAATAGCTTGCGCCGCTCGCTTCCAGCTCGCGATCTTGAGCCAGGGTGTCCCCAAATCAACTGATGTGGTCTGGTTGAGGAATGGCTTTGTGTCTGCAGTGATGATGATGTCGACAACACCATAAGCATCTCCCCTGTCCAATCTGAGCGTGTAGACTCCTTCGAATAGCTTGGAGAACTCGTAAGCAAGAGAAACATTGTTCCTGCTGATTTGGACATCGAATTTCGGTTGCTGCTTCATACTGAAGAACGTACGCGGAGGCTTTAGAACAAGATGACAATCACCGACTACCTGTATCTGGAATTGGTTCGATTTCGCCTCCTGTGCAGGACCAGA